TCACTGTCGCAATCACCGCCTCTTCCACCAACAAATAAAGTGAACCGGTGCGAAGCGCTGAGGTCATTAGGTCGAGGCTACCGGTCACTGTAAAGGGCGAGGGAAGGCGGGGGCTGACACGGCTGGCACCGGGCTACAGAATTCACCGTGATGCCGAGAAACATTCCCGTATGTCACGTGTAAATATACAGTAGAACCAAAAACACCGGTAGCGATGTTTCTCCAGAACAAGTATGTTTATGGCAACAGACGTGGTTCTAGTAGAAGCACACTTTCGTCACATTTTTTCTACCTATTTGTTTTGTTTCTGCAATGATATCTGCTAAGCGCAAATAAAACATAATGGAACATCCATGCACCAGTGTAGCATAGTTGTTTAAGAAAGTTCTGCTTAACAAGAAATGCCGTGGCGGCATTCTATAACAACAACAGTGAATTGTTCATACATATGTGGGATATATATTCTATTATATATTAGCCTCTTTGAGGACGACTTTTGCTGGTACGCCCTCCAAGAGTCACCACGGCTAATCTTCTTGTTCCATATCAGTACACACAATCCTAGTCCTAAACCCAGGACAGTGCACGATATGGCTTCTCTATCTCAGTTATCCACCTTGTTATTTATATATTCTCGTAGCCCGGAGTTGCCGAGGTGAAAGGTCCTTGCCACACGAGGGCCGTGTAGACCCGTGTTGGTCCCGCTGTCAGCGCCGTCCTGCCGGCCGATCTCGCACATTCGTCACCGCAGCAAACCTGTCAACTCTGCCAGCCTCTCATGCACGCCTGCTGGACAAGTGTATGCATGGTGTACAAAATAACTAATTAACTGGTGGACGTACCAACCACTAAGTATCTAATACCAGCCCAGGAAAGAACAAGAAACAGTCATGCCTTCAAATATCAGTTATTAACCGAGAATTGAGGTATTCCAAAACTCGTGTTTTCCAAGCTAAGAACTATCGTAGAGTGGAACTCGTTGCCACCAATTACAGTTGGGGCATTATCACTTGGAAGCTTTAAGCAACTCCTGCAGTTAAATGTGCAATGATTGGGTGTAACAGGTTGTTCGGTGTGATATAGCTAGCTGCTGCCGCGCCGCGTGCCTGCGAAGCTAGTGCGTTACGCCGAAGGGCGGTCATACCGGATATGCAGATACAAAACTCGTTAGCAGCGTTCTGATGCGTTAGTTTTCCACCAAATGTCCTCCCGCCTACCCCGGGGCTGAGAGAGTTAGGACCTGTCGGTCAGAGCGTCCGGAAGATTTACAGAAATGATGAAGCGTCACAAATGATGGCGCGGGCGCCTGACATGCGCGGCAGGTCTTTTCGTCTGTCTCTGCGGGAATGACCTACGCAAAAAAGGTCACCAAATTAAACCCTCTGCGTTCTGAAGTATGTAGAACTCTAAGTAAGGTCTACAAGCTCACGTCCGCTCACGTCTGTTCTTTTCTGCAACTTTTAAACATGTTCTTGCAGTGTGGAATTAAGGTAGAAGGACATATCAGTTTGATATTTGACAAAAGAAGAATAGAACAATTATTTGCACTTTCGCTCCAACCTTAATCAAACACTACAAGTAAGGCAAAGTATGTACGGCTTCTTTCAGCAATTCGGTCATCTAGTAATTTTAGATCTAAGTCGTAAATACTGGTGCGTATCTTACAACATTAATATGGTCAGAGAACGGGTTTGGTGGCAGTGTGTGGTATATCTTATACAAGAAGGTAGCTTCGATGTTATTTGGGATGTACGTGTACGCATCTGTCTTGATTTCTAGTAAGGCCCTCTGGAAGGATGGCTAGAGACATGTCCTCAATTTTATAGACTGACTGCATCTTATAACAATCATCTCCTTTTTCTGACATGGCTCGCAAACTTATGCCCCGTTGAGTCGCAGTTGGCCACAGCTGACTGGGTCACAGTCTCGTCCCCAGGCCCTGTCGAGACGACTCTGGTCACAAGTTTACCGTGCTGTCAAAACCTGTCTCTTTCGTCTACAACTTGACTCGTCGTGACAGTTCAAAAATTCTCAATCATCCTGATGCAGTTAGTTAGTGTATGTGCCTAAAGGTGTTCTGTAAGATTCTTAGAGCCACGTATGCAATCACAATGGAGTCCGCGGCTCGCTGGGCAGGCTTGAATGGAGAAACAGGTGTTTTTAGCTTTGCGTGCTAAAGTCATGCCAGTCGTGGAGGACATGTTCCTCTTATAACAAACAAGTTTTACATGAACTGCAAATACGAAAATAACAAACATCGTCTCTTTACATTGTCGTCTTATTGCTTTTTTTATTTTCTATTTCTATTCTACAATATAGTGTATGCGACCCGTAAGGTCTGTATGATTAATACCCCAGTACAGGCTACAGTATGACCTCCGTGTGTAAGAATAACCGCATGCAGAGATTTCCCCTAGATTTCACGGTGTTCCAGCCGAGTCGTGATACGGGAAGCTGTGTAAGGCATTACCTCCACCTAGGCCTTCCTGAGGTGGTAGGATAGTAGTTCGTATTCGGCAAAAATTAGGGTCTAACTGGTCCGCGTTAGAGTTTCATTTTCCCCTCGGAAGGAAATAACTGCGCGGGCAAATAATCTCCACGCTGCCCAAGCTCCCCTGGTCAATTATTCCCCCTATTTGGCTAACTTTTCACTGTAAATTTCACTGTTCTTGAACCCACACAGACAGGGTCAGGGTCGGAATCATGACACGAGGCCGCCGGTAAATTAGATAATTTCACACAGAATGTAACCCGGCATGGATCGAATCATCTAAGTGACTATTTCAACCAAGGTTGTCATGGATACCATTTCAGTAAGTGACCCCTCTTCTGAACCATTGCACCGCTCCTGGGCGACGGTTACACGAAACCGGGGAGTTATTATATAACCTTTGAAGCAGAAACGTCAGGTCACAAAAAAGGAATCTTGGCAATTCTTGGAGGGTGAGGAATATTGTCGCTTGCTGACAGCTTGTCATTTCTAAGCGCTACTTATTTCAAATAAAAACCTGTCACGAAATGATGATTGTCTTTCTAACCACGGAGACGACAAAGAACGAAAAGAAGTCTGGACATTAACGAGGAAATCGTTTCTCAAGGAAATGGGTAGATTTTGAAAACTGTCAGACTACTTTTACTTTTTAGTATTCCCCAGCAGACAAAAAGTATCAAAATCTATCCAGTTGCTTCAGGAACAATTTTATTGTGTATCTCATTACCTGCAGGTCTAACCTTGACCATCGACGTACTGACTGAGTCTGGACATTGGCTACATCTTACCCAGGCGATATGTCATAGGAGACACACAGTCCCGAGGCCCGGCAGGTGACATCTGTTCGGTCTCAGAACCTGTGTCACCCCCACCACGACTGGAACATCTCAACACCAACGTCCTGGGAGGCTGTGTGGCCCGGCATGGTTAGGATTTATCCTACTGTTTCCAGCAGTTGAACTACGTTTTCTTCAAAAAATGATAAACAACACACACAGTAAATGATAAGCGTACCATTTCACGTAATGAGTACTGCCTTTCGTTCTAAACCAGTGGGAATTTGAGACACCGAAAGGACTCTAAAGATCCAGTCAACATAACCTTTCAGTAGTCCTTGAAGAGCGGGTTTAAAGGACAAGATAAGATAAGAAGAATCCGATCACGGAGGACAGAGCTGTAAAGTATCACAACGTAAGGAACACCTGCAGCTGTCGACTTGACTGGCAGACTTGCTGTGGTGCCCTTGGAAGGTCAACGTCTTGATGGTCGATAGAGGTAGACCGCCCTCCCCGATGTGAGACGATATCATTACCTTCGCCAAAAAGGTTATGTTTTTGGTGGCGTTTGTTTGTATGTTTGTGTGTGTGTATGTATGTATGTATGTGGTTTAGCACCACAACTCAAGAATTTACGAATGGATCCTAATGATATTGGTATGTGACCTAGCTCGAAAATATTAGATTTTGATCCCCACAGCGGCTTGTTTGCAATATCTTTATCATAACATCCATGTTCTCTGTCTTCTTTACAGAGAGACGTCGGTGCCTAGAGAAATTGCATACGCTGTTGTCGACAGTGTGGTTCAAACTTTAAAGTTGGTTTGTTAACTTTAGGACGGCCTGTGTACATGTTTGTAGATCTCCATCCAGATAAAGCTGACCGCAATGTCCATTTTTTGGGTTCTTGGAAAGTCTATGGGAGTATAACATCCCTAAGTTCTTACGACGAAACCCGATGTTGTATCTGTCTTTTTGAAAGTCTTATTTTAGGCTATACAAAAAGGAATAACATTACACAATGGCGTTCAATAGAATTTTCCACGGCGCGTCAGCGGACCATGTGCTGAAGAATGTGCGCCTTGCTCCATCGGAATTAGAACAAAACCCAACACCTTGTTTGTTCTAGCGGCAGGTGGCTAGCCCTGGCGGCCACCTTGCGAGTGTACTTTGGTCGACTTTCTCTAAGGCACGTCTCTCGCCGTGTGGACATACAACCACTTAAACCACTTGTCTCTGTTGAAGCTAAATAGACAAGAGATTTGCTGTTTATTTGCTGCACCGCGAAACGTGATCGAGAAAGGTTTTAGCCGACTGGATTGTTTCCGTGCAACAAGATTTAGAACAGCCTACCCTGCGGGACAAAAATGGCAGCAAGAGTCTCACTGCAACGGTATGCTGCAACATCCGACTTATCTAATGTTTGGGAAGAATTTCATCTCACTATATAACTCTTTGTGTCCTCTTATCTCCCTCAATAGCGCGCCAACACAGCTGTGTTATCAACGACGAAGGAAGGCATTGATAAGTAACTGGCGCGAGCTCCCCCGGCTTTTATTGCGACAGCGTTTGGCTGCGTTCCTGCCATTCCCGCTATAGTGTGCGGCTGCTGTAGGGGGTACATGCTTGCAGGGACCCTTGACTATCGCCGTTATTGAGGCACGCCAGGATTTCCGTGTGAGTTACGTCGTGTGTGCCATCCCCATCCATCAGGCTCCACTTGGCAGGAGTTCACGGGCTTCTGAACTCTGACCCCGTAATCCCGGCGTATTCCATATTATCGTCTGCACCGAAGGAAGGCTCACGCAGTCTCGGAGAATGTTGAAACGTCTGACGCGGCGGTGGCGGGTTTTCTGGGTTCTATCTCCTGTCTTCGCGCTGACAGAATTGCCAGCAGCGCGAGTTTCTATCAGCGGTGGACTTGTTCCCGGATTGATTCCCGGTTTGGCCTGAGATACAGTCGCGGTGGTTTCTCAGACGCGCTGTTATAAGTTGCCCGCCGTTTCGTGTGTGTGTGTGCACCGGTAGACAGGCAGCGGGCACTGCGGAGAAACGTTAGACTTTTGCCTGGGTCTTTCACAAGCCGTGAGACGTGACTTCCTCGGCTGCCAGCCAAGACTTGGCCGCCACGGGGACAAGAAACAACAACCCCGGAGCCAGCCGCGTCCTCGAACGGCGTAAAACGTTTTGTGTATGGCCTGTTTTTATGGCAAACTGAACCAGGTTCAACTGGGAGACTCTGCGATGTCGGTGTACTCATTGTTCGTCTTGGTGTCGCTGCTAGGAAAGCCCTTCGGCTACTCACACTTCGACACGGTAAGGGTACTGCCTGAGTGTTTGCTTTTCCCATCACCTGCTCTAGCCTCCACGATCCAATAATCCTTAAAGAGGCTTTGTGTCTCCTTGGATTACTTAAGACAACTAGAAGTGCCAATCTTTTTCCTCTCGTAAATTTATACTAACAATGAAAAAAGTTGGCAATGATTTGAACTGAAAGCCGAGAACGGCATCGGGTAAGTAACCCTTATAAATCATGTGCCTGTGCTATTTCACCGTACATGACGCAATAGTGCAGTGTAGGCTCTATAAATATGGCGGGAAACACGCATTAAGCGTTTTAACTTTGCAGCAATGTGCAGCACAGTAGTGAAATGATGTACTATACCAGCAAATTTGGAGCGCGCCAAATCTAGACTAGAAACATAAATTTTACTGAGGACAACGTCTTGCCCGGTAAAGAAAAACGGGTGCAGTCGACGAGTGTAACAGATCGCTAGCCAGGGCCCCTTTTCTAGGCTACTGTAACCGAAGCCTGAGCTCTGATGCCGTGATAGAAAGCACAGAGCTCCTACACGTGACAGCAAGGAAGCACCGTTTGTTCCACACGTCAGGATGTTTATAGGACGCCGCCGTCGTGTTTGAAAAAAACTGGCGGGTTAACATTGATAGCCTCCCCTACCCTAGAGGTCCTAGAGGCTAGGAATAGTAGGAGACGTGGCGTGCTCTCTTCTTGGATAATCGCCGCCACGGGGACTTATTATGTAATTCGCGGTAATCATTTCCCACTCGACCTTCGCTTGGCTCCAGGCGGCTGCTGCCAGACTATTCCCGCGGCGTACATCTCCTTACTTAAGGGCAGGATGTTTTGGTATATCGACAGTATGACACGCTAATAGGGATAATTAGTCTGCTTTTCTTTGCCATTGTGTGTGGTAATTGGAGAGACAGCAGCTAGTTAGGACCTAACTTTTAGTTTGAGTTTGAACCAGAGCCAGACGCCTCTTCAGTGTTGTTCGGCTGGTGGTGGGAGAGACACGGCGCCACAAGTGTCTTCTCTGCTTACCGTGTAGTAATGCGGCCTTGAGGTTAGCTAGCTACGCCAATTGTCTATGCTTTTAATACTTTCCTTATTTTCAAAGACAGTTCAAACTCTACACCTGGATAAATCACGGATATTATTTCCGGACGTTTTGAGTATCATTCTTCTTCAGCGCCACTTTTTTTAGTCAGAAGATAATCTCCGTAATTTATCCAGTAGAAGAGTTTGAATGTCTTTGAATATTGTTTACCTGAATGTCGAAGCTTTATCAACATTTCTTAATTTTCCTTCGTTCAATGCACTCGGTGCTTTTTGCTGCATCAATGATGAATTTGGCAAGTCCTACCAAGGATTTTAAACCTCCTTGGTCCTGGAAAATTCCTTCCTGTTGCAACGTTGTTAGTTGGCGTCAAAGTATAACCGACATAGAATTGACGTTTGAAGAGCAAAAACCGCGAGGTCATTAACTGTTGCATGTATCTACAGGGTCGTTGGTTGTATCGTTCCTAGACGGACTTTAAGTTACGCATGGCTTGCCCAACCTTTCGCAACTCTTTACAAAGTTTAAGTGTAGCTTGTCTTCACGTTGTCTTAAAGAAAAAGGGTTACTTGTTTGCCAGTGAATCTTGACGGTAAATGGTGTTGTGATGGGAGGGCCGTGTGATGCCAAAACACCAGACTAGTGCCAAATCACTACCCAGCGTAAACAGCAGCGAAGTGCGCTAACATTTACCGGCACGCTGTTGTTATACACGCCGCGCACGCCTGACATTTACTGACGACATGACACTGGAGCGACCGCATGGACCTGAAAAACATTCTCAACTTCTAAGCGTGCTTTGTTTGAAATAGACATCACCTACTTCAGATAACATGTTGGTTCGTAACAAAGAAGACCAATGGTCAACACGGTGAAAATTAAGGTGGCGTCTTCCACTGGCATGGTTGATATCTTTCATCACTATTTCGCGCCAAAATATTTTTGTCAACTTTGAGATTAGGGACAACGTCCTTCAATAACCGGCCAAGAAGACTGGCTTCACCACAATTTTTGTCTGAACCTGAGCATGGGGCATGTTGTCTGGAGTTGAACTGTTGGTGTACCACCATTTCTTTTTTTTCTAATGCCGGGTGTCAAGACGCTATGGAAGATTGATTGGCTATTCTGACATCCGAATAATCACGTTTTGACACGAGGGTAAAATTAGTTTCCAGGGAATCTTAAGGTGTTTACCGGCGGTGTTGTACTGACAGACTACACGGCGGACTGACGGGGAACATGTGTCAGAAATGTGGCACGACGCCCTGTCGAGAAAACCGTAAGTAGGAGGGGAGAGACTCCGTGTGGGTCAGTGCGCTGCCACTACGGTCGACACCCAGCCAAATTTGTCTAGGCATCGCGCATTGAACCGACACGGACAGAGCTTTGTTCGCACATTTACGCGTAATTTACGGTGTTTGGAGAGAAAGCACAATCCACCTTGAAGGAATTTTGTTTCTTGGCGTGGGAGAGTTCTTACAAGTTCGGGGTAGGGCGGGGACAGATGATGTTTCAAGAATGTTAAGGGGGGGGGATCAACACATTTTGGCACGCGTGCCTTACAGAAATCTGAAAGGGATTAAGCAATAATTCACTCTAATTGTTAAGGAAAAAACAATGCATACTGTAGGCAACTTGGTCGCTAGGCAACCGTATGATCCTCGTAATCCATCCTAAAGACGGATCAACGAATGTTGGAGGTTAGAATCAGATAAGGAGAGAAGTTATCGGTTTCTCCGGGCGGTTTAGCCCGAGTCTGTTGATGTAAAATGTCAGGCTGTGAGATCAGGTTGTCTGATGATGAAGAACTGATGACTGGGGCGTGCTCTTACCGTGACGACCTTGGCCTCAATATCCTGAGTTCTGTCCAACAAATTACACGCTGTTGCTATGAGAAAAATAGCTAACACGAAATTTCTCTTTTACTCCCAGTGTAACCTAGATAACATTAAGTTGCCCCATTTGATAAGCCTCTCCAGAGTTGGCTGGAAAGAGTAGAAATTGGCTACATAGACCGACGACATACCAGGGGAGTTGGACCGCTAAAGGCTCCAACTCTACAGTCTCTACTAGAATGAAATGTGGAAATTGGCCAAAAAATGGGTCGTTTTTTATTAGAGGTTTGTCCGGTGATTGGACTACAATGGATTGCATAATGTCATGATCCTATTGCCGATTTCAACTACCCACGGAGATTGTTGGAGTATACCAACTCTGAGAGGAAATGAAGTGTGTCGTAAGAGAGGAATGTCCCCTGTCTGAGACGGTCTGAATGGGAAAAGCTCTGGGTGAGACAGCAGATGTGTGTTCACACGGAGTTGCACGTTCGAACACCGAGACCTGCTGAGCCATAACCCCTCCCCTCCTGATCCGTACCTGACAGACACAGGGAGCTCGACTTGCCACCTCTTGTCTGGGGATCGACCGTTCGTATCAAGTTGGCTGGCTGTGTAACCTAACTGAAAACAGCAAACAAACTACCTGTATCTACGTACCAAGAGACCAGCTTTTAAAAGAATCCTTACAACCAGAGGGAGAGATCATAATATCTATTTTCCTGAAACCCTCGCGAAGTAATTCCTTCGGGATAGATGAGCCCTACGTTTTGCAGCAATAAATAAACTTGGGTCCCCCTAAAAATCTCGATTCGCTTAGCCTGGTAGACGGCCTCTCTAAACGGCTGTCTGAGCGTCTCATTCATCGCGCTCCGTTGTTTTTACTAGCCTCCACCAGGCTCCTCAGGCACGGTTCTGGATAGTCCACACGTGCCTGGGGCAAGTCTACGTTCTTGGATATGTGGAGACTACCCAGAATCGTGAGTGATCATGACCCTCGCCCATTCACGCATAGAACTAGATAGGCACAGTTCTAGGCACGACCACACTTGTGTAACGTGGTTGGATTCAGCATGCAGTAGTTCGAAAGTACTCCATAGCAGGTCAGGTCTGACTGGCTATGCTGCGCTTTTCCAGGCCTGGGCAGGTGGCGCGGGTCTCTGAGTACAGTGTAAACTGTCGATTGATTTACAGCAAAACTTTCACGGGGAAGCCAGGAATAGTCCAAATTTAAGGTCCGTGAAATCAGGTCCAGCGCTAAAAGCTTGCTGATGTTGTCTGAAAGCGTCTGGTAGCCAAAGGGATAAATCTTCCCGCGCAAACCTAAAGTTTTGTGTCGAAAGTCTGGGAAAGTTGGCAGAGGGGGAAAGTTGGAAGAAAGTCGACCTTTCTGCAAAGCGAAGGTTCAGATAAGTAACCACGTACCCTTTCTTGTTAAGTGGTTCTAGGATACACGTGCAGGGGAAAGTCACTGATGAAGGTCAACTCTCACTTTTCTACTCTAATGCCAAGGTCAATCGTTAAGACAACAAAAAGTGACAGGCGAACTGTATTCCAGATTATAGTGATCACAAAACCAACGGCGAAAGTTACACTGATCCAGCAAGCTTTCACTGTTCGCGTGACAGTAAAGAAAGACGCAGAGTACAGCAATGCACAGGCTTGAAGTACCAGGAAGTTTTCTTTCAGTGAGTACATTGTCCCACGATCACAAACCGAGGACAGTCTCGATATAGTCGTGCACGTGTCCTTCAAAATTTAGTTGTCTTGTAACAGAAAAGGCTGTCGGCTGTTGGTCTGTCACAGTCTGATTGAAGACACTGCGACATCAAAATCGTCCGACGACCACGCCATAGCCAATGGCATCTGGACGCAGGTGCCACGCCTGTACAAGGCTAACGTGTCACCACACCTTTGCGAAAGAGCATTGAGCATTCCGCGCTTTGTAACTCCCACTGCCCCCCCTCGGCGTGACTACACAATCGCATACTGCACGTGTTTGGTATTGTCCGCGGCCTCCATACCGCCGTGCCCTTCACCCAGAATGAGCCGCATGACGGGCAACAAGTCATGGTCATCTCCTCCGTTACCTCCTGATCACGCCTTGGCTCCTGTTCAAACCTCCGCACTTGTTTACTCTACCAGATACCGTAGCAGGACTCGAGATACCTTTTATTCTGGATACCTGGATTGGAACAGGTATACTGAGAATTTCACCAGACCAGTTTTACCTACGAGTACATCACTCAGAATTTAGAAAGTATGGATCACACTAAAGACTGTTCAGAAACCGTTGCCATTATTTCTTTTAAACTTCATATATGTCATCGTCACAGGTGACAGTTATAACACCTGCATTTGTATGTGAACCCAGTACATGGACCAGTGCAGGTTAGGTGCACGTAGACATCGAAAACCTGCACAGCCCCAAATTTTACATGCACTAACCTGCATATACCCAGTGCAGGTTAGGTGCAGGTATACATCAAAAATACATGCACAGCTCCAAATTTTACCTGCATGTGCAGGTGGTATTTCGAGCCCTGCATAGGCAGCCCATCTCAGATGGTCTTAATAGGTCTACATACGGGGACAAGTGAACAAGTGGACCTTCGAATCGGTGCAGAAGGTTATCACAGCAATCTTGGCCCAAGTGAAGACACTTTTGACCTTTTTCAGTTTACGATGTATGGTATGCGATAGCCCTGCTGTTAGTGTAATCTCGTAAACACAAAATTAAAAAAATTCTTTCCAGATGACCATGAACATGATTATGAAATATAGACGGTCATTTAAAATGATTAATTTGCAGGTGTAAATGGACTAATAAGACGTCAGTACAATGTATAACTATGTTAGACAGGTGCACATCTAGAACCGTGCCTACCTAGCTCTTTGCCTACATGGGTTAGGGTTAGAATCAGGCACGGTCCTGGATAGTCTCCGCGGATCCATGAACGTACGGTTCTGGATGGGCGTCGACTATCCAAAACCTTGCCTCGGCATGGTTCTGGATAAAGCACGGTTCTGGATACAACAGGTCCTGCCTGGGTATGTATGGAAGCGCCAGGGCCGTGTTGTCTACACAGACCCCTGACCTTCCTGGCACGGCTCCGCCCACCTGGCCTTGTATATGGCTGTCCGTGGCAGACCAACTGTCTGGGCGTGCTAAATATCTCTCGTTATTGACAAAACATTGTTCTAACAGGGACGGGCTATTGGTACAAACACTAAGTCCTTAACGGGCGTCTTTCCGGTTGAGCATGGTTTTGGGGCAACAGATCTGGACTCCCATGCCAATGGGCTTGTTCTTGCCGTATTCTACTCCAGGAAGGATAGCCTCCATTTTCATTTCAAGTCACAGATGCGAATTCAGATCAAGATTCACACTGTACTGTCTGTTAGTACGACGTCTCCTGCACCTGTCAGTCGAACTTCACCTGTTAGAACAGAAGGGGGGGGGGTACTTAGCCAGAAAATACGGCTAAGGTAGACTCTTAGCCTGGGTGCCCGACCGTTGTCAGGCTCTATTTATCTCATTTTCAGGGTCTAGCTGTGGGCTGGCCTGTGTACTATCCCCGAGAACAGTCTGGAAGCCAGACTAATCGACTCTCTCTAAATGTGACATGCATTATACGTGCGCTAAATAATGACCGAGTGCACGTAGTCATCAAGAATCCACCCATAGGTGGTTCAATGGCACCTTTGTCCAAAAGCTCTTTCACAAAAGATTATTTCATATAACGTTTCAAATCTAACAACAACGTTCACCGCCATGAGTGACTGATTGACAATGGATGTAGGTTTAAGAAGCGTCATTCATAAACATAGCTGGTCTACCTAGAACTGACAAGATCTAGAATCAAGATCTGTAATTCACGTTTCAAAATGATCTATAGACGTGTAATGTAATATTGGGTGTCCCTTTCAACGCTAAACCGCGGAGACCGGGATTTTCTCAGCAGAGCATGTGAGCGTTCGATTCCGCGTCATTGTTCCCAAATCCGCTTAACTACAAGCTGACAATGGACTTGAGAAAGGCAGGGCAGGAAAAACAGGATGTTGGCTCTAGGGCTAGTGAATAGAAAAAAAACGAGGAAGGGAAAGAACCAAGGAAAAGAACCTTCCAGCACGGGACTACCGTGATAACAAACATGTTGCCCTGGCATGTTATCTGTCTATTATATATTGGTCAATGTGTACTCTTTCAGCCGTTTCCGAAGCCTGATAGAGGCTAACATCCCACGCCAAATGCCAGTTTCAGTTCTCACAAAACGCAGCAATGTCGGGCCCTGCTTCTCGTCACCACCAGTGCCTCATCTCCCAAGTTTTAGATAAATATTTACATCTCGATGCACGCCTCCTCTCTGTGCCTGAGGCTGTACAGTTGGGAGGCCTGCGTGTGGGGGTCAGCTTACCACTACACAGGTGACTTTCACTTGTGAATGTTTTTTTTTATAACGGAAGAGCGAGCTCTGTAGTTTTGTTGATTTCTTATATGGTGCCTAAATCCTTACAGTTGGGAAGTCTATGTGTAGGATCAACTTTTCACTACAGAGCTGACTTTCACTTGCGAACGTTCGTTTTTTTTTTCTAAGACGAAAAGCGGACTCTGTACAATCCAAACTCTACTATTGGATAAATTACGATTATTTCCGGGCGATTCAAGTGACACTCCATCATTCTTCTTCAGTGTCACTAAAATGAACTGGCAGAAGTAGTCATCACGTATAATCTCCGTAATCAGGTAGATAGTCTCCGTAATTTCTCCAGTGGTAGATTTTGAATAGTCTTTGAATGTTGTTTACCTGGATGTCTAACATCCACTAGCGCAGACTCTGTAACTTTTGTGATTTCTGATATGGTTAAAAATGCATATAATTTTACCTGGAGTTATAGTAACACCTATAAGATAACTTTAGGTGAGAGATTGAAAACATACAGTCTGTATCAAAACAATTTCACAGCTGTGCGAACCTGTTATAAGTGCAGGTCTGTAATGTCAAGGTTCGTGTCAGGGCGGAGACTACAAAACAACGCTAAGAAATGGGCCGGCTGATTCTGTGCGACTTGCTGCCATCTCTCCGGTCGGCAGCACAGTTGATGTGCGCCACCCCTCCGCGCTGTCTCGTGCGAACATGTGGCTCTCATCTTCCCCAGCTACATAACAGTAGTCCGGACCAAGGCTGCTGACGTCTGCTACCTAACTACACCGCACAGCCTTCGTCCCGTACGGACGAAATCAGTCTTGGTCACAAACATCGCACGATGCGCCTAGCCTCCACAGGCTTCGGGAAGTGGCTGGAAAGAGTCGAAAGACACGCGTGCACGTATTTCTGATTGCATCTACCCTGCACTTGGCCATATACTGTGTTTATATACAATATATGTATGTGTATGTGGATTTCTATTTGCTGCATTGACTGTTATCACCTATATAGTATAAAAGAAATAGTGGCAATGGTTTCTGAACAGTTTTTAATATGATCATAAATTCTCAGTGTTACAGTGTTACAGTTAAAATTTGTCTGGTGCATGCGATTTTCAGTGTTACCTGCACCTGTCCAGTGTAGTACATGCAGATAATAAAAAAAGGATTTCGAGCCCTGAAGTTATAATGTATATCACCTCTTCAAACGTACACGTGGAAGCTATCCTCGTGCCCTGCGTCAGTCGCCGGCTCGGTTTGCTGAATTGAAACTATCCATTTCTCTGCCTTCTCACGCTCTAGAAATCGCACCCAACCAGCTGAAACTATGTATATTGAAACGGAATGTCCCTCGATGAAAGATGGGCTTCAAGTGCCTATAGCTATGTGTAGACCTCTGGGGCCCTCATGTGTCGTAATAAGGGTGAGTGGTAGTTAGACCTCAAGACCTTAGCGGACCACTTGGTGACGTGAGAGCCTCCACTTGACCGAACTCTTAGGTGCAGAAAGGAGCGGGATGGGGGCGCACCAGTTCCTGTACCATGTGCTCTGGTCAACAAAAGGTCTGTCTGAAATAGACGTTGCATCAAGGATTTCCATTATAATACTAGTCATAGGGAGAGAGCTAAAGGAGAGGTTGAACTCCAGTAAACTGCACAAAATGGACAGAACATGCCCTGATATGTCCTCCAGCGCAGAGTACGTTTAACATCAACATCCGATGAGCGACATGTTTAAAGCCAAAGGTCCCCGCCTGAAGGCAAAGCTGACCTGAACTCACCTCTCATAGCTGACCTTTCATCAGTCACTTGGGACTCGGTAATTGAGGAAGACGCTACTGGTTTTCTTTATCTTCCATCTCGGATGTTTGTTTTGACTGTGGCCCGTCCTTTGCCATTTGCTATTTTCCCTCGAAGTTTGAGACCTAGAAGGTATGGATGGGTTGTCATGAAACTTGGTAGGTGGGTGGGTCTTGATAAGACCTCGGAATGATTAGATTTTGGGCTCCCTAGCGCCTTGTTATGGTACTGCAGTGGGACTTCTGGTTTTGATATCTCGTGATCTGGATAAGCTCCAACTACGGTACTCAGAACAACCCTAGCGAGTTAAGGAATATGAAAATGTTTGTAATCAAGTACTGGTTACATCTCAAACAGTTATACTTTTCTACACATCCAATGCGCAAGTAGACGTATTGCTATATCAGCAACATATACCGAATAGCAGCTGTAAGAAATCTTGTCATGAAACTTGGTAGGTGGGTCTTGATGAGACCTCGGAATGTTCAGATTTTGGGTTCCCTAGCGGATTGTTATGGTACTGCAGTGGAACTGATTTTGATATTTCGTGATCTGGATAACCTCCATGTACGGTACGACCCAACATGTAAAAGAAATAGTAGATAGTAGTGGTAATAAAAAGAGAGAAAGAATAAATATGTTAACGAACATCTCCATTTTTGTCTTCCCCCCAGAGATCCAGGTTAGACAGATACCTGGCCGGAGTCGGCAGCACAGAGGACCTGCTCAGGCTGTACTACCCGGAGGACTGGCGGAAAATCATGTGCCACATGCGGGGCGGCGGGGAGCGCTACCAGTCCGACTACCAGTCCGACTACAGCGAGGACGGGTCCGGCATGGGGCGGTCCGCGGCGGCCGCCACCATGGACCTCATGGACATTGTGAATAGTGAGTATTGGGGCGATGTGTTGCACTTCGATTCAGCAACATAGCCTCCTTTGCAGGCTCCACGACAGGGGCTGTTTTTAGCTGCTTATACATACATGTGTATTGCATTTTTTGCCTCCCATGATTCTTGTAGCCTTTACCGGGCTTCAGAAGTGGTCGGAAACAGCAGAAATTGGCTAAATAGACAGGCAACCTGCCAGGGGAGTTCGTCCAAAATTCTGATGCAACATCGACACAACCAATGAAACTGTTGAAAATCCAGGTTTCGCGCACGCGCAGTACGGGTTGGTAATTGTGACCTTAATACTAGTATATTTATATATAAGAAACGCTTAGACAAATTTATGGATAATGGTTTCTTAAATAGACCCGTACAACCATTCGCGGGCAGTGCTGGAGAAGCTTATAAAGGAATCAGCAAATCCTCTTCAACGCGCATAAAAAGATACAAACCCTCTTCGTACAAACCCAACCTGCTAGGCTGATATGTAGACGACAAAATATCAGTTGGAGACAATTTACAACCAAGGGAATCATCATCAGATTCTCATCCAGAAACGTGACAAATACACCTTTCACTGAAGTCCATCTGAGAGAAAATCTATCAGCACCAAATCGGGTGATTATGTCACACATTTTTCGACGAATAGATTGAAACGAGGTTTCAACAGGGGAAGCTTAAGAAAACCACAGCCAGGCTACATTTCCTAGTAAAACACGTTGTCTAGCCAGCCTAGGAATAAAAAAGACACTCCGTTTGTTTTCTCTTTCGGGTGGTCCTTTTCCGCCTTATAGCACATTTCAGGTGAACCGTATTTTGAAGTTGTCTGGGTTTGGACCACTCGTCGTTCGCTGATGGATGTCTGGGCCTCCGCGGGTCACCGCGAGGTGTCTGCACATTCGTCGTGTGAGGCGTTCGCACGACAACTCGGGGGACCTGTCTCGTTTCACGAGGTAGGGGGCACGGCAAGAGCGGGTAACGGTCGCCAAAACAGGATTAGCAGTACAAAACCCGACTCCGCCGTGTCTGGGCACATCGCCCGGTCAGGCTGGGAGGATGACTGGGGCCTTGTTGCCTCAGTGTACAGTGGTTTTGGGTTTTGTTCTCGATATGTTTTTCTCTTTACTTGTGTGTCTGTTATTGATTATTTTTTATAGAGAGACAGGAAGTGAGGGGGAATGTTGTAACCGCAGACTGACAGGAAGGTCGTGTTGGAGGTCAAATGGTACAAAGATTACCTCATTTTCTGACTCCAGTTTCTTGTTGTCTTGCTGTCATATGGAAGGCGATGGATGCAGGCAGTATCAACGAGAAATTTACTGAACAAAGAATAAGACAAGAAATTGACAACAACTCTAAACACTTCACGGAATTGGGAAATCGTCTACTTCCTGTGAATAGTTGCGCGGGCCAGAGGGCGGACTTAAGGCTGGCACTAGTGCAGAGTCCACGTGTTCTTATTAGTTAGGCCGGATTATCTAAAAGCTTGAAGAGTGAGAACTGGACCACCACCAAACACTGCAAGAGGTTTTATCAACACGTGATTAGACAAGGGTGTTGTAGATAGTTGTAGACAGCACACGGGGGCATGCCCCTACTCTAGATCTTTTTCGAAGGGTGTGGTGGGTTCTTTAACATGCGTGGGGTGTGGCTTTCCCCAAACACGTGACCTCCATTTAACGTCCTATCCACCCATCCACGTAAGCCCGATAACGCCTAAAACATAGCCTCCTTTGCAGGCTTTCCGAGATCGGTTTTTTTGTGGGGGGGGGCGCTTATTACCAAATTGTACGATTTTCTAATCAAACGTAGATCTCACGCATTACAAGTAAAAGCTCCGGCCGCAAACCCTAGTATTAGCCTGGGTGCCATCCGATTTGTAATGGCAACCCCGAATTTTCAAAGCGGATGGCACCCAGGCAACCCTAGCATGTCATCACTGGAAAAATGACGATCCCAGAACGCCTGCAAAGGAGGCTAGCTACCTAAAACACGTCAAAAGGAAGCCGAAGCCTAACCCTGTGCTTACAGAGTGCCCTTGTCCCTGCAGAGGAAGCGGTTCTTCCGCGGCGCTTTCACGCCGAGACTGAGGTAGATGATGGGGATGAGCCCGGTATTACCTCACGGCTAATGAGGGCGATGTTAAAGCAGTGATTACAGTTGCCATGGCGACTGTGGAACGGCGTCGAGTTTTCTTCAACACTGCCGTAACACTGTACTTACAGTCAGCTTTCTGTGACCTTGGCCTAGAAGGCTGCGACTTGTTCCTTCTCATCAGGCCCGCACAAGGTATACTTGGCCCTCTATCATGAAGTTTTTCTGTGCTTTAAATGGCTAGATAGCTTCAATTCAAACAACGTTTTCAGTTAGATGTGCAAAGGTTAGGTGTAGCAGGTGGTTCAGTGTAATGTAGCCAGCTGCCACCGCGCCGCGTGCATACGAAGCTGGTGCGTTACGCCGAAGGGTGGTTATACCGGCTATACAGATACAGGTTTTTATGAGTATCGCACTATTTTACCGCAAACAACAAGAAGTAGAAGTCATAATAACGACGGTAAGCAGTCCTTTTGAGGTAACTCCATGGCCATCGTAGAGGACAGCGTAGGAGCCTTGATTCGATGTAATCAGGCCAAATCAACAAGGTTGTGTTTACCGTGTACACGAGTCGTTGTGCCAAGACACGGGCCGTTTCCTGATGTTATCTGGAGCTGCCCGCGGGCTTTAGCGCCGTGCCAACACCGCCGGTAACATGCAGGATAACATTACTATGCTGCATGTTTCTGACAGCCATTGTTGTTAACTCCAACACGAAGACGTAATCCAATAATTCTCTATCGCGTTCCATGCCAAGGTCTGGGCGACCGCGAACCGACAAAACTTCCCTTTTGGCAACCTGGGGCTGCGACCAGGAAAGACTAGACCAGGGTGTTATGTAGCCTCTACCGGACTCCAGAGGGGGTTGGGAAGAGTTGGAAGTGGCCAAATAGACAGATAACTTGCCAATAAAGTTGTTCGGCTAAAGGTAAAGGCTAGGAGAAGGCTAGTAAGTTCTGGTACAGTACCTAGGAAAGTCGCCAGGAGGTTCAAAATCGATCAATTTTTTGATAGGTCAAGACCTATCCACCTACCAAACGCTAACAAACACATAACCTTCTAATACAACCTTCTGAACCTAGATGCATTGCTGATCCATGCATCATACGGCAAGTGTAATGTTCATATGAAGATCTGCTGGGAGATTATACAACACGAGCTCGACAACAACTGTGTTGTCAGTTGGCCCTCCTCCCTGCTAGGAATGGCCTCACCGCTGCTCGACTGTCAGACTTCGCACGCATACCGTGTCGACAACTGTCGGTCGACTTCCGCTTATTCTGGGTAATGGCAATGAAGGTTAGACATCCGATAAATGAGATACACAAGGAAATTGCTACTAAAAGAACTGGATAGATTTTGAAAACGTCTGGTGGACGTTAACGTTAGAGTCTAAATCATGCTCACGTTTAGTTTTTACTATTTCCTTCCTGGTTCCAAGAAAGTATTCGCTGTGCAGCAAACAGGATGTGATGAGACTGCACACTTTAGTCTTCGATCGTGACTATATCGTATGATTTGCCCCTGTAACATAACATAACACACAGTACGAAACAGCATTGTTAACACCGATCACCTCAACAGACCTAGGTTGACAACAAGCCTAGCCTGGTCAGGTTTGGCGCACTTGTAGTTTAGCCTCTACCAGGCTTCGGAAGGTTCGAAAACCTGTATTCTTTAGCAGACCACCTCAGCTAGCTGGAATGTTATCTGTCTATTTGGCCAATTTCTACTCATTCCAGCCACTTCTAAATCCTGGTAGAGGCTACTTGTAGTTCTCGGTTGGTTGCTTGCTTTGTAAAACTATCCAATTTCAGCCTTCATGGCTAGAAGAAATGCGAATACGTTCTAAGATGCCAAAACAGCGGGGTTTCTTCCTCTAGTCTAGCTGTAGTCACGTCTGATGCCCCACTCCCAGTCTCTCCAGCTCTGTGTCGTTAAACCCAAAGTTCCGTGTACAAGCGGAGAGAGTGTGTGAAAAGGCGGGCGCTCTGCAGACCTCTGACACTTCATACTCACAAACGTGTCGTAAACAGGGACTGGAGAGCTCTGACTTGATTCCTGTAGTAACAAACAAGTTTCGCGGAGACGTGACCTCGCTTAAGCCGAGTTTTAAATATGGCCGACCGCGCCGGCAGATAGAAGGCCGGGCCCGGCCAACAATAACAGTATGTTTGAACTGTTTCCAAAACGCGGGATTATAGCAGAGGTCACCTGTAATTCCGTGGGATAGGGGAGAGGGCTTCCATCTGATACTTCACACATTGCGCACTGATGGCGGGCCGTCAGAAGGATAGCCTCTATCAGGCTTCCGAAGTGGCTGGAAGGACTAGACCAAATAGACAAACTTTTAGCTCCTTTAGCAGAAAAATTCCCCTGACATGAACGGTTTTGGATATGGTAGCTTTACCTTTTACGAGTTACTAGTACTATTTTCTCAAACGGTTTGCGTCTAGAGGTGAGTGGTGAGTTGGCGTAACGTGTGCGTGTTTCCGTTAAATTGCTTTGCCTTTGGAAGATGCATTTCTCAAACGGCAATGTCTTACTCTTAATTTAATGAGTTGACATATTCGTGTTCTGTTATATAGTGAGGAAGACGTGATAGTGACCTTGACCCAGTTAACGAATTGCGCCTTGTTTTAAGAGGTCGATGAGGAGTGGGAGAAGGCGTTCTGTAAGCCCCGAGAGACGGCCGTGGACGCCGCCACGGAGCTGCAGGCACCCACCGACGTCACGTACCGTCCCAGCTGCGTGTCGGTGTTCCGCTGCGGGGGCTGCTGCAACGACGAGAGATACGAGTGCATCGCCTCGGAGAAGAACATGGTCTCCAAAACGGTGAGGAACGCTTGCCCACCCCTGCATTGTAACCATGTACATTATGCCCCTATGATGTAATTCAATCGGGTGTTACTCAATGACCATAGAAAGCAGATGTCACAAAAACCCAAAACACTTACCAGAAGTTGTCTCTTTAAGAGTTTTCTCTAACGTATACTATAAAGATGCATATCAGGAGCTTTTCCCATGAAAAGCAATTTATCCAAAAACACCAACGTAAATCATTTGTATGAAGCCAGTTTGAAACGTAATTTCCAACTCAATGAATTGGACTTACCCAAATTGTTTGACTGGATAACTCCAGTCTTTATCAAAGGATGAGCAATTCTGCCACTTTTGAGACGTCACGTTATGCAGGTGACACACGTGACTTGGTGGGCATCATGGGTTGTAGTAAGTTTGTGGCGACCCCCGTCTCTGCTGAGGGGTGGTTGCAATGCCCTGATGTAGATGACCAGGTGCAAAGAAGTCTGGATTCGTGTCCAAGATTTTTAATTTTCCCAACGAGACCGAGTGTCTAGGCAATTATTTATATATGTGTTCTGAAACTTCACTAAATTTTTATGCCTCTTTATTTCAGATATTTGAAGTGGGCCTGCGCGGCCCGTACCCGGTGACGAGGCCGTTTGAGAACCACACCCGGTGCGAGTGTCGCGCCAAGCTGGGCGCCAGGACATCCTTCCTCTACCAGCGGATGAACTACAAGAGAGCCGTGTCACCGCATATAAACACCAGGTAAAGGCGAAGTACAGTGGCGGACAGGTACAAGTTTCTGCATGCCCATTTTATAGCTACCAGACATAGTCTGCAACGTCTAGCGTGTCAGGTGTTTCTCGCAACTAAAGCAGGGGTGTCTTTTGCAGGTAAAGCATACATAGGCTATTGCTAGTAGCTAAAGCAAGTATGTCGCGCAGCTTAAGTTAGGGTGTGGAAACTTGTACCTATCGGCCACCTTAAAAAAGCTATGAAACTGTAGCCTCCACCAGACCTTCCTATTAAAGGATAGTAAGATTCGGCAACAATATAGGATCAGTAATATATAATTGGCCCAGGGATCGGGATACAGATAAAAGCTCACGCAGGTTTGAAAATTAACGTATGGTTCGTTCTAACTAGCTCAATTAATAGAACTGTATAATTATATAATGCATGACGGCTGAGCTGGCTTGGATATCAATAAAGTGAAGAAACTAAAAAGGCATACGGTCTAGTTGAACCTAACGATGTAACAACCGCCCTTACAGATGTTACGCACCCAACAAAACATGCGGACCGTACGAAAAATGGGACGACAGAGACTGCGCATGCGTGCGCGCCGTCACCATCATAGATGACGACGACCACTGCGGACCGCTGAAGGAGTGGAGGGAGGACGAGTGCGCATGCGTGTGCAAGAGGCCGTGCCCCCAGCGGTTTATAGAGGACCTGCAGACGTGTGAGTGCAGATGCCCGCCGTACTACCAGACACGGTGTCAGAAAAAAGGACAGAAACTACACTGGGGCACATGCAAGTACGTGTTGGTTCGTAATCTCCAAGTAGATGTGTATAACTTTCTTTTTCTATTCCAACATTGAACACAAGACATGTTGACGCAGTATAACTTTGCTAGCCTGGTTACCAAATAAACCTATTCTAGCTGACAAGTCTCTTTCGACCTCTCTGCAAATATAGGAGAGGACGAAAGATACTCGGCAGCTAAAGAATAGGTTTGGTAACCAGGCTAACACTGACCCTTGTGTAATCCATGTAGAACCTGCCTACTGGAATGCCGTTATCTGGTGCTTGGTGTGAAGTCCCTGACGCGTGTTTCTCACGTTCTGTTCCAGGTGTGTCCCGAAGGACTGTCATTACGTCATGGCGTGTCCAGCGGGCACTGTGTACAGCACGGACGTCTGCGCATGCGTCATGCTTGCGGGCGGATGATTTGACTGGAGAGAGACAGACCCTAAAAACAAAACAGAAACTTTTGACCGATCGAGAACACCTCACCGTGGTTCGATGCCTTAGAAATCTGTCATGTTGTTGAAAGACAATCTTTATATTTGCCTTCCAATGCAATAGATATAGGTACACGTATTAGGAAAATGGTTCATCCATGGCCATATGTGACAACTACATATGTTCAAGAAAAGTAGCCCCGAGGACACAGCAACGTTTTAAGTTGCGATGTGCTTTATATTAGGAAAGGTCATGGGACGTTGGACGAACCCCTTGGCACCGATTTTCGCTAGCCTGTGTATCTCCTGCAATCCGCTAAGGGTCCTCACTGAACAATACCATCGCTGAAAAGAGCGGTACACTCCTTGGCGAACTTCACGGCAAGTTTCCGTCATTGTAATCCTTGATATGATGAAGGAAATATGTAATTTCTGAACCCTGTGGAATACTTTGAGTGTAACTGAGTGTCTTCCATAGCTGGAGATAATAATGGATACTGCAGGTAATGCAGGTGTACATAAGCAATTCATATCTGGTTGAAACTAGTACTTTTCTTGTGGGTGTCAACTTGCAGTGCATACAATCAACCATACTACGTTGTGACAGCTTAGCTCGAAGCTCCGTTGCTTTTATATCCACAAGAAATGCATTTAGTACATGTGTTCGAAAAAAAGACAATCTACCGTTGTTTTCACCCACATGTTAGTTCATAGCCTGAAACCCGGTCTTGTTAGCTATAGCCTAAGTCGGCTGCCAAAAACCCGACAACAATTTTTGGGAGCGGGCATAGAGCTATATATATTGTAACAAGCTATGCTGGATTTCAGGCTAGTTACTTCATTTGCACCTCTGCTCTGTGTACCGATTCCACTTATCAGAGGGTATTTTAGATTATTACGTAGTGTAATATTGCTGTAAAGAAAAGTTATGTCTATGACTGAGGACATATTTAATTGTGTAATATGTTACGCTTTATCTTGCTGTATAGTGTAAGGAATTTAATGTGCATTTTTATTGAAGTAAGTTCGGCTTGAGTCGGACTATTATCGAGCAAAGGGCGGAAGTTGAAAAGAAAAACTTACTTATTTTCTTGAAAGTGCATCGTATTGTGAATATTTTTATCCACAATTTTGGTTTGTCAAAGATCTGTCAGTATAAAAATATTGAGTTTGTCGACTTTCGCGTTTTTTATGTGTCCAAATCGATGTCTCGCTCTTCATTACAACACATATGCAACATATTATCCCGAGAGGAAACAATAATAGTTTTAAAAGGAAGATTTCGGAGACGCGTGGGTAACCATGCATGTTTAATTCAAACTTATAAATCAGCGCTAAGTACACACAGACACCGGATCTCAATTAGATCAACTTATTAGCTCAAATAATAAGAACAAAAGAAAGGACAGTCTCGCCAACATGGCCAAGGAAAAGCATGAAAATAACAAGGTGTCATATGCAATGGTTTATATATAAGGCCCGTACGGTCTTATCAAAATGGTGAGTTTCACAAACAAAGCCAATTACTCTTCAACCCATTTAAATATACACACCTTTTGACAAACTACCCTGTTTCGAACCATTAGATTGCTCTTCAACGCATTTGGGGGCACGCATCACAAACAAAACATGAACTCCGTACGAATTCCACAACATCCCGTATCAAATTGAAATACTAGTAATTGAAACAAAGCTTTGTTCCTGTATTTAGACAAAATGCCTGGATCTAACGTTACATGTGTTCGTGCGGGTCCCGCCAAATTTGTATTCATGAGTTCTGGGAACGTTCTTGTTCACCTGAGCGTACCAGGGTGGAGCGTACAGTAGTTGTCAGAACTGTGAAGGTCAGGCGATACTTCACACAAAGCCTGGATTATAGTCTACCTCACACGGCTTCGGAAATCTGTAATTTTCTAATACCTACATAATTTGCTTTAATTTACTTTCCCTCATACATGCAGCGAGTGCAGCTAGCTGGCACACTTCTTATATTGTATATATAGTGTACTGTACAGTCCACAGGGATGATTCATTATCATGCATGGCACTTTGGCACGCAGGTAACAAAAGGTAGTTCTATTCAGATTGCCGTTAACAGGGGCACCTACAAACCCACCAAAACACGTTCAAAACAAGCCGGACCCTAGCGCAGAAGCATCATTTTTAGATGTGTCCATCTAGTGTGGAGGTTGCAGATGTCTGTTTGTGGTAAAGCGGGCGGTAAATAAAGCCGTTCAGTTGCGTTACAACGTAACTGAACGTTACAACTTTCACAACACAATATTGCACACCCACCACACATTTGCTTGGAGATTGCCACCGTTTCCCCTATTTCACATATCATCATGCAGGGTGACAAATAGTATACAGAGATAGACTGTACAAAATCAGGCGTACTTAATGCCTGTAGGGGTAAGCCATCAGATAGGCTTTGAGATCCTCGGGTAGAGGCAAATCGCCCAGCCGGCCTTCCCGAGCGTGTGCATGGATCGCCCGACGACACAGGTGCTTCAGATCGCAGACTTTGCACTCCAGGGGCCGTGAGAGTTTGATCGGGAACCGTGTTCCGCAGGGCTCCACCCAGCAGTGTTTTGTCGAGTCCCGGGAAGAACACTGCCGTATGTAGAAGTCCAGGAGCTTCACCACGCAGTCGAACCGCGGACTGTCGCGCGGGTTTTCCACGGAGTCCAGACCGAACGTCCCGTCTTCTGAGTACACGATCCGAGCGCTGGCGACGCGGCGCGCTGTTTTGAGACTTACGCTAAACAGGTGTCCGGGGTCCGCGCTATCTCTCACCAGGAACGTTCCTTCCTCGGTACTGTCCAGAAGAGCTGCAGCTTCTTGCCTCCCAACGGACGCCCAGTACCATCCACTCACCTCCAACGCGCTCAGGGTTCCTGTTAGTATATCGATGTCCGAGTTTCTCGTTCTCAATTCCCCGGTTCCTCCCTCAGCCATTGCCGAAGTGTCCGCTTCACGGTGTTGGGGTCGTTTCCCCTGTAATAAGCAGCTGTATTACGTGATTTGTAGCTATTATGACAACTCTCCCAACAGCATTGTCTTTAGCAGATCAGCTACCATGTAGACCCTAACGGCGATTATGCATTCTGTACATGATTGTGGGAAGGGAACAACACTGCGTTTATGTGGGCCTTCCTGTCTTTCTGGGAACTCTTTAGACTGCGCCGCGGACATTTTCGCAGAAGCCCAAGGGATAACACCTTGGTGCCAACATTTGAAATGCTTTGAATCAGCATTTACTTCCACTTTTTAACATAGATGATTTGTGCTACGAGCTCACGTTTCTAACATTTAATGTTTGGGAATACAATACTGTAGTCCGCACAAGGGACATTTATTTTGTGACACCATCACAAAATACCAGAATATGTTGGATAAAGACATGAACCAGACATGCGAAAAGGACTAGAAACATCGCTCCAGACGTTGACTAAAGAGAAAGAGTAGAAAAGTGAAATAAATCATCAGCAAGTCACCTTGTACAACAAAAGATCCATTGTAACCGAAGTAAATGAGGTTACGGGCATTGCGACTCCTTGTGTGTATACAAAGAACTGCATCCAGTCATCCACTGACAGAAATGAGAACACAGTTATCTATCAGAGCTTTGTAACCTGCATTGCATTCTACTCCGGTTTGTACACAATAATTATTAAAAGATGCACCGTGAGTTTTTTTTTTGTGGAAAGACGCAATACAGTATGCAAGCTGATATCATGACAATATTGCAATGACGTCATGGCGGCATATCGAGTTCACACCGACTTTTGAAATTTCAAATTTTGGCGCCAAAATGCAGCTTTAAATAGCAGGTTTCCCTTTACGCGTGTCCCAGTCCGACCTGTGACCGGACTCTGGGAGGACCTGTCCTCAGACGCCTCACACCTGACACCATGTCTTCTGGACAAGCTGTCGTGAAGTTAACTGTTCTATTAGCAGTCATCACGTCTGTCCTTGGGGGACCCTCGGGGGTTGGTGAGTTGTAATAAATCGCATTGACGATTTTACAATACTGCATAAAAGATCGGTTACACAATAAATCGGTAATTTACCCCATACTTAAGAAGATATGGCTTTTTCTGTATCTTCAATGTAAAATTTGCTTTTTTATAGAAGGAAAGACTACTTGTTGACAGTCAAGTTGCTAATGAGTTGGCCTACCTACGTTTGATAGATACACAGACATGTAATAAATATTTCTGTTGCTATCCGTTCGAAGAAGCAGTCCGAAGGTTTGATAAGGATTACTAGTACGTTGAAAGAAATTTAGATTTTTTGTGTGTGTCTACATTGGCTTCCATGTCGCAATATTTTAGCCCTGGCATGGTGCCATTCGATTTGATACGGGCTCGAGCTCGCTGGCTGAACCTGAGTTTTTCTTTCGATCAAAGAGTGTAAGGAGCTCGTAGCAAATCGGAAGGCACCAGGACTAGCAATCTCTGCGTCCTTGGGTAAAATCGCCGGTATCTTTCCCGGTCAAACACGCAGGCAGGACGGTCCTGACTAAGCAGGCCTGTCAGCACACCATTCTCCACCTGAGCTGTCCGCCTGGGGAGACGTTAGACATCAGCTTCGCCAACTACGGACACCTCGGGACGAAGTTCTGCGGCTCCCCCATGCCGGCTGGCGGCTGCCGGGCGCCAGACAGGTGAGGGCTCGGTCACAGACGTCGCACGATTGTCGTACGTTTGCAAAACTGGGGGTATTCTAGGGACAGTCGTGATTGTGCCGTGCAACATTCAGATGTCTTGTCACGGGGGAAATCCTAGTTGGTTGGTTCTGTCACAGCCTGCTTCCAAATTCTACAACATCAAAAACGTACGATGACTTACAACGAATATGACCGCGCCGTAAATTCTCTTCAAGGACAAAAATCCTAGCCCTCTCCATCTTTCAAACGTTCTGAAATCTCTACTTCTAAAGTCCTAATCGCCGACCTTTCATTTGCTTTTAATCATGTTTTTATTGTCTTTTATTATCAGTGTCCTATTTTTGTTTTCGATTGGAGATCAGGTTTGATCCTGTTTGTATTACTAGTACCCATTACATCAATCTATTCAACGTCACCTGTGTTATTGCTCTTCAATGTAGTCTTCATCATTGTATTGAATTTATCACCCTCTACAACTTAAGTGCGCAATCACTTTCCTTTGTCATATTATTTGATGTTTAGTTACATTGATTGATGTAAAATGTCGCAAGTACCAATTTGCGTAGTGTCTTAAATTCTTCTTGCAGCTTAGCAATTGTCCGGAGCATGTGCCAAGGCAAGCAGCAATGTTTCGTGCCTGCGGCGGACGCCATTTTTAATGGCAGCCCTTGTAACTCTGTCATGAAATACCTAGAAGTGAATTATGAGTGCCAGGGCGAAGGTAAGACTCCACGCGCTTTATCACTGTCAACAGTGTTCTAGAGTGTGCTGTGCTTTTTTTGCAGCTTAGCAATTGTGCAGGCCATGTGCCAAGGCAAGCAGCAATGCTACGTGCTCTCGGCTGACACCACTTTTGGCGACCCTTGCATGCATATAGTAAAATACCTAGAAGTGAGGTATGAGTGCCAGGGCGAAGGTAAGAGTCCATACGCTTTACAGTGTCTAGCATGGGCTATGGTAAAAGATCAAATAAAGATGTCTAAGATGTAGCATGTGCATGACATTTAGGACAGGATAGTACAGAATCCTAGAACATAAAGAATCCTAGAACATAAAGAATCCTAGAACATAAAGAATCCTAGAATATAAAGAATCCCAGAACATAAAGAATCCTAGAACATAAAGAATCCTAGAACATAAAGAATCCTAGAACATTAAGAATCCTAGAATATAAAGAATCCTAGAACATTAAGAATCCTAGAACATTAAGAATCCTAGAACTTAACGAATCCTAGAACATAACGAATCCTAGAACAAAAAGAATCATAGAACATAAAGAATTCTAGAATATATAAAGAATCATAGAACACAAAAAAACAATAGAACATATAGAACACTAGAACGTAATTTATTCCACTGAGTCTTCCATTGTAATCCCATCGCTTTTAAAACACATAGGATACATCAGGATAAGCGTAAAGTAAAGATACGCGTAGAGGTGAGTAAAGTAGAAAATAAGGATAACGACTTGATATGATACGGTCTTGTCAAGCTTGTCAAGATCACAAGGTTAAGATAAAAGACGAATACAGACGCTGAGGAGCACATAACACGATTGTAAGTAACCATATAGATTAATCGTAACCTCCCTGGAATAATGCTCTCCCTCTCCCCACACGGAAGACCCGTGCGAGCAGAACGAACACGACTCCATCGACGACATTTGGCGGAGCACCGGGCACCGCACGATCGGCCTCCCGGACAGCGAGCTTCACGACGACCGTTATGTGCTCGCCGAGGGCTGGTACCGCTTCGTGAGCCCGGCAGGGGGAGAGATGCCCACCTCCTGTGTGCCTCTGGAGTCCTGTGGTACCAGGTCTCCTGTGTGGATGGACGGGACCGTACCGGCGGTCAACCAGACCCAGACAGTCTCGGGGTGTATAAACGACGGAGGTATACTGTACACAGAGCTTCATATCTTATGTTAGAGGACTGATTATGGTGTTCAAATGCATGTATGTCGACTACATGTATTCTTAAATTTGGCATGATAAGTTTGATTGATATTGGTTTTAATCATAAGTTAGTAACTTAATCACAAAATACCCACAGGTATAAGACCTGCCCAGTACAAGTCTCAGGCTGTCGACGTCAGGCGACCGCAACCATAGCGTTTGATAATTGCACGCAATGTCTTTTAAACCTTTGAAGGCACACCTTGCACACGCAACAATAAGAAGGTACGACAGATGTCTGCGTATGTAAAGCGTGCTTGTTACTTGTCCTCTGCAGGCTGCTGTGATAACATTGTCAGCTTGAAAGTGAAAAACTGCGGTGATTTCCTGGTGTACAAGCTCTCACCCCTGCAGTTCGCCTTAAACCCCAGTGCCTACTGTGCAGGTAGGGTCGGTTGTATCCAGAACCGCGCTTTAACCAGAACCATGCTCACGTACGGTTCTGGATAGTCCACGCGTATCCAGAACCGTGCCTGGGGCAAATCTATGTTCTGTCCTTGGATACGCGGAGACTATCCACAACCGTGCCTAGATCCTAGCCCTAGCCCTAGCCCATTTAGGCATGCATAGAACTAGATAGTGAATGTACAAACAGATGCATTGCAATGTACTACTACTAGTATGCATTGTAATGTGCAATGTGCATACAGTTTAGCATTGAGTCTTACAGGTGTCAAACGAACGAAATAAACGATTAAGTTGTCTACCATCCAGTAATTGCTTCCCGTGACTGTTAGTAGCGACGTAGGTTTATGCACACTGTCACTGGGTCCCAAGGCCGTGTGGTAGGTCACGTAAAACAAGAACAAAGTCGTTCTGTAGGTCATGTAACTTTATACACAATCACGTCGCAACTGACGAATTCCTTTTCAGCCTGGTAAGCTGTACAGTGCCAGGCTATTTCATGTCGTTATAAAGTCGTAAATCCTGTGGTTGTGACAGGAGGATGATTATTGACATGACGACCCGTTTCATTCCCATCAGGTGATCGTGTGCCGTGTCCGGAGGGTCAGGGGTCACCGAACGGCGGCTTCTCCCCAGGCTGCACAGGCATGTTATTCACTTTTAAGTGCTGACATATCATCTTAAACAGACGAGAGTTCTGTTTGATGTAGTCAATCATCTGATACTGTAGGTGTGCTGATTGTGACATACTTTCTTCTCCACGAATGATCTCTTAGATTTCCAATTGTACACATACGAAGTTTTCTGTGGAGCACAGGTATTCTACCTAAAACACAAGCGCACGTATGAATAAATTGTACCAGCCGTACTTTGTGCATTCGACAAAAGTTCTGTAGTTATGTTGCTGACACGGCATCATTTAGTTAAGAGTTTATGGTAGTTGAATGTCATGAAAAGTAGGATTACGGAGCTAATGCCTCGTAATCCATGTACAACATTTGTATTTGGAGATGCCTTTACAAAATACTGGTGTCAACTGCCACTAATCACGTCCACATCCCAGAGGCTACAGAAGCGCATACAGACCAAACATCCTGCAAAACAAAGGCTAACCGTTAAACGGTGAAAAGTGGGGCACGTGTGGATCCAACTACAGGCAGAGCGTGGAGTGCGTGTCACAGCTTTGCCTGGCGCAAACAAACCACGAGTCCTTCTAGAGAATAACACTAGAAAAACACAAACACCCTCTTTGAGTGTGAGGGGAAACTGCGGACAAGTTTACACACCGACTTGTCAGCCCTTCACACGTACCATGGATACACATGTAGCTGTTTGACTCAGATGACCGATAGTTTGCGACCTCATTTGTAAAACAGGTTTAACTTGTTTCTGGCTTTTATGCTTAGACCAAGGTCACAATTTTGTACACCGGCCAACAACGGGTCAGGCGTCTATGGTAATCTCCAAGCAGATCTTTCGGTGACTGCAAAGACAGAATCAAATTGGCCAGGCTGTATCCATGTGCCAGAGAGTTGGTGCCAGACAAATCGGTAGCCAATGGTAACTGTCTGGCACATGGATACTGCTTGGCCAATTTCATACTGTCTTTGCAGCCACCGAAAGATCTGCTTGGAGATTGCTGTATGGGCGTGATTGTGCTGTCATTCCTAGCGTTTTTATTATATCCTGCACACAACAACCTACCATCCTCTTTCATGGAGGAGACAATAATTTTAAGGTACATCATTGAATACTAGTAGAAACGACAGATAAAGATAAAGACTCCAGTACAATTGTAATGTATCATGAGCTCTATCGTGTATCGGAGTAGAAATATTTTGCAATAGTTGTTTTCGGTTACGTGCAGTAAAGAATTACGTCCCTTCTTGGCAACCAAAGACACAACCATCGAATGTGCTACTCAGCGTATAACGTTACGTAAAGCTGGGGGCCTTGATCAACAACTATAATAAGAACAAAGTTCTGCCTGAAATATGTTTTCCCAACAAAGCTTTACAAAGACGCCAAAATGAATCATTAGCTAAATCACAGGAATAGGAAACGGCCTGATTACACAAATCTCCAAGCAGATACTAGGGTGGCAAGGCAGTATCCATTGGCCAGAGCTGTGACCATTGACCGTCGAAGTCACGCCATTGTCAATGGATACTACCTTGCCACCGTAGGGTTTGCTGATGACACCCCTCCCTCCCGCAGACATGATCCCGAAGCTCCGCGGCGCGCCCACGCTGGACTACCACGCCAGCCAGACCGAGTCGTACTTCCTGTGCGACTTTGACGGCCCGACCTGGCCCAACGTCACGTGGGTGGTGGAGTGGTTCCTGGACGACACCGTCATCCTGACGGAGGAGCTGCCGGGATGGGTGCAGACAGCCTACCTGGACCAGAACGCCATTCTGCTCAACACCGAGGTGTCTATCAGCTAGGCTTTAGAAACGATATAAACGATACAACACACCTGACAGATGTATATACATAGCCAACTAGAGTTCCACGATCTCATACCTTCGCCAAATGATGTTAGCTTTTATGATTAAGAAATTATATATTAATCCCCCTAATTATGCAAATAGGATCCTCAATTGCATGAATTATATCTGTTGATCATATTCTCCACTAAAAGACAGTCTTATCTTAACAAAGAATGCCATGATGACACTTTCTCATAAATTATGCAAATGAGGTCCTTATTTGAATAAGTTATGTTTAATTATGTTCACCTTAACTTAACTTTCAAACACCCCAAGTATAAAATTCCAGGCAGTTACCACTATGCAATTATAATATTTTCTCATTAATTATGCAAATTAAGTCTTCATTTGCATAATCGATATCTGCCTGTGTTTCTCTCATTCTTAATAACATATGTCACAAGCTTGAACTTCCTATTATGGAATGCAGCTGATAAATAGAATTTCCTGATTAATTATGCAAATTACATCCATATTTGCATAATTGTAACATCATTATGTCAAGCATCACTCAAGCTACCTACATACCAAAAATCACGATGATCCATCAATCGGTTCTTGAGTTATCCGCCTTTAAACATTTGTCCATTAAACCCCCCTGCAGTTCTAGAGCAAGCAACTAGGGGGCTCAAACTCATGTCACTTTATCCCCAGCACAAGAGCTATCTACCATCCAACTTTCGTCACCCTAGCATGTCTGGATCATGAGATATCAAAACCGGAAGTTCTGCTGCAGTACCATGACAAGCCGCCAGGGGGCCCAAAATCTAATCATTTTGAGGTCTCATCAAGACCTACCCACCTACCAAGTATCAAGACAATCCATCAAGGCCTTCTCAAGTTATAGTGTTTACACACACACACACACACACATACACGAACGCCCCTGAAAACATAACCTTCTTGGCGAAGGTAATCAGAGCACAACTGCCCCCAATAACGTTTGATATGAGAACAAGCCGCCAGGTGGGCCAAAATCATTTTCAGGTCTCAGGAAGATCTAACCACCAACCAAATTAATACGAAGATTCATTACAATCCATCCATAGCTCCAGAGTTATCTTGCTGAATCAAGGGTAAATATAGGTAGATATAGCTTGCAGGTCATACAGTTAGATAGTCTTTAGTTGTGATTATGCACATGTTTTTCCTCGGTTGCTTGTGCCATTTTATGAAGCAAAAACAATCTAATCAGAGAAAAACCACGTCTGTATTTCCATAATCTGCAGGTAAGCTGTCAGGTCCATGGTCACTTCGACGGTTCGAACGCCACCACCGTGCCGGACAAAAGTGACCCGTACTACGCTGGCATCGTGGTGAGTCATTTTATATCCTTCGGGAAACATACTCTCCAAGCATAGGTTTGGGTTTGGGGTCATTTTTGGCGTGTTTTTGGACTTTTTTTATCGGGGTTTCTCTTTTGCACTGAATTTTTTGTGGGAAAAAAAATTCAGTGCAAAAGAGAAACCCCGATGAAAAAAGCCTAAAAACACGCTAAAATACCCCCAAAACCCAAACCTCTGCTTGGAGAGTACGGGAAACAGCCACTAGTCTCTATTACCACCAGTATGTGTGGAACTGCACTTAAACTAAAACTTACTGCTTCAGATGCCACTGGAAAGACTAGAAGCTGGCCAAATGAACAGAACCTGCAAGGGGAGTTGGTCCGCTAGAGGAGTACAGTTTGTCTACGCTTTTCACGATCAGCCGCCTCTTGAGTGATATGATCGTGTATGAGAAGGCACAATTATCAAAGCCGATAGGTCGTTATCGAGGGTATTGTTACGATTGCTCTTTTATGGTGTCCATCTCTAAGGTTGGACCACAGAACCTGACCGTACACGAGAACGGCGGACCGGCCAACTTCACAGTCCACTCAACCATCGCCCTGAACTGTGACGTCATGATCGTCAACAACGACGGTAGGTCTTCACATCTAGGCACTGAATACGCAACCTTAAAGCAGACTGTGTATATGATTATCTTTTTGTCGAATAAAGGACAGCTAGCGAACGTTAAACGAAAGGACGCTGTATAATTATGGAAGCATGCTCACCAAATTTGACAGTTATAAATTTCTGTCCAACGTAATCAAAGGGACACAGTCAATCTCCACCATGTCAAAAAGCTTCACTACTTCCTGTACGGAAGTGTTGTTTTTGGTCGATTTAATTGCGGATTTGTGTGTTTGTGTCGATTCCGCATTGGAACCTGGTGTCATTTGAGATCAGGTTTCCCTGGAGTGATGAACTCGATCTATGAGTATGTCGGAAATTTGACTTGTTATGTTATGGGAGCAAGCATTAAGCTACATCATACAATCGTATGAGTAGTAATCCATTGTATAATTCAATTGGACATTATCTCGTGACCGTGATACCGAAAACAGTCCCATAAGTCTTGTAAGGCTTGTGAGCGAATGTCAGAGACCAGCTTGTTGACTGTATCCTACATGACACATGGGCCGTCCTGGAAGTATTGTTTTCGGAGGGTTTGAGTGTTTGTGTTGATTCCGCACTGGAACCTGATCAAATACCAAAAACCAGATTACTTGCTGTACCTTACAGGCTACCTAGGCCGGCCTGACGTACTGTTGGACCAGTGTACCCTGTCGTTCGACACGGGGAGCTGGGGTGTGGACAACCCGCAGACGGTCACGGTCTGGGCCATCCGGGACTTCCAGAGCGACGGGGACCAGCACGTGCAGATAGACGTCATCCCGACCGCAGACTGTGACGTCCCACCGAGTGGGAACACTCAGGATGTTCTGGTAGACTTCTTGCTCATCTGATATCCTTTTACATTCTGGTTAGTTTATGTCTGATAGTCGCTACCCTGGCATCAACTGGTGATAGCGACTATCCGAGCAGACACCAAATAACCAGGATGGTACCCAGGCTACCCTTTGTATGTATAGCCTTTGGGAGACTTTTTTGTAGATAATAATTTTGTTACATTTGTTCTTCTACATGTCAGGTCACAACCATCGACCATGATTCCAGCACAGCTCACGCCTCGGGCGACCCGCACTACACCACGTTTGATCGAAGGTACCGTGATCCCCAATGGTACCAGTGTATGGGGTAACAATATGTTTCCTACAAACGATTAGGTTGGGGGAGGGTGAGTCATAATTTTACCGGAATGCTGAGGGTTATATCTTGCAACTAGGTCTCCTATCTGATATACCGGTAGCTTAATTATGAAAACAAAGATACCTCGCAGTTCCCCAAATAGATGTTCTTTCAGAGTATGGTGTCACTTGGCGGAGACGTTCATGGGTATAGTGAAGTCTTAGCAATAACATGTTCACTTTTGTGATTATATTGCAGAAGGTACGACTGGTATGGTGTTGGAGACTTCGTTCTTCACAGAAGTAAAGGCCGCCCATTTGAGGTAATATTATAAGCTATCATCACTAAGGATAACGATCTAGTCCGGCCTTCCAGGCTCATCGGTGGTCTTTCCTGAATTTAAATATCATTATGCAGGTACCCAGAACTTACTAAGAAGACCCAGGCTATGCCAATTGTGTTTGGGTATACTGTCTTGTCCGGTTTCCTGTAGGTATAGCCTCTGTTAATGTGAGTAATATTGACGTATATGTCTCCACTATCCATAAGGTACACAGTTGAAGAAAACTGTTACTCAAGCAACTGATTCAAATCTATCCAGTCGGCTTGAGTGCTTTTGTGTATCTCATTACCTGGATGTCTAACCTTTATGGACGTGTCCCTCAGGTCCATTCCCGGGTCTGGCGGTGCTGGGCCGTGTCCTGTAACTGTGGCGTGGCTGTGAGGGAGGGAGACGACGTCATCACGATAGACATGTGCGACGGTCCGTTCGGCCACACGGCCCCGACCGTCCGGCTGAGGAGTCCGCAGGAGCCCGCCAGGGGGACCAGAGTCACCCGCAGCCAGAGTGGCAGGAGTTTCAAGGTACGTAAGATCAACAATCAACGAGAAAGTGGAGAGTATTTAGAGTAGTTTATGTGAATTAATTGGCACAATCAAACAACCAAAGGGATAGTCTGGCTTTCAATGGGCCCTGTAAGACAGAACCTTGTGTGTGTATGAACAAGTCGTAAGCGGGTGACTTGCCTGTTTAGCCAATAGCCAACAAAGGCATCTTTGAGCGAAGTCTTGTTGTGTATCCAGAACCGTTACTATTTGGTACAGTTCTAGATAGCGTATCTGAGAACGTAGATTTTGCCCCAGGCACGGTTCTGGATACGCGTGGACATTCAGCGAACCGTGCCTGAGCATGGTTTTGGGTGAAGCACGGTTCTGGACACAACAAGCCTCCATCTAAACATTTTAGTAAATGCCAAGAACATGTTGTTTCTTGGTCCCGCAGGTTTCCCTTCCCTCCGGCGCAGAAGTGCGGACGGATGTAGAGTACTGGGGAATGAACCTGCACGTGAAGGTGCCCAGTGATGACTTCGGCGCTACGGAAGGCCTGTTCGGCACGTTCGACCACGACTGGACCAACGACTACAACACACGGGACGGAGCCGTCTCGTCTAATTCCAATGACTTCAGTTGGTCCTGGAGGTGGTTATTATGTCTTTTTGGTTTAGTCTGTAATGATGTCATGAAGCGGATCGGGAGAAAAAACTCAGCAACAGACCTAAGTCAGCTTACAAATGTGCCCTATGTGGCAGAGATTTTCATTCTGGTATAGTCGTAGGACTGTTCAGGTTTGGTTAATAGGGAGCGAAAATATCAAACTTGAACTACTATCTATGTATGTGAATATTGATGAATCAACGAATCTTTTTGTGACCAAGATGAAATAGAAATGTTGAACTTGTTTTGGCTCTGACATGTAAGGGTAAAGACAGGTTTTTAGCTGCTAATATATAAGTTATTTCCTTGATGTACTAAAGACCCGGCAAAATCGTGATGTCGACTGTACAAAAAGCTGCGTAGCTATAGGTACGCGAGCGCACGAAACTGCGTATGTCGAATTTGTCATGTGTGTAAATCGGCCTGCTTTGACGTACGACAAAAAGTACGTTAAGATCGTACTTTATCTCTGGTGGTTACGGCTGGTGTACGGAGTGGTTTAAACATAAAACAAAAGGCTATTTTATGACTCCCCCTTGCCCAGGATCCCAGCCGGACAGAGCCTGTTTGACCGCCTGCCGGACCCAGCGGACACACCGGGACAGCCCGCCAGTCGGTACGATGGTTCTGTGCTCTGCGCATGCACCGCCAGCGGCCCGCAATGCGGAGATCCCGACACGATCCCGACTTTTCCCAACGACTTCGACATCGACATCACAAACACGCTGGTGCAGAGGAGAGGCCGGAGGTAAGTTGTGAATGCAGGGGATTCGGAAGACCACGCTCGCAGGTACCTGGTCAATGCATCCTCTGCAATAAAATGCTGCATGTCTGCAATGTAGCTTCTTGAGATCCCTTCAAAAATGCAGAGGTGTGTGTGTGTGTGTGTGTGTGTGTGTGTGTGTGTGTTTGTGTGCATGCAAGTGTGATTGTGTGCGTGTGATTGTGTGTGTGTGTGTGTGTGTACGGAGTGTGTGATAAATATAGAGATACTTTTTACTTTAAGTCTAAAGGGTACGTCCTTAAACCTTGTGGCATGACTTTGGGAACTGTAAAAAATAGGAGATACCACCTGTCTATCATCAGGTCCAGGGACCTCCGATCTACACAAGTCGCGGACAGGTCTATACCAGCTGCCCCTGTGGCTGTCACCGCTACGTGGCCCACTCCCTCCGGAATAACGCACGACAACGCCACGGCCATGTGCAAGGAAGCCGCCATGACGTCTCCCGCCTTCGCCGCATGCGCAGCAGTGCTGTCTGACGCGGACGTGTTCTCAGGAGTGGAGGATTGTGTTGAGGACATCAAGGTGAGATCTGCTGGTCGTGGTTAATAAATTGGCTATGGTTGGATCAACACTGTTTTTAAAATTTTCCTAGTACAGCTAGACCTAGACCATGACCAGCCCCCAACTCTGCCCTGCCACTTGCTACATAATGTAACCCTAGTGCGTTCCAATAGCTTTACGGTTGATGAAATATATCTGTTAACGTTAGTACCACATGACAAGTTACGAAAATGGTATGCGGTAACGTAACCTTACATTGCGTCGTTGTCTTTCCTACAGGTGACGGACAACCTGGTGTTTCTGCAACAAGCCGCCATGCTAATGGAGGAGCTGTGTCGGGAGGAAGCGCTGAAGAACGTGACGCTGTACGACCAGAAGGACGAGAACAGCACGGCCCTCCCCCCGGCCTTCGTGGGCTCCTCTCTGTGCCCGGGCAGGTGCAGTCTCAGGGGAGAGTGTATCAACGCGACCTGCTACTGCGATCCAGGTGAGAAAGGAACTTAAGAACCAGGGATCCGCAGGCTCTTGAACTGTACGTCAAGCATTACTTAATTAAGATCTAAAGGTGGTGATCACAGTACTGCACTTCCGTTTCTACAGACCTTGTAAGTTGGTTTCGTCTGGGACGGAAATATTGTTATGAGTGGCGCTAATTCATGCTAGGTTTGTATGTTTGGGTTCCGAAGTTAGTGGGCAGAGACAGGGTTTCACTTGGTAGGTCCTGCATTCAAATATGTGGTCGCCAAGAATGTATGAAACATAAAAACTATGCTGTAAAAGTTCGCCATACAATCGTATGAGTAGGCATCTTTTGATGTAACGCAATCTGCTTCCTGGAAGTTTAAAATCTCTGATATCTTGTCCCTCCCAAGGCTATGGTTCCTCCGACTGTTCGGTGGACATGACGACACCTCCCGCTCTGGTTGTCGTCAGGTACGGACGCACGTGTGACGTCAGGTCTGAAGACTGTGACGTCATCGGCGTCGTCGGAGACGGGTTCCTCGACTCGCGGTCACTCCAGTGCCACGTCATGCACGTGGAGAGAACTTCGGTGAGTCTTATCATATAGCCAGAAGACGTCGACCAATCAGATGTCGCCATTTTATGTAGGTTATGACGTCGTAAGAAGGGGTCAATAATGATTTGACAAGTTGTGAATAAAATCTATAATCACTTCTGTTCGGCCGTACCATTATGTAAGGGGAGAGGGCACTGGTATTGTGCGTAGTGCCACTTGATATCGTATCTGTGCTTCGGATGCGAATGACGCTCAGTTGAAACCTTTGTTTCACATGCAGTAAAAAGCTGCAGATAGAAATCTAGAGTTGTGCGTGTCAGTTATCGTCCTTTATTTACAGGACAAAGCGAGGGGCCGCCAGCCCTCAGCGCTCCCCGCCACAGCTGACTTCCTGAGTTTCCGTGAGGTGGAGTGTACAGTCCGCGGGAGCGTCCTGACCATCGACGGCAACCCGGATGAGAACACGGGCACCCCCGTCAGTAACGTCACCGTTGCCGTTAGCAACGACGGTCGTCTGAACAGTGTCAGTGACGTGCTTCAGGTGACCATCTACGACTCCCACTGTCAGGAGTGTGACGGGACAGGTGTCTGTCGGGCTAAGGTATGTCCTGTTTGTCCAACCCAAGTTGTCTCTGCTATCGCTAACAATATTCCTACTTCCAAAAATGCCGATAATTTGTTTCATCAGGTTGGTAAAACAAGAAAGCTGACTGGATGAAAAAGTCAACCTCAGTGATTAACCGGGACGAGGGGGCGGGGGGTAAAAGCTTAGCCACGTTTGGGATTGCGTTCTCGCCTCAAAAGCGCCACCTACATTGGCTACATATAGCGACGAGAAGCGGCTAGAACTCCAGTCAGAAGCTCTGGGGAAGGTGTCTGATAGACATCAAAACGTAATCAAGCAAAGTGAGAGAAGCACTGGCTGTGTAAAGGAAAATCCTAACATCCAATATTTCCTACTCTATATCTAAATTGATATTGACAGGAAAACGCTTGCGAGATCAAAGGATTCTGCTACCCTGCCAATGGGAGCCACCCTGCGGACAGCGCTCGGTACTGCAACCCGTCTGTCAACCGTAGCGGATGGACGTTCAGGCCCGGTGAGTGCAGAGATTAACGAAAAAAAGCAAATGCTGCTTGGGCCTGTATCTGTATGGTGACAATCCCAAGCACTTCTGATGTGCAGAGATATTGTTGTACATTGCGTGCACGTTGTATTTTCGCTCAAACCCTATGTTTTAAGCCCTTACTTACGTACGCGCTTTACAACTCAGTATGGACCAAAGCTTATACACGTCGGAAATGCTTGGGGGTGCTTGTGTTACCTTGACATGTCTGAGAGTTTCAGAAATGGATGTGTAAATTTTGTTCTTACCAAGCATTTATGATTCTAACTCATTTGCTAAACCGTTCACAGCTACAGGGGAACAGCAGCCCAAGCACATCGTGGGTATCGTGGCCGGTACTGTTGTTGGTACAGTCGTTCTCGTGTTGGCCGTGGCCCTCATTTTGAAGATTAAGAAGCAGAAGAGGAGCGTTTCTGTCGGGTACGTCAGCTAAACTGAACTGCATTTTCCCTTGTCGTTACGCCACATACAGCTGTCGTTACAACATCAATTGTGCCAGCCTGGGCGACCCCGGAATACAAGGTCTAAATGTGGCTACAAAAGATCATTGTAGTTTTGGCTAGCATGTGATGTAATGAATGAACGAAATAGAAATTCAACGTTACTTAGGAAAATATGGCGATCTACATCTTGCACTTTTGTTTTGCAGATTCTTGAAAGAAGACGGTGACACGGTAAAACAGGCCACGGGGATGTCTCCATAACCATGACAACGTCACCATCCTGACAACTTCAGCATAGACTTAGACAGTGCAGACTTTCTAGCAGCCAGCGTTTGTTTCTGCGATCGCGGCTAGAGTGAAGCAGTTACTTGAGTTAACCACTAACCCTAACGTTAACCCCAAACCTAAACCCTACCATAACGCTGATCCTAACCCTAACCATAAACCCTAAACCCTAACCCTGATCCTAACCCTAACCCCAACCCTAATCCCTGACCCTAACCGTAACCCTAACCCTAACAAACAAACGCTGGCCGCTAGAAAGTGAGTGGAGGAGGCTAGGTTGTGTACACGTGTGGAGTAGAATAAACGATCTCTGTCATATTCAATGTGTTGTCATACTTGTCTGTCTGGTGGTAAGTAAAAGATAAATAGTACAAAGAGCTAGCATTATTGTAGTCATCATTCCCATATTTCCGTTGCAACAGATAGTAAGCATTTTTGTCACATCAAAATGTAAAACAAGGGGATGTAAAACTTAATCAGGAAAGGCCGACATTTGCTTGGGAGCAAATACAGCATATTTCAGTCCATCTCCCTCCCATGCAAAAGTGGACTATTCCAAACTTCAACCCCAGTGCACAACTGGCAAAGGTTCTCAAATAAATGAATTAAATAGTAGCTATGTAATTGATAACAAAGATGCTACAACAAGCACTTTGGATCTCGAATGCTTTACTAATCTTATTACAGGTATGCAAATACTAACAATGATGAGATTTGATACATTTTGAAGGTCTTAGCCACATAGAATTGAATGTGTGGGTCATTACGCACGACTTACGTGCAATGTGACCCCAGGTAACCCCCAATGGAACACGTGTTCCATGGCCAGTGGCAGATGGAACAGGCCATTCTTTAGATAGAACATGGAACGGGTATAGCACTGTTGGCCCTTTTTTGGCCTGAAATAGCCATTAAAGTCCCCCAAATGAGTCATTTGGAAGTGGTGTATGCCAAATATGTGACTGCTATTCTGTAGACACATGTTCAAGGTACCCTTATACCGAATTTCAGAGCATTTGGTTGTAAAACCGGGGCTCAGGATCCAAAAATCCATTTTTTGTCGAAAAATGCCCCAAAAAACCTTCATAAAAATTTTTCAAAGGCATGTATACAAAAAAATGAAAAAAAGGCCTGGGGGGTATTGGCCCACTCTACCTCCATGCCAAATTTCAAGTCATTTGGCTGAATGATGGCTGAGTTGAATCCCTTTGACTGTTTGGCAGGAGGAGAAGGAGAAGAAGAAACATCAGAGAACACAATATATTTCATCCATACCATGGTATGGACTGAAATATAAAAAGATTGAGATGCAAACGCTCAGTCCGTCCTATGATATACTTGTGGAATTTGTTGGGGGAAAATAATCCTGTTAGTGAACGAGTATGCTAAGAACTCGTCTTGCTGTACTTCAGCTAGTCGCAGAGCGTCTCTTTTTGACCGCTCCATGCAGACCCCAATTCTTGGAAAAAATTCTCTGCGAAGGTGACTAATAGAGTTAAAATGATACCGCTGTATCAATATTTTCCTCGTTACTAGTATACCGACAGGATCACAAAGTACATGTAGAATCATACACTGAAAAACGCTGATTTTCATAAAAAACACAATATAATATCGTTGTTTGTACTTTTAATAGCAATGTCTCATTGCATTTGTTCCATTGGCATTGCTGCAACATTATAGTTAATGATGTGCTGAGTTCATGATTCATTGACATAAATCAAGATGAAAAAGAAAACTTCCTCCTTACGTAAGGTTAGTTTTTATGACAAATACAGAAAATAAAGTCTCATCGACTTTGCTGCATCGAAAAGTGTCAGCCGTATGGTGGCGCTTGAACCCCACTGTTACACATTTCCTTGTTTAACTGTTCAAAGAACATTCACCCTGACACTTCTGTCCTTGGTACTGAATGACATTCACACAGACAATGCTGTCTTTGGTACTGAAGAAAAGTTTCTAGCCGCGGTGGCTACTAGTATTATATATGGACAATGCTCGGCCGATAGGATACTGCCATTCTACCGTAGGATCTGCTTGGAGATCGGTGAGATCACGCGGTCCTCCACGCGGACGCATTCGGGGGAATCTCACTCTCTGAAAGGGTTTCCCAGCCACGCCCCCAAAGAGCCTTTTCACATGAAGATTATCAAATAATTGCGCAAAATATCATAGCGCCACCACAGCACTCTCCTTCATAATCACAACGCTTCATTGTGTCAAGTTCAATTCAAACACTGTAATCTATGTATTACACGGATATATGATTTTAAACGCCGACATTTTACAGTATAAAATCTCGACTAAGAACTATTTTGTTGTGCGCATACGCAGAATCGAAGTATGTGCTGTGGCATCTATGACGTCATCTACGTCATGTGGACTGGGTCAAAGTTCAGATCAACGCAATGTTTGGCTGTTTGGCTACGCACGGAAGAAGAAGGGCGCCCAAAATGGCAGAAAAATGAGGCTAACTGTCGCTTGACGGACCATGGGAAGCAGGAAAGATCACCGACTGACGTTTCTACAGAGCTTTGTGTGCGGGGGGACGGCAGGGGTGACCAGTAGGACTCTTACGTCGCCTCTGGACGTCGTCAAGATTTTGTCCCAGGTTCGTGACTTCACATGCGAAACGTGACAGAAGTGGGGAGGGGTAAAATAAACAACGGAAATAGAAAAGCAAACATCCGCTTATCATTATGGATGATTCTGATTCGTTTTCTACGTATTGACGATGTTGTTATTTCTATAGTTATTTGCTCCGATGACACACATACCATATATGCATACCACGATCGTTTATATACGCATCACATGACATTATTACTATCAATCAGTGCGATTGTACAGTTAGACGTAAACAAACCATGAAAGGTAAACAAGCTATCTGTGTGGGAAAGGTTATGATAGCTCGCGTATTGGATATGGAAATTTTAACTCCAGTGGAATGGTAAGAGAAATATTTCAGCTGAAAGTATGCGTATGTACATGTAAGGAAGGGCTAGATGACAACTGATGATGGAATGGGAATGTTTACTTTCTGAGCAACTACTAGTATTAGGCCAGGGTAGTAAACTAAAAAGTATGACTGTGTGGGTGATGATTATATGGGGTGAATGATGCTGCATATTAGTATGAAGATAAGCAACATAATGTATCATCAACATTTGTATTAACAATTTTTCTTTTCCGCTGTAGGTCGGAACCAAAGACACCCAAGAGGGATTCCTCAGAGCCTTTTCTAACTTGTACAAAAATGAAGGACTCCGAGCCTTTTGGAAGGGCAACTTTCTTGGCTGCCTGCGGCTGTTTCCCTACACGGCCATACAGTTCAGCGCTTACACCAAGTTCAGACAGCTGTTTGTGGATGACATGGGGTACCTGAGTGCAGGTGGTGCCCTGATGGCAGGTAGTCTGGGTGGGATCACTGCCACCTGTATCATGTACCCTACAGACATGGTGAAGACTCGCCTGACAGCACAGCACACAAAGAGGAGCAAAGCCCACTACAGGGGCATCATCCACACCTTTAGAGTGGTGTACAGGACAGAGGGGATCACTGCATTCTTCAGAGGAATGTCCACATCTGTCATAGGTAATGTAATTGTAATAAGAAAACTTACCAGTCTTCACATCACATGCAAAATGTTATGGAAAGCCGGTTTGTTGTGTAATGTTTGTTGTCTTGCACGCTATTTTGCATCTTTTAAGTTCTAGAATAAACCCTAGAGCATACTGGAGAGTCCCTGTTGCATCCAGAACTCTGCATTATCCAGAACCATGCTCAGGCACGGTTCTGGATACCATGAGCCATATCCAGAATTGTACCTGGGTGAAATCTATGTTCTTTGATTAATATGTCTCTGACCCTGGTCCTAACCCTGATAAGCACAGCATGATCCCCCCCCCCCTCACAAGCTGTCTCCATGTATTTCAGGAGTGGTGCCATTTGCAGGAGGCACCTTCATGGCGTATGAGCTGCTGGATCGAGCCTGGAGCGTCCCCTCCTCACACCTGACTCCGCTAGCTAACTTCATCAATGGCTGCATCGCTGCTGCTTTTGCACAAACCTTTTCATATCCGTTTGACACCATCAGGAAAAAGTTACAGGTGAAAAAAAGAGAAACATGTATATTTTTGTATAACTGTGTTATCAACACAACATTTACAATGTGAAAGCAGGAAATATTTTACCCTGGTTACCTGGTATCATGAGCTATTTATGTTTTAGATAAGAATGAATTAAAATAATTTTTGTCATACATTTGTGCTTCCCATATTAATGTGTACAAACCAATACAACTCATGCCAGATAGCTACCTTAGCATGCTGAAGATTAAATTGTGACTTGTGATCTTCTTTAGGCCTACAGCACAGTGCTACCCAACAGAGGAGGGGTAGATGTGGAGTTTACAGGGATGGTGGATGCCTTCATTCAGACGTATAAACATGGGGGGATGCAGGGTCTATGGAGAGGCACCACAGCCAACCTCATGAAGGTACTGGTGAGCTTTATGTTGTTCCAGAACATACTATGGAGTCCATTACATGTACATGTATTTCATTATAAATCTAAAAATGCATTGTCTTATGCTTTGAATTGGAGATAACTGGAGGACAGTATGTGACAAAATTGAAGCATTGGTAGCTGAATTTGAGAATTTAAGCTTTTAGCAGTTTATGTAAATTACTGACAGTTATCTTGAACAAAATACTGGAAACTAGCTCGTTTCTATGGTGGGGATTTTATTTTGTGGTGGAAGGAAAATGGAGATTTTCACGGTGCCCCAAATTCAAAACCACCACAAATGTTTTAAGAAGAACAGTAATTTTTAACTCCCTCCACTTTCCAGGTTGTGCCATATGCGGGTGTGATGTTCATGTCCTTCGAGGCGTGTAAGCGGGCTTTCCTGTACAGTAACGGTTTCACGGTCTCACCCTGGAGCGACGTGCCCAAACCTGGGATCGACCAAACCCTGACGCCAGGAGAGCTGAGAGAGTGGCACAGGAACCAGAGAGTCATCAAACGACGTGTCAACTCTCCTAGCACCAGGCCGGGTTGCGCAATCTCTCACTGTCAGGAGCTGATTGGGCCTCCTCCCTGAGAGCTTGTGGCCAGACACCTCTAACTCTTGAGAACCATTCCCATTCCCAGAACTACCTATAACAAATCAGAGTTATTTATCAGTCCAATAAGAGCTCAGGATCCATTGTCACTATGGAAGCCGGTCATCACAGCCTCCAACACCATAATAACAGAAAGTTCTCAGTCAAACAATGATTGATCCATGTTATCTAGCAGATATGAATAAGTCAGCAGGATTAATATACTCTGTATTCTCCTGAGAAAGAGGTGTTGGCCCAACCAGTGGAAGGACTGCTAGAAGTGTGATGTAGAAGGGGAGTTTCCTCCAGAAATGAAGGAAAACTACTTAGAATTGCCCCTGTCATCCCTCAGGGTTTGCTTCTCCATGGTAGGGATAATTGTGAAATATTTATTGTTTTTGTATTTTAGAAAATCAGTGTTGCAGAAGACACTATAATATCTGATGTACAGTAGCACTAATGGTCTGGCTATTAAACCATTTTTAAGAAGTGAATATTGTTTGAAGATGTGGTGCTGTGTTGTTATGGGAGAAAGTGCCGAGAAAAAAAAAATAGAGTTGAACATACATGTACAGGCAATTTAAGGCCTATGTTCCAATATAACAATTAGACTGCAGGAAGAGCATCTCTCCAGCCCTTCCTGAGTTGCTGTGACAACAGTTTCACCGAGTTGGCTGTGTTCACTTTTCCCTGCCATATTATGATCCTCCAGATCATCTGTGTCATGTAGGTACAATTCTCGAGCTGCGACACGGTCAAAATCAGGTTTGAAAGTCTTGGAGTTGAATGTGACCCATTCTGTGTAGCGGTACTGCTCTGTCCTCATGGAATACCCCATGTACTTGATGTCCTTCAGGTGGGGGAGATCAGAGTTCGTCTGTGGTTTCTTGGAGGGACGTGGGTACTGACTGAACACTGCTGGCTTCCATGTTATTAACGTATTGTGGTCACCAGTCTCCTTTGTGACATTCAACATCACTGGCACAAAGCTGCTACCCTCGGTACAGAGCTCAACTTTTGAGGAATCCGTCGGACAGAGCGGCAGTGTCGTCAGGTTTGCCAGCTCTGCGAGGGTAGGAAACATGTCCACCAGTTCCACTAAAGCATTACTCTCGTACCCTTCTGATGGTAGAGTTTGTAAATAGCAAGGAGGTGATCCTTCCCTGTTGCAACTGTTTTTCTGGACTACATTTTCATTTGTTCTAGCTGGTGCAACGTCATAGTTTGATATTTCATTACTGTACAACTCTAGAACGTCTATATATGGGAAGGTAGATTCTCCCCTCTCTGGCCGGTGAGTGACACCTGGTACGTAGAATATCAGAGGGACTCGTGTGGCCACTTCAAAGTTACTGTACTTGGCCCACTCCTGGTGTTCCCCAAGGGACCAACCTGTCAAAGTACCAATAAAGAAAAAAGGGGAAAATCAAGGTTATTGAATAGAAGGTCTAGCTATGACTTATTTGGGAACTGATACAAACTTTGAAATTCTGAATGCATAGGTCACTTGGTTACAAATAACGTCACAATCACTCAAACTGGAAATGACTTGATCATGATGAAATGGCTGTGAGCGATATGTCTCAGAAAGAGTGGGCCCTCTGCAAAACCACTACAACAACTACTACTACTACTACTACAACTATAAAAGTATCTCGGCTCCTATAACTAGCCCCATTCTAAATCGCATCTAAGTAAACATAGTAGCAGTTCTGAGGACTCACCATGGTCTCCCACCAGTACAACAATAGTGTTTGCGGCCAGTCCCTGGTTATCCAGTGCTGACAGCACCCTGCCCACCTGACTGTCCATGTAGCTGGTGGCTGCATAGTAACTCTGTCTCATCAGCAACTAAGGGAAACAGAAACACAGTTGTTTCTCCCTCACATAAAATGTTAGTACAGTATATTACCAGAAACTGAGGCAGTTAGTGCTCCTAGCCTGGTAAGAAGATAAAAGAATTATGATATAAGTTTATAACGTTACATATTTTACAAAAAGAAACAAATCATTCAAAACATAAGTTGGCTAATCAAGTACTGTACCGTTATTTTAGCTGACGCTCTCACCTGAAACTGCCTTGGTACAGGTCCGTAGGGAAAACTGATGTTCAGTGTCTGGACATCCTCACGTTTGCGGATATCAGTGAAGGGATTCCAGGCAACCGTAGGGAGATTTGGGGGAAGGGAAGGGTCGGGGGCCAGGTGGATGGTGGAGAGAGGATACAAGTCTGGAACAAGAAAATTTGTGTATTTCTGATTGATTCTTTTGACTGATTTTTACTTTTTCTTGTACCAGGGAAGAAATCCAGGACACATGCCAATTTCGAGTTTCTTAAAACTTTCAAGATCAGAATCACAAATTTGCTGGCAAACAGTAGAATAAGATGATGATTTTTTTATCCAATACTATGAAAAAAAACATACCTTGAAATTCTCTGGGGTACTTGAATGGAATATGAGGCTTGTGGAATCCCACGGCCAAAAAGAATGGTTGTGTCTGACTTGCTTGGGAGGAGGCAGAAACATTTTGGAGAAACTCTATAGCGTAGTCTGCACTCTGGATATCAGGGAGGGACCCAAGAGGCTGGGAGTTCACGTCTACAGGACACACCAGGTTCATATGGAGCTCACCATCCGGTCCTGGACAAACCTGCCACAGTGAACAGTGACAATGAATTTGGCCACATCACAAGAATGATAACTACATGTGTAATAATGATAAAGGCCATGACAATGAAAAGACTTACTTTTTTCATCTTGAACTGCTGTGTGGGAGGGTGGTATGCAGGAACAGACCAGCTGTACGGAGCATCATCACTGAAGTTTGATGCTATTCCTGAAAAATGTTTTTTTTTTATTCAGAAAACTTAAGAAAACTTATTGTATAACAGGCAAGAAAAGAAGAGCAATGTTTTGACTTGGAAAAGGATACTTAAAGTTAGGACAGAAGTATTGCAGGGATTATTGTTATGGGCGGTGCTGTTTTTTTAGGGTTCCAGGGTGGCAACGGTTTCTAGAGAGTGTGAGATTATTTTGACTGTTGATTTCTACTACTTATAGTTCCAATATACATTCATAACAACCCTAAACACTTCTCAGAACTCAGACATCTCTGATTTCTTGTTGAAGTTTAAAGCTTTCAATATCGTAAATCAGTTGACACTATAGGCTAGGCCAGCCTGTGTGTATATACCGGAGTTGTTCACCTGGGTGGAAGACTTTGCCCACAGAAGCTGTGAAGTAGCCGGCTTCCTTGAAGTGTTGCGGCAGAGTGGTGAAGTTTCCGGCCGCCGTTCTCCAGTAGGAGTAGAAGTCGTACAGACGGGTCGTATCTGGCCTGCGACCGGTCAGGAACGATGTCCGGCTGGACCGCAGACCGCTTGCTGACGTCATATAAAAGAATGAAAAGTTTTCAGTTTTATCTCACTGCAGAGCTAGTCTCCCACTGGTCGTGACAGAGATTAAGACAGACGCTATGTGCAGTTTTCACAAGTTCACTGTACAGGGCAAATTTCCCTATCACATTGCGATAAGCACAATGAGACAATGGACTGTGACAATTTATAGCAATAAGCATGTCAGGTGTACCTCCCAACCTTTTGGTCCAGAAGAGGGGTTGCTAACCACTGGACTATGCATGCTACATGATGGTGTCAATATGAAAAGGACCGCCATCCAGATTGAACAAATTCAATAAAATAAACTAAAATGAAATTTTGTATGACACAAGATGTACAATATCAAGGCAATATTTGGCATTGCAAGAGAGGGTTTAAATGGGATACTGGAACTTCAGTGAAGATATCAATTATTCCCTTTATTTATAATGTCCAGGAAATGGCTCACCTGGACAAATGCATTGTTAAACTTGATCCCCTTAGCTGCCAGCTGATCAATGTTGGGCGTGACCACGTTCTGGTATCCATAGCAACCGAGTGCAGGGCGGAGGTCATCAATCACCAGAAAAAGCACATTGGGGCTTTCTCCTGTGTAGAAAATGTGAGCTCATTTTATATGGCACTTTGATGAATACGATGTCTGGACTTTGGAGATTTTTATTGAGCCAGGTTGTAAAACAATTTAATTAAACTTGAATGCTACATTCAAACTTTATAATGAAGCTCCAACTTACAATTCTTTATATAATCAAGGAGGTTGTATACTAGTATCAACAAATATATGTAAATAATAGCACACGCACCAAATGTCTATAGCTAAACTTTTTCGTTGTCTAGCACTCACCGATCTGTGAAACTGCGGCACAAGATTGTACAAAAAGAAGACTGATGACCACGGTAGCTGCTGTTACCCACATTTTCCCAGAATGACCTGTTATATCTGTCGCAAGTACTTCAGAACTCGAATCTTGCCTAAAGTTTACATCATGATTATGATCTGCTACCCCCCTGTGCTACCCTACAGCTACGGAAGCGGAAGTCACGAGTTGCGCAATCTGTGGCTTATTCCACTCATCAAATGGTAGGATCTTCGATGTTTATAAATAGTGGTTCTAATAAAGTATTTCACCCCTCTACCTTTGTTTTGTGCACTACAATGTAACAACTTTATAGATGATATACCATCAATAGCAATTTTTATCTGATTGATATTTCAATTTATATTAATAAACAGAGAAACGTGATAGACCCTCCCATTGCTCAAAATAGAATCGTCCAACATGTCTGCCTTCTGCCAAGTAGACGACGCGTGACTCGTTCGCCAACTTTCAGAGATATTACCGGTCTACATTACTGTATTCAAGGCCAGTTTTGCCTCGGAATCTGTCACCAAACACAAAGCAGCACTGTAAGTGTTTTATCTTGCACAGGCATTCCACGCTATTGGTGAATTTAGTGGTTAAATGTGCAGCCAAATGTCTGCACGTGTTATCACAATGGGGGGGGGTACACTTTAAACCCATGAAGTAACTTGCAGTACAAAAATTATAGTGATATTTAGAAGTCTAATGAGTATTCATTGCATTTCAGGATACAAACTAGGTCAGACTTGGTTCTCTCCATTGTGTGAGCTGGTCAGAATTCAACATGGTGAACAGACCCTTCAAGAACAAGCAGAGCAAGCGACTCACCTGCCATAAGAAGTACAAGATCAAGAAAAAGATAAAGGAGCACAACAGGAAAATTCGGAAAGCAGCAAAGAAGAAGGGCACTGCAACCAAGGTGTCGAGAGCAAGAAAAGATCCTGGAGTTCCCTCAGAAGCTCCTTTCAAGGAACAGATCCTTCGGGAGGCCCAGAAGAGAAAGCAGAAGGCTGAAGAGGAGAGAGAACAGCGCAAAATCAAGAGACAGAAAATGTTGGAAAAGAAACGTAAGGCAGAGAAGGCTAAACGAGACGTGGCCAGCCTACAGAAGGATGCTCTGAAAAGGCAAAAGGCATTCGAGCAGAAGCAGGCTGCCATGGAGCAAATGGAGGTAAATGCTTCCAGCAAAGGCTTGAAAAGCACAGAGAGTTCACGGAAGGCCTTTTACAGGGAGTTCAGGAAGGTGGTGGAGGCAGCTGATGTTGTGCTGGAAGTGGTAGACGCCAGAGATCCTCTGGGTTGTCGCTGCCCTCAGGTGGAACAGTCCATCCTCGCTGCTGGTCCTAACCAAGCGGATTGTCCTCATCCTGAACAAGATAGACCTTGGTGCCCCCGTGAGATCGTGGAAAAGTGGCTCAAGTATCTCAGGAATGAGTTTCCAACCGTGGCCTTCAAGGCGTCCACCCAGAGTCAGACCCACAACTTGTCACAGAGCAAAGTCCCGGTCAACCTCGCCAACAAAGACCTGCTGACGTCCAGCCGCTGTCTGGGAGCAGACAGCCTCATGCAGCTCCTCAACAACTACTGCCGCAACATGAACATCAAGACCACCATCTCTGTCGGCATCATCGGGCTCCCCAACGTCGGGAAGAGTTCCATCATCAACAGTCTGAAGCGTTCCCGCGCCTGCGCCGTCGGCGGGACACCCGGGGTCACCAAGACTCTGCAAGAGGTTCAGATCGACAAGCACATCAAGTTGATCGACAGTCCTGGTATCGTCATGACGTCGGGGCTGTCAGACGCCGCCCTCATCCTCCGTAACTGTCTGAAGGTGGAGAACATCGCTGATGTGGTTACTCCGGTCGACGCCATCCTGCGCAGGTGCAACAAGCAGCAGATCATGCTCCATTACGGCGTTCCGGATTACGCCAATGTCCACGAGTTTCTTGCACTCCTGGCCAAACGGCAGGGGAAGCTGAAGAAGGGGGGAGTGCCGGACGTGGACAAAGCAGCCAAACTTGTACTACAGGATTGGACGATCGGGAAAATCACCTACTTCACACACCCTCCAGAGTCCCACAACATGCCTGTCCATCTCGGAGCCGAGATTGTATCAGAGATGGGAAAGGCTTTTGACATCGGCACGATAGAGAAAGACATGGACAAGGTCCTCGGAAATCTCACCATGGAAACCACCAGTAACATGCTGGCCATGGAGTCTATGGGTCCAATGGAAGGAACCATGGAGGAGGAGGAGGAGGAGGAAGATGAAGAGGAGGAGTTGGAAGAAGATGAAGAAATGAGTTCAGAAGATGGAGAGGAGGAAGAAGAAGAGGATGAAATGGATGAAGAGGAAGACGAATCCATCAAGCATGTACCAGAAAGTAACCTTGCCGAACTGAGCACCATTTCTGTCAAAGTCAAGGCTAAGGAAAAGAAGTCTGAGCCCGAATCTGTCATGAAACAGAAGCCTGGTACCAGCCTTGAGATCCCCTCCGTGCTCGAGGGAAACCTCCAGCTGGGAAAAGCCGCCAAAGTGGCACAGAAAAGGCGGAAGAAGCAGCAGAAAAGGGCGGACAAGCTGTCGACCCAGCTGTCAGACTCATTGTCTGCAGCCATGGACTTTGGTTTGGGAGAGGACGACAGTTACAACTTTGACACAGACTTCCAGTAGACTGGATAAATGGAGATGTAATACTTGTTTGAGTCTGATGTAATGTCCTACTGTATCTGCTATTTCACAAAGCTGTAATGACATGGCTGAATTATCTTATTTCTTGTTGTCACATGTAGCAGCCATGAACCCTGGAAATCTACAATATATGGTAACAGAAGATTGACATAAGATTGGTTCTGAAGTCAGTCTGTATGAGGCTCTTTTCAGTTGCAATACCGAAAAGGGTGCAGATCAAGATTCTGAGATGAAGAAATAAAGGAAAAAAAAAAATTTATTTTTCAGGTAGAATTTTCTTACAACTGGTTAATGTGAAGAGGTATATTCCTATGATCTACAAATATGTGTATACCTTATTGACAGATTGAACACTGTATTTTCTTCAAACGTAGAAAGATGTCATTGTCTTAAGTCAACTCATGTCAATGTAAGGATCAGCAAGTCAGACAAGTCTTAATTAAGAAAAATGCTTGAAATATAAGCGCAGAATGTAACGTTACATTCATAGTGCTGATATGAATCAGGGTTGAAGATAGTACAAAAATGTAATTGATTTGTGAAATAGTGTTACATAAGTAACATCACTTAAGCTTTGTGAACATTATTAAATGCTATGAAAAAGGAAAATGCTTCCCATTGTATACCTAATTAAATACTGTCATATCAAATTACTAGTACATGTACTAGTGTCTTACGAATAAAAATTCTACAGAAGCTTGGAATGACATAGAAGCTGTTCTGTAACACAAAAGCCTTATTAAAAGTTAACAAGTTATAGTAACCTAAAGTAACATTACCATACTTAGTATCTTTAGCTGCTTGTTTTTTCTGATTTACGAATATTCGTATGTATGTTTTAGGCATACAGGTAACCTTTAGTTATGTTAGTTTACAAGAACCCATTGATAATTTACTTTGGCCTTCCCAAAAACCCTAAACAAATCCTTTCCCAGTAGTGACTTCTTTAGCCAGGTACCCGGTGTTTCAGGGCAGACACCACATTTGCGTTGCGCAGTAGAGGCCTCAAAATGGGAACACGATTGTAGTGCCTAGTTAATACCTTTGAAAACCTTTTTTTCTCTTGAAATTTTTGGTCCATTTTGGAGATTTTTGGGCTGGAAGGCACAGGTAGGGTCGAAACTTTCCTACATTGGTCAAGTTTTGTTTATTTCACCAGTTTAGTGGGCGTAGTGAGAGATGTGAGTGGTTAGGTCTTGTCTGGCCAGGCGGATGGATACCATGGAAAATGTAGGTCAAAGTTGAGGTTTTTTTACTATCATCAGCTGTGGCGGGAATTTGAGGTGGTCAACCCCCTGTTTCCTTTCTATTTTTGGGAATCAGACCCTTGTTGCTACCTGGTGCAGAAAAATTTTTGAGATTGGAGTATGGGCAAGTACTTTCATGAGGTGTTGAAATAGTGTATTTAAGCATGTGTTCCTATGGCAAGATCTAATAGTACTGTCTGCCCTTCAGCAAAGCCAGCAAATGACTGGCCGGCGTTGATTGGACAAACACTAACAAATTGGACCAATGACCGGACTTCTTACAGATAGACCGAACTATTGCTGTATAAAGGTAATATAAGTTGTTAGTAAGATATTAGGTTTACTTTTTATTGCGTCCTCTAGTAGCGTATAATACAGGTTATTTATGTTTAAATGGAATTTGTACAGATAAAACTTAGTCATGTGTTTAGAGCTTCAAAAAGCCTGTAGATAATAAGATATCTTAAATGGTCTCCCCTTATTTGAAGTGGACCAGTCCAACATTCTAGCGCGCAGCCGAAAGAAAAAGGTCGACTGAGCAAAAGCCAAAGCAGGCGGTAACGTACAAACATAATTTCCTCCAAACTCCACGTTCCCTACAATTGAAGCGGCCCGTTGCGGAAGGTATGTGAAAGTGTTGTATACCTGATCTCGTGAGCATGTTGTTTTAGATCGTATTTGTGGCTGTCGTTCGTATCCCTTACCTAGTAACGCACTGTTTTAGTAAACGGCAACTGATGGGGGAGGGGGGCACTGATGAGTCATGTCATGTCATGCTAATTAATTTTCTGGTAGCTTCGATGGATCCCACCAAACCACTAAATTTATTATAATCAAATGGTATTTTTTCTTCATAAATTGGGGCCTTTGACAATTATCTGTATCTGTATCTGTATAGCCGGTATAACCGCCTTTCGGCGTAACACACCAGCTTCGCAGGCACGCGGCGCGGCGGCAGCTGGCTATATTACACCGATCGACTTGTTACACCTAACCCTTGAACTTCTAGCTCTAGACATTGTTTAAAGCTATCTATTGACAGTGCCCCTACTGTACTTGGTGACAGTGAGTTCCACTCTGCGATAGTTCTAGGAAAGAATGAATTCTTGAACACCTCAATCCTTGGTTGATAACTCTGATACTTGAATGCGTGGCTATTTCTTGTTCTCTTCTGAGCTGGTATTAGGTACTTAGTAGTTGGGACATCCACCAGTTTATTAGTCATTTTGTACATCATGCATAGTCTAGACATCTTTCTTCTGTCTTCAAGTGAGGTCCACTGTAGGTTTCTTTTCATTTCCGTGACACTAGCACCTCTTACATAGTTGTTCATACAGAATCTTGCAGCTTGATTCTGTACCCTTTCCAATTTGTCTTTGTCTTTCTTTGTATATGGATCCCATACTGTCGCAGCGTATTCTAGGTTCGGTCTTACAAGTGACGTGTATGCAAGTGATTTTTACTCTCGTTGGACATGCCCACAGATTACGTTTAATCACTCCCAATGTCTGTTTCGCCTTAGTTGTGATATTATTAACATGTGCACCCCACTTCAGTCCGCTTGTCAGCGTGACGCCCAGATACGGATGGATTTTTGTGGTTGCTAAAGCCTGACCACAAAACTGGTAGCTAGTTGCATGTGGTGTTCGTTTGTTTGTTATGTGCATAATGTAGCATTTTTCGGGATTAAACTGCATGAGCCATTTGCTTTGCCATTCTTCCAGGGTGTTCAGGTCTTTTTGGAGAAGTTGTGAGTCGGTCTGTGTAGAAAGCTCTACATACAATAGACAGTCATCGGCAAATAACCTCACATTTGAGTCAAGCTGATCTGGTAGGTCATTTATATACAAGAGAAAGAGCAATGGCCCCAGGACGGTTCCTTGAGGGACCCCAGACGCTACTTTAACTGGAGCCGACGCCTTCCCTTCAACCACTACTGTTTGCTCCCTGTTGGTCAGGAAAGCCTTTAACCAATTCAGCGTAGGGCCTTGGATTCCATAATACTCCAGTTTTGAGATGAGCCTGCCATGGGAGACTTTATCAAAGGCTTTAGTGAAATCAAGTATTGCTAAATCTACCTGCCGTTTACTGTTTAGTGCGCCAGCTATGTCATGGACTGTTAGTATAAGCTGTGTTTCTGTGGATCGTTTGGCTCTGAATCCATGCTGGTAATCCGTTAATATACTGTAACTTTCTAGGTGCTTCATGATTTGGCTATGGATGATATGTTCAAGTAGTTTGCAGGATATGCAGGTCAGTGAAACAGGTCTGTAGTTGCTGGGGACCGCTCTATCTCCTTTTTTAAAGATGGCGGGTCAATTATAAAAGCAAAACAGCAGTGCTGTGCGTGTTTTCTTTGTTGCATAAGTCTTCTTCGGCAGTTGCAGTTTCGACTGTATATCCCATCTAGCATCTTTTCGTGACATCTGTGAGTGACATCCTATTTGTATAACAAGGCTCCTATAATCAAATTTGTATCTGAGCGAGTATGGGAGCCCCGTATAGAAATGGGATGATTATCATGATCATGGTACCCAGGCTAATAAAAATACTAAAATATCACTGCACTCCATGTTCAGTCCAATAATCTGGTAGTCTTATAGATTATAATGATATCAATGTTGATGTTTTTCTGCACCTTGTAGTTCCTAGCCACTATGGATGTTAATAAGATAGTTACTTGAGCTCATTATGGTAATTATATACTAGTACATGTATCTGTATCTGTATAGCCGGTAAAAACGCCCTTTGGCGTAACACACCAGCTATGAATTAGTAACCTTGTATATTATAATGATATCAATATTCATGTTTCCCCTGCAGCTTTTTGTCCCCAGCCACCATGGATGTGAATAAGATCGTTGAGCAGCAGGTTCTCCAGGCAGCCCAGGCTGTGGAGGCGCAGATCGACGCGGAAATGAACCGACTGGACAACCTTGACGAGGACGACTTGGAGAGGATCCACCAGAAACGGCTGGCAGCTCTGAAGAAACAGGCTTCTAAAAAACAGGTGGGGGTTCAATTGTCTTCTGTAGCATAGAGTAAACTTGGAGAGGATCCACCAGAAATTTGAAAATTACCTGCACTAGGCAAATTTTGCCTGCAGCACTCAGTATACTGTTCAAAACTGTTAAACTGTTCGAAAGCTATTACATGTACTGTTATTTCTGTTATGCTTCATATCAAGAATATGTACAGATAGTTCTAAGATGACTAAGGTTTTCAACTGTTTTTGTGATTTTTTTGTCTTTTATATCACACTTTTCTTCCTGTAAATTGCTCAGCAGGGCCTTGGGTTTTAAAATGTGACCTTACCATAAGAAAGCTCACTTCAGCTTACTTTCACTGAAGATAGACTCATAGAGACAACCCGGTGACCAAGTTACTGTCTTCCCCACAGGAGCTCCTACAGATGGGCCATGGCCAGTACACGGAGATCCCGGAGGAGAAGGAGTTTTTCCCCGTCTGCCAGAAGAGCCCCCGCGTGGTGTGCCACTTCTACCGCGAGAGCACCTTCCGCTGCAAGATCGTGGACAAGCACCTGGCTGCCCTGGCGCCCAAGCACGTGGGGACCAGGTTCTGTAAGATCGACGCCGAGAAGTGCAAGTGGCTGTGTGAGAGGCTGAAGGTGCGCGTGTTGCCCACCATCTGCTTGGTGATTGACGGAAAGACCAAGGACTTTGTGGTTGGGTTCGACGACCTGGGAGGGGTGGACGACTTCCCCACGGAGATGATGGAGTGGCGGTTAGGGTTATCCGGGGTCATTGACTGCGATGCCGACCCCACCAACCCCCCCACCCTGGGGCAGAAACCCAAGAGAGGGAAGAAGGGCATCAGGGGTGGGGAGGGGACTCCGATGATGATTCAGATGATGATTAACTCTTCCTCCAACTTTGTAAAAATGAACTTCATTTTAAGTATAGTAAAATGTTGAACTTTATTTCAACACAACAAGTACAGAGAGATCATTTTAAGTAAGTCATGAAAAATTTGCAGTGTGATTTTTTCATATGTATATCTGTACACTTTTTTTATTGCATGAATGAGGTGGAAAACCTTCTTTATTAACACTAATAACATCTTTCAGAGTCTGTCCAAATGAAAGACAGGGCTTGAAATACCACCTGCATATGCAGGTTAGTGCAGGTATTTCTGATCTACCTGCACCTAACCTGCATTGGTCCATGTACTGTATATATACCAGTATGTGGATTCTTATTTGTGTATTGACTGGTACATGGTACCACTTACTTTATGAATGTATTGTTCAAGAAGTAATGGCAATGGTTTCTGAACAGTTTTTAGCATGATCCATACTTTCATACCAGTGCAGGATGTCAAGCACTGAAAAGTCACAAACATTTATGTTGAACTAAGAAGACTTAAATCTATTCATAATCCTCGTTGTTGTGGTTTTTTTTATCAAATATATGTTGTTTATACAGCAAAACATAAGAGACATGCTAAAAGTAGGGAATGCCTGCCTGCCTGTATTTTTAATGTTTGCTTTTTGCTACTATATGAACTTGCTTTGATGTCAGTGGAGTGCCTCGTCACGATATGATAGATAAGTACTAGTATAGTTTAGGTATTGTCCTGGCAGATATTATTGTAACATCCAATTTTGGGTTGAAGTTTGACACATTGACAACACCAGTATTTTCCCATTTTTTTGTACATGTATTTTCAAAAATTAGAGTTACAGCACTATAATAAGGTTGTCACTTCTTAAGTGTACCCTGTAACTACATGAAATGGAATAAAGAGGAGGATTCTCTTGTTTTGGCCTACACACTTTTAGACTTTCAATTTTGAGGTTGGTTTAGATGACTATCTATGAATGGATTTCAGTTTAAACATTTGTGACTTCCAATAGCCTGAAATCCAGCCTTGTTGGCTATATGTCTGCTCCCCAAAATTTGCTACCCACCAGCAAATTTTTGGGAGCGGACCTAACAAAGCTGGCAGCTAGACCGCTGTAGGCGGTATCTAGAGTTGGGCCTCGTGGAGGGTTCCTACATCACTGCATAGGACCTTTTGTGTTTAGAAATAACGATCTTCCCCCACCAACCTCTGTTTGGAGACAGCTGGAAATGGGGAGCCCCATAATGGGATGGAATCAAATAACGTTACATTGAGGGCTTGTCCTATAGGTTGGAAAGGTTGGACATGCGTCAGGTTATTTCCTACGGCCACACCAAGTAATTGTTATGGATGACGTCCACTGGAGACCTTAAATTTTATTTTATGACGATTTACCACATTTGTGGAAGGATTGACATATCAAGTGACTATCACTTCTTCAAAGATGCCAACCACGAGACCAGACTGTAAGGTTTGAACCACTCACACCTCGAGGTCCCCTACTCTTTTCGATAAGTGCGGTGGGTTCTTTAACCTGCGTGGGGTGAATAAAAGAACACAGTGTAACAATTGCAAGAAACAAGTCTTCTATTCGTCATAGAAATAAATCAACAAAACAGCAGTAGTCGCCCAATTAACAGCCAATGCAAATTTCACCTGTGCCTTGAGGCCGGCCTTTACAAACACAAGGAAATAAAGTGTTTTAATGAATGGATGAATGAAGACCTTCACTGTACAAACATACCCACTGAAGAATCAACGAAGAACCGAGCTGATGACCATGTTGTTATAAGCCTGTGCATAATGTCCTTAGCCTGTGTTACACAAGCTCTCGGCCGGAGGTTTTTTGGGGGCGGCCGGCCGCCAGGAGCGCGATTAGTCAGGCTAATGTTGTGATGAGCTGATGATCTCGCGTTTATATGTCAGAACAAAGTCAGACCGATCACCAGGCTCAGACAACTGAACAGGAAGACAATTTTGCCGATCGCATGTGCTCAGGTAGATCGCAGAATGATCAGCTATTAGATATGCTTACTTTTAGTTGTGAGGTGAGGTGAGGTGAGGTGAGGAGATATTTTTGACGACCACGGGTATAGACAATTTTATTGACCTGAAAATAACACCAAAGATGACATCATTGTACTACGCCAACTGCAACGTTACTGCAGTAAAAATCGTTGTCAAATTTGTCGAAACGTTGGCAATATATAGACTTGCGCAATAATCTGAAAACTGGAGCGGGATAATTTTTGCTTGGCAGAAAAGGGGGCGTCTCTGAGTGCCACAGTTAATGGACAGCGAGCAAATTAGGCAAGTGTGACGTAATTTCTGAGGAAGATAAAGGCCAAATATGATAGACTTAGTTTTGTTAGATACTACCAAAACTTGAGTGGCCACTCCCTGTATTGTAATATCACAAGTGAATCCATGCATTTTACTATACATGACCCTACAGCGACTTTGCGCCAATGGAAATTTCCACTGTCTTCAGACTCTCGAACAACCGGTTTTTTCTCAACGTTGGAAACAGGTCACTGTTGTCAGTAGGTCTACCTCTTCGCTATCAGTGACATCGATCGACCGCATAGTGTCTAATTTTCACAACGACAAAAGCTATCTTGTCGCTCAGCTGTACTTAAGAAGAATGAATTACGTACGTTTTTTGACGGCTGTCAGCCGAGCAAGGAGCAGTGAGTTCTTGAGCCACTTGGGTGAGTAAAACGACAATATTGATTAATGATGAGCGCAACAAACGAATTTTACCTGTCATGCATGTGTGTACGTGTTTCCGTGCTGATAGCACAGACGACTGCAAGGGCTAATTCTTGTTCATGCGATTAACAAAACTAACGAAATGAAGTGTTTCAATCAACAAATAAGAACGTAACTGATCAATGATGATCATGTTGATCGCACGCGCGTGGACATTCAACATTATTCATAGCGTTTCTTTGACAGAGCAAGGTCAGTAAGTAGATTTTTCTACTACATGTAGACAATTTTGTCGCCCGTAGGCGCTCACTACACGTGGATCGCGGAATGTTCAGCTGTTCGATATGTTTGTAGTTGTAGGTATTAAGTAGATATTTTGTACGACAACGTGTAGACAATTATGTACGGATGACCGCGTCGCGATCGCATTGTGTTGTATCGTTACGTCAGTGGAAATTTCCACTGTATTGCGATCCTTGACCCTTTTCTAGATCTGTCGGTTAGTGCAACTTTCAAAAGATTTTGGTCGTGAAAACAGCAGATCCTGGGACAGTGAGTTCTTGAGCAACGGCAACATTGAAAATATCCAAAGGTTACTACAAGTAAACTTTTCGTCCGTTACTAGTTCTTTACGGAAAAGCGGAGCAAATGTCTGAAAAGTGGAGCCGAATGATTTTTGATTCAACAGAAAAGGGGGCGGCGTCGATTTTTCGTCACGCATTTTTCGTCGTCAATACGGTGCGCTTTTCGCGAGGCAAGATTTTTAGTTGTACAATAGAGAGAGAAATCTTGTTCGTGTCAAACAGACATTGGCAGTGATTATTATAATATAGTTAAGCGCAACCTATGGTCATGTTAACACCCAAGCCTACCTTCCCAAGTACTAGTGTGAAGTCACTTGCATACACGACACGTGTAAGACCAAACCTAGAATATGCCGCGACAGTATGGGTGGGGCTAATCAATCTCCCATCGTGAAATACCTAGTACCGGGAAACCTAGCTGAGGCGGGCGGGAAAGAGCTCCTGCAGCCCAGAGGAAAAGCCCGCCCCAACCACGATAAGACTGGATACCAGGCCAGATAGTGGAATGTCCTCATTATTTCAGGCGTGGGCAGTTACACCCTCCCCCGACATGGACGTGACTCATATGCATCGTCGATCTCTGACAGGAAAAAAGAGAGACCTACATGACCCGTACCCTGTAATCATGCTTGTCTGTCGACGTGCTGCATAATACCAAGGAGCTTGATATAGTACCGACCCGCCAGATGCTGTATCGGTGGGGCTTGTTTCTGTGGGCATATGATAAGTATTCTGTGGCCTTTTCTAGCCTCCACCGGGCCTTCCTAAGGGGTTTTGATTACAGTGTACTTATTATAAGATTTATGAATAGAAGAATTCGGCAAAAATAGGGTTAGTATGGTGGCCAAACTCCCCTGGCCAATTACTAGTACTAGAATTCTGCCATTTGGGTGAAATTCTACTCTTTTTAACCCGCGTTGTTGCTTATACTGTTAGTCTGCGTTTCTGCGTATCGTACTGTCTGTTAGGCGACCTGTATTATATATTCATGATATAAATCATCGAACTCGCCTAGAGCAAGAACATTATACACACTGACAGATGTATAATGTCCTTGCCTAGAGCGATGAGTCACGTAGCGTCGGAAGAGTTAATTGACCGTAAATGCTGTCACTAATTTGAGGGTCACCCTGGCCTGATTAAATCACTTTTGCCGGCCGCCCAACATCCAGCCGGCTAGGGAGCCCCCCGGAGCATGGGTTACATAGGCTAAGGGTCACCCTAAACTTGATAAATCAAAGAAGTACTGTTACAGTTGGTACACTGTAGTCTGACTTACTATATTGTGCATGTTTAACTTTGCAAAATTATATTGGACAAGACATTCAGTCAAAGTCAGTCAATATAAAAACGTTTGTGTCAGTACTAACGTGATTTGGCATAGCCCCGCCTACCCAATCGCAAGTCTATAAACCACATGCATGATGTACGTGTCCTATGCGGCTCTTTCATGCTTTTATGGTTTTATAATGGGTTTTATCATTAAATATGACTTCCTTGCTTGGCACGGGGCACTTGCGTCGGTCCGAAGCTCGGTCACAAGCTCGTAACATGCATGTACCGTAAGGCTGTCAAATACTAGTATTGATGAAAAATGACACCAAAAAGCGCCACCCCCACATTCACATGTACAAATGGACTAACCTAGAGTTCATGAGAAGTTCACTGTACCCGGCCATGTCGGCATACTGATAAGCCTTTACACCGGTCATATGTAAGGATGAAGTACGCCAAGTTTCTGAACGCCGTGGCCAAGGCCAGGGGGGCATCGCCTCTCCGTGCATTGGGTGAGCTTTTTCTGGTTGAACTAGATTGGACAACTACCGTTAGCTCGGTTAAGTTAAAACCAGGCATAACGTTATGCACTGCCCTGGAATTGAAATACCATCGTTGCCATAACGGAACGTGCGCATTTATCATGCCTTTTCTATTGTCTCTCTTGTTTACATAAATTATATATTTAAGGAGTATCAGGCAAAAAGCACAATTGCCATTTCTAAACAAGGCCGAACAAAGAATCAACTTGATTTTTTCTGCAAGTACAAAACAATGATGTCACCCCCCCCCCCAACGAACTGTTGACTTTGTCATTTCTATTTCACTGATTTTTACCAACCCTTCAGTCGAAGCATAACGAAGCAAAGTATTTATCGCTTATATGCTTTCTACCATGGTTGTTGCCATGGCATTTGCAAAACAAACTACTAGGAAATATTTATTCCTGTGGAGGGTGTGTAACATGTATTATGTGTTTCTGAACACACAAAAAAGGTGTAGAATGATACAAAAGTTCTCTTACTGACAGAATGACATTGCCCTTGCAGTTGACATCCAGCAGCGAGCAGTTCCAGGGTCGCTGATCGCCCTGTCCACAGGCATGCCCAACACCTCCTGCTTCCCACTGTCTTCTGCACACCTCTACACCAGGTGGGTTGAACTGTTATCTAAAGCAACTTAACAGTCAAGTTTGCCCAAGAAGGCCAGCTAGGGGACCAAGGTCTTCTTGGACAGGTGGCCTTCTTGCAGTCTCCATATTTTTTTTTCAAATGTTGCCACGAATTTCTGATTTCCTGATTGTTTGTAGGTAATTAATATTCTATCATGCATATTTGATTGACAGGAAGGGGAAGAAGCTAGACTTGTCTCCAGTCTGGATGAACCAGGGTCTGCAGTACACCTCCTCACAAGGGTAGGCCTTTGTGATATTAATACATGCAGCAGATTTTCACTTGCTGATTCACCTGGTGGCATTCCAAGTTATTTTGGCTGACATTTTTGTGCATGTGTTTTTAGTAGTACAGTTTCAGCATCGCAAGCAATATTTGTCCAATTCCATGTACAACATACCAATTGTGTGTATGACAAGATGTTGATTTTTATGAGTTACATAGAATTAAAAGCCTGTTAGAAATTGATATATGTTCTCTGTCTCTTAAATGACACTAAAGAAGAGTGACAGATGTCCGAGAAAAGTAATCTCCGTAATTTATCCAGCTGTAGAATTTCTTTCAATATTGTTTACCTGGATGTCTAACCTTCATCAGTATATTCCTGTTCTGAATCATTGTGTACATCTGCAGGCATCCAGAGATGGTAGAATGGGGGAAGGAGCTTCAGAGGAGAAAACACAACCCTCCCACCGACTACCTGAGCCACGAGGGAAAGATGGACTTGTGTGTAACAGCTGGCAGCCAGGAGGCCATGTGCAAGGTACTCACACAGACCTGCCTCTTGCCTCACATGTTTTCATTGTGCAGTGTGCATTGATAGCATGGATTTCATCTGTGGAAGCTATATTCTGTATCTGTATAGCTGGTATAACCGCCCTTCGGCATAACATGCCAGCTTCGCAGGCACGCTGTGTGGCGGCATACTCACTCCATTCTACCTCCTCTGTGAAGGAAGAGTGGAGCTGGTATAGCATCTGCAAATGGAATCTATAGTCTCCAAGCAGATCCTAAGGTGGCAATACTCTTGGCCAAAGGAGTAACCATCTTAGCTTTGTTGGCTACTGTTCACTCCTTTGTTTGACCAATGGTACTGCCTTGCCACCATAGGATCTGCTGAGGTATTATGGAATCCATCCTAGTGTATTGACATGCAATTATCCAGGAATGTTTGTCTGTAAAAGTAAGATGTGCAGTTCTTCATTCTTGGAATTGAACATGTTATGTATTTTTAACCAGACTATGGAGATGTTGGTGACTACTGGTGACAATGTCCTGATTGAAACTCCTGCTTATCCCGGAATACTGTCTATTGTGAGTATTACCATATTCTGATATTCATCACACTCAACATCACATTCAACACTCTTCAAATTAGTTAAGTGTTAAACAGATTTTTGTCACACATAAAGAAAGGCAAAATTAACCTGCTCTTAAAGGAGCAGTATAATGTCTCCATCCCAAAAGAAACGTTCAGAATAACTTACATCATTTCATAAGGCAAATTCAATTGGGTATTTCCTCTCGATCATATAATACAGTTCCAATGCATTCACAAAAACGCAAACACTTCCTAGAAAGCTTTACATTTACTAATCTCTGATTTCCTGTTCCTGGTTTTGTAGGCAAAACCGATGGGCTGCAACATCCTTGAGGTGGAGACAGACGAGCATGGGCCAAAGATAAGTTCCCTGCGAAGGATCCTGTCCAACTGGAACCCTGCAGACAGTTCCAATATGTGTTCAGACATCCCCCGTGTGTTCTACACCACCTCGTCAGGATCTAACCCCACGGGCGTCACCACGTCAGTGGAACGGAAACAGCAAGTGTATCAGGTCCAATATTTTTACATTTTTCTACTGTATATAGTATTGCTGTGGAGAAGCTATGTACTGGCAGGAGAGACTTAATATGCTCTCTTTTCACAGTGCTAGGAATAGCTCCGCTCGCCAGCAGTGAGGGCTGAAAGTGAGCACACCTAATAGTGCTATGCCTACACACCAGACATCAAACAGCCATTTAGTATTGTCCTATGCTTCAAGAACAGATTCTGAAGTATTGTTTTGGGCATTGCTTGCTTAGGGGAAGTTTGTATGTCCTCAGCACAAAGTATTGGGAGTGAGTGAGCAGAGATAGGACATCTCTTTATTTTGAATCCCTATATTTATCTGTGATTGAAACTCTTGATATCTTTGCATTTACCCCACAGATAGCGAGCGAGTATGACTTCCTTATCCTGGAGGATGACCCGTACTACTACATCCAGTTCACAGAGGTACAGTCATCAATGTTTGCTTCTTCATTGGGGTCCCAATGTTATATCAGAACTATTAACAAGGCTATCAACTTATCTTAAAGGTAACATCTTATAGTAAAGTTATACAGATGATACATGTGACTTGGTGAGCAGTGGATCATACATGTGTTAGTTGCATCAGACTTTCTGCAACATATGATTCCACTGCATTACATAACATCACTTAAGCATTATTGCTCCTCTGGACCCCCTGATGGCTTTCCTTGGTACTTTAGCAGAATTTTCAGTTTTGTGTGCTTGACATCCTAGTTTATTGTACTCTAAACATGTATGCTTGTTTGATGTTCTAGACTCCTGTGCCCAGCTACCTGTCTATGGACGTTGACGGACGAGTCATCAGATTTGACTCTTTCTCCAAGATTCTATCTGCTGGGTGAGTCTGTAAGATTTGAACGTGTGTGGATGAATAGACTCTTGTGTGTGAAAATCTTTGTTTTCGATACGCTATATATACCCACTAGCATACATACGTTCAAGGAAACTATATCTGAACTGACAGTATCAACTATCATGTGTAGGTATGATGCTTCATCTCAGAGTTCCTTCCAAACAAGTAAACACTTTCATTTGCATATAAAATGTACCCCATAGCTAGATTTTTTTAATAATTTTTTTTTATAGCTAGATATCTGTGCTAAGATATCGGTTAGGCCAAGGGGCAGTTACACTGTCTTATATACAGATTCAGATACCCATAATGATAATTCTTTCGTACAAGTCTTGTATTTTTCTATCTTGCTACACAGGATGCGTATCGGGTTTGCCACCGGTCCCCAGCCCCTGATAGAGAGGCTGGTGTACCACATGCAGGTCTGCACCCAGCATGCAAACACACTCTCCCAGGTAGGAAACAGTCCTTACTCTCCAAAGCAGAGGTTTAGCCTGATTTATAGCCTAACCTCTGCTTGGTTTTCTAACCTTTTTAGAAGTTTTGGCAGGCTTTCAAGTTTGTTGGCTATTCTTATGATAGAAGGGCTAGAAAGCAAAAAAAAAAGGACAAATCATCAAAGGTTTGAAATAAAGGCCTAACCTCTGCTAGGAGAGTACAAAGTCCATTTTGTATCTCAAGGAGGTTACAACTGTATCATGTTTTTACTACGACTCTGATATGGAGATGTTGTATTTTTGTATTTTCCCAGATGATCTGCCTGCTGATTCTACAGGATTGGGGACAGGAGGGATTTGATGCTCACACGGAGCGGTGTGTCATTGTACTTTTAATATTACATGTAACCTTCCACCTGCTGTCTAATTCCATAAAGGAGTTTCAAAATACAAACTCAATGTATAGAGTTTTAGACTGTATGTTTACCGTGTAATAATCCTCAGAATTTGTTGAAAACTGCTGACATTATGTAATCATTGTTGTTTGTTACTTAACAGTGTAACAGAGTTCTACCGCAAGCGGAGAGACATTATCCTGGAGTCATGTGACACTTGGTTAAAAGGTATTGTGTCTTCAGTTAAACATCATTTGGTGCATAGAGTACTGTAAATGTATCCACTTTTGAGATGGTTTTGTAATCCTATGGCTTTTATGTACCTGTGTCCTATCCTGGAAGACTAGCTGTCACTTAGTTATAGGTACACAGCTAAAGGAGAGGTTGAAACCCAATAAACTCCAATTCTATGTACCGGTATATATGTAAATTAAAAATAACTTTTTTTTGCAGACTATGCAGAGTGGACTGTCCCAGACAGTGGTATGTTCCTGTGGATGAAGCTCCTGGGAGTCCAGGATACCGCTGACCTGGTCATGCAGAAAGCTCTGGATGCAGGTACGTTCATTATGGTGCAAATGTTTTTATACGAGAATCTGAAAACATAACATAACATTGCTCACATTCTCTGAATTCTAGTCTGGCCTTGATGTTTCTATATATGTATATGTTTTTCTACATTGTAAAAAGAATGCTTTTTAGCCAAGTTACCAAACCCAGTTACCAAAACTATTTTAGCTGCCAAATCTCTTTTGTCCTGCCAAAGTTTCCTACCTACAGCTACAATATGTTTGGTAACCAGAGCAGAATTCAGAGAACAGTGAGCAACATTTTTTTAGCTTTACATGTTGGATATACATGACAGTTCAGATGCTTTTAGTTTTATTGTGCATATGGTCTGATCCTCAGCTCAAAATTAGACTTGGGAAACATTGTACCTATCAACTGCATTTATACATAAGATAATCTTCTTGGAAGATGATAAAAACAGTCATCTACTACAATAATCATATACATGTAGCAGAATATTCCAGCATTTTCAGTGTTTGAATGTCATGCCCTGTGCTTATGTTTCAGGTGTGCTGTTTGCTCCTGGCAAAGCGTTTACCGCCAATGAGGCACCCAGCTCCTACATAAGGGCATCATACTCACAGGCTCCTGAACAGGACATTGATAAGGTATTATAATACTGTTCCTTTCTTTATGCCTCAAAGATTTTGCCAGCTAGATTTTGCTTTCTGTAATGAACAAAAGGTTTTTGCACAAAAAAAGCAGTTTGAACAGCTATGATGATTCATACTATAGTTTTAAAAGAATCAGGGCAGGTATACATTTTGGCATGAGTACAGGAAATTCCAGTTCAATACCAAGGCTTAGACACACTTTTTGACCTTCCTGTATGGTCTGGCTTTACACCATCGGATGTCTGTGTTCCTGTCCTGAATGATTTTACAGATTTAGCAACACTCATGACTAGCCCTGCAGGAAGAGGCTCTCTTTCCTTCTGCAGCGTCTTCTGGTCTCCAGCTTTTGCTCTTTCAGATTTGTATCTGTCCTTTGTCTTTGGTTTTTCTTTTGTGTCAGGTTTGGACTTGGGAGTGGAATCTCTTGCTTCATCAGGGAGGTCATGCTTATTGGATAGATTTTTGGAAGGATTTCTTAGAACTTTCCTCCCACCTTCCGTGTTTGTTAGCATGTGGGCCATAGCACGGAATTTTGAACTTGAATGCTCTGGTTTCCGAGGGGCATTGCCAGTGGGTATTGGCCCTGCCTCGGACACCAAGCCACCACCCACGTTTAGTGTCATCTGAAGATGTCTGTGTTGTTGCCTGTTCTGACTAGAAGGGCTGTAGTGGCGGGAGCCAGGAATTGTGAGCTCTCCGTTGCTGTGTTTACCTCTGCCTGTGCTGGGCAGCGTATTTCGCCAGAGGTCTTCCTTGTGCCTTGGATTCCGTGGCTTTGGCCATGTGGTGGTTGTTTCTGATGCAACTGAATGGTAACCAAACGGTATGGTGTATCTTGTACTCAGAGGAGTGCGACTTGTTTGGTTGTCACTGAGGTTGTCCTCTTGTATGTTCTCATAGATGGGCTCAGTAGGATAACTTGAGACCGGGACATGTGTGAATCCTGACTGACAATTTTCACTCGGCTTTTTGAGGACCCTGGCTGGGAGAGTGGGCCTATTCTGGCCATGGTCAGGGATCACCATCTTGCCATGTGTTAGGGACCTGGGATTATCAGTTTCTCGAACATTACTGCAACTGCCATGGTTTATTGGTGAGGTGAGAACTGCCCGGAATGACCTCGGAGAGTTGCTTTCCTTCGGCATTACAGAGCGACAGGATTCATCTGGATTGTTGTAACCAGGTTGTATAGACCCGATGCTTTTCCCATTCATTTTTCCATACCTGTGATTGAGAGTGGAGGGTACTATCTCATAGTGATGGTCAGTTGCACATTTGTTTTCCGTTGTCACAGTTTGTGTCAGTCCTGAGTGTCCTATATGGCTGTTGCTCAAAGTAGAGGAGTGTTCCACAGGACATGGCATCTCTTCTGGGGTGGAATATATGTTCTCCTCCCCTGTTGGTGTAATCTCTACATCCTCAAGTGTGATAACAACCTCCTGATCTCGTTCTGCCTTCTTGTTTTTCCTCTTCTGGTGCAGGCAGGACGTTTGACCCCAACCATCACCTTTGTGACAGGTGAAGGCAAGAACAACCATGATAACTATGATAAGAGAGGCCAGCGTGCCAAAGACAATGCCAATAACAGGACTGGAGCCCCTTGAAACGTTTTGTATATTCACTGCTGGGGCTAAAGATGAATTGGTGAATGTGGAAATACTTGTGATTTCCTCTTTGAACTGAAACTCCTTGTTTTGTGGAGAAAGTGAAAGGCTGCTAAGGACTATTGAAAGTGTGTCGTTGCCTCCAGCATTGCTGGCCTGACATGTGTATGTGCCCTCACTGTCCGGTGAGGCTGTGACGACATGTATGGTGCTGCCAGTCTGTGTGCTTCCATCCGGCAGTGTCCAACTGACGACAGGTGCAGGGAAACCTGTGGTGTTGCAGTGTAACGTCACCGTCCCTTCTCCAACTGCTGCCAGGTCATTTGTGACCTGTACTATGTCTGGGGCGACACAGATAAAGCTTTCGGACGGTACATCGGGAATCGTACGAGTTTTCAGTCCAGAGGGCTTGTCACATGTTGGATAGAAAAGTCTGTTAACACTCGAGGACTCGTACCAGTCTCTCAGCCATGCCAAGCGGCAATCACAACTAAAGGGATTGCTGTCTAGGTACACATAGGCATCATGAATTATGTTCTCAAATGTCCCCTCAGGAAGTGTGGACAACAAGTTGTTGGACAGGATTAGATTGTTAAGCATTGGAAGACCACTGAAGGCATCAGTGTCTATTGTTTGGATGGTATTAAACCAAAAATCAAGATGGGTCAACTTAGGGAGGGGGGAGAGGATATTATTTGGAATCTGAGTCAGATTATTGCGCTGAAGGGACAGTTGCTCAAGGTTTGGTACATACTCGGAAAGATTTGAAGGAATGGCATCCATGCTATTATTACTCAGTTCCAAGATAGCGAGCTTTTGTAATCCTAAGAAAATACTTCCAGTAAAGTGAGAGGACAGTTCTGTTTTTATGTCGTTCAACTGAAGGCTTTGGAGAAGAGGAACCCCTGCAAATGGCTGGAGAATTGTCTGGGTAAACTGGTTTCCTGACAGGTCCAGTGTTGTGAGGTTCGGCAGTTGGTTCAAAGTGCTGGATGGGACCAGGGATAGGCGATTGTACTGAAGGTAGAGTTGCTCAACATTCTCGAGAGGATTTGTGGCAAACGACGGCAAAGACGTCAGCTTGTTTGACCCAAGCTTCAGCACTCTCAACCACGGAAAACCACCCAAAATGTTCTCATCCATATATGCTATATCATTGTAGCTAAAAGCCAGGTTTTCTACCAAATACAGCCCAGATAACATTTCCAGTGTTAAGGACTCTAACCAATTGCTGGTTAGATCAAGCTTTGTGACGTTTTCCAATCCCATGAAGGCTCCAGGCTGGATGCTACTGATCCGGTTATTGTAGATGTTCAAGGTTTGTAAGCTGGTGAGGTTAGAAAATACGCCGTGTTCCAATACACTGATGGAGTTGAACGGCAGGTCTAGTGTGACTGTGGGGAAGGTGGCTCCAGCTGTAACATTATAGGCCGGAATCCCGCTTGGTACTGCCAATAGGTTCTTCTGCCTGCAGTTGACTCTTCCTAGGATGTTGTAGGGGCATGCATGAATGGAACATGGGGACAGACATACCATTAGATTGAACAGTACCGGTATGTATGTGAAAGGTCCCGGTCTTCCTGTAGTTCTCATGTTGTGGAGCTGTTGTTGTCTGGAAAGTCGCAGGACTGTGTCAGAGTTTCTTACTGACTCTGTCTGAAATAAAGCATGGAGGGCAAGCTGTAAGAAAAAGGAGTTGGGTGTACATAATGTTTTACTAGTCCTTTCAGCATTTAGTACATGTACACGCAACAATCATGTATTTTCATTGTAGTATCAATACGGTACTGTGTGAGCAATTTAGCATTTTTACATACTACATCTATACAGTAGTAAGTCATGATACAATAGTCAGTGGTGATACTTTGCACAAAGTTCCCGTTTTTCCTGGCCTTCTCTGTACTAGTAACTGATAATTGGTACCTCATTTGTAGAGAGAAGTGCAGTAAATGCAAATATGCGTCGACATGTCAGCAACTTCCCCAAACATCTTTTCCCGAGATATTGATGTCAAAAGATAAACATCTTTTCCTATACTTCAACAAAAAGCCTGTAGTGCCGAATTTCTTATGTTCTTTGTTATTGGTGCTTACACAAGCTACAGTTTCGCAATGGCGCCAAAGTCAAAGCAGCGGTAACAAAGGTACTTCTGAGAAGGAAGGGGTTGTTTTTAAAAGTCTTACGCCTCGATGTCACCATGATGCGGAAATTTGTGCCCCAGGTAGGATTCTGAATACAAGAACAATTCCATAGCACTGACCGCCATGTAATATGCTGATGAAAGTGTAATAGTCAGTATAGAACTGAGACCTTCTTTTCCAACATCAAAGAAATGTGTGGGTGTATCATGGCCATGCTTCCTTAATTAACTTAGTTATGTACCTCCAATCATCATAAAAAAAGCAAGTTGGAAAATGTAGATGAAAACTGGGCATTAGTTCTAAGATACACAAATTAAAAGGAAAGTTTAATGAATACAAAATATATATTGGTTATACTACAGCACAGGCATTGTTTCAAAGTGCTGATTGAGTCTCTTGTTTAACTGCTGTGAGTTATTGACTGCTTTGTCTCCTCCATTGTCCACTGAAAAGATGCCCTCCAATGGATTCTGACCATAGCAGATGTCTTTTCTGGGTATAAAAGCCAAGCCTTTGTACTGAGGGTGGTAAACTTGCAATACAGAGCTTAGTCTAGTCTTGCTCCAATACCAATTTGATAGTAGAGTCCACTACCTGTTCTATCCCTCAATGCCTTACATGTACCTACCTCAGAACCACATTACTGTATCTATCACAAACATCAAATTGATGAATAAGTGTTCATTGTTGGCTTCCCATGCATGAGGACTATAATACACATTACACAAAAGTAACCTCGAGTCTAGGTCTCTCAGTTCTAAAGAGCCTATGTAAGACTAAGAGTTCCTTCTATTACAGTATACCTTTGGAAGGGAGAAACAACTTAGATAGAGTACAATGTTACCTACCTTGAGTGATGTCTGTAAGCTTCCTCACTGCTGCTAGAACCACATTCAGGGACGGATCACAGATGGAGGGCTTCTCCTCCCCTGGTTGTTGCCAGGAGGCAGCCGTCCACTCAGGAAAGAATTCCCTCCCCAGAGCCTGAGTCCTTCCCTCAAGTGCCTGGATTGACTGTGCCTCTTCTGTTCAACCCTGATGAATTTGTGATGCAGCTGGATTGTTTCCTCCACATTTATACCCAACCTTGTTCCTCATTAAATAAAAAAGCCTCATTGTTTCTTGATACAGCTTATTGTCCAAATTATGTGATCTAGATGAAGATTGTGCCATTCTCCACTTATCCTCAATTTGAAAAGAGGTTCCACATTTATACCTAACTTTTACATGATGTTCCCGATAAAGTATAAAAAGCCTTTTTCTTCCTTCATTAAGCTTATTGTCCTTATTCTGGGAACTACATAGATGAAAGAAATGTGCCATTCTTCTGTGATCCTCCATTTGAAAAGAGGTTCCGCACGTCTGAAGAAAACATGTCCAGTGATACAAACATCCTGTTTTAACTCAGCTTCCTCTTCTTCAAATCCTTCATAGAAAAGAAGTTACAACTGTTACATCATTCTTTTCAAGCTGTTACCTCTTAGCTTATAGTGTACAAGCAAAACTGTGCATATACATCCTGCAAAATGCCAAATAGCTTATGTACACTTAGCCATCTTGTCTACAGTTTGTTCATGAATCAACGCTATTACCCAGACTTTGTACAATGTAAGTATGAAGTGGGAAAAATATAGTATGGCCCATTGACTCCATTGACAAGTCTGAACCTATCTGTATGTTATAAGCCTTTTGCTATGCCTACTGATTGCATGTTACTAAGGTTACATAAAGATTGTATAGAAATAAAACTGTGTGTTTTACTTCTCACAGGGTATCCAGAGGCTGGCTGCACTGTTGAAGGAAGAGCTAAAGCTGACTGCGTCTGTGTGATGCCAAACAGCCGAACTGCAAACTTGGTCGGGTTAATCTGAATGTCAGAGGGGCAGTCTGTAAATGTTAAACTGGGACAGCTACAGATGTTGTTTTAAACTGGGACACCTATGTTCTAAAGCCCCTACGTTTCGACATAGGGTTATTGTTGTTGGAACATACATGTAGGGGTGTCCGTATATAGGGGTGTAACCTATTAAATCATGTCTTACTTCTTTGAGTTTTGTTCACAATAGTATTTCACATAGGATGATGTTATTGTTAGTGATATGAAAGCAAACCGTAATCATGGAAGCTTCTAGAAGAGAAACAAATTTTTTTAAACTGTACATGATGTAAAAACACTTTCAGTGTTACTAATCATGACCAGTACCTGTATATATTGAGTTAGACCAAGGACATTATACACAATGTCTCTGGTTAGACTAACCAACATCTTTTGCAATTAGGAATGCCTTTCAAAGTTGTTGGTTACTCGCTAGAAGATAACTAGTGCTATCCTAATCAGTCAATATATAACCATGGCCAGTATTTTATTTTTGCTCAGATAAGAAGACATTATCAGTCCTCTAGCTATGCAAGAGTGGAGCTCATCATGATCTATTATGTAGGAAAATAGGTGTTGAATAGGCAGGGTTTAGGTGTAACTTGTTGTTTGATGTACATGTCTGTTATAAAGACATGTACTGTAATTGAGTGTAAACAAGGTATTAAATGACAGCTAAAGAGGTGAATTTGGTACATCCTTCCAGTGATATATCATTTATAAGAAAACCTATCATTTATAAATAGATGTTTACATGTAATACATGGTAAAAGGTGCTTATGTTTAATGATTCTTTACTGTATTCCTATGGAAGCAAGCTATTTGTCTGCAGAGAAGGCTATTATAGTATTAAATGGAATAGACAAAGTTTGAACATATCTATGATCCAAATGGAAATGGCAGCTTATTTTTTTATGGGTGCAATAGCAATTTAATCAGTTTTCATGTACTAGTATTCAAATATACAAAATGAATGAATTACTGTGACAATTATGTAGAACTGCCTGTCCACAGATTACAGATCATATACACTGTACTGTATGGATCCTTCATTTTTTTGGGGGGTGTGGCTTTCCCTGTTTTGTGTAGCAAGTGAGGAAGTGCTTTATGTGGAAGCGGATGTATTTGAATTGAATTTTAGTAAAAATAAACAAGATGCTGAAAAAGAGCCTTTGTGTGGAAGATTAGCTTTTTTCAGTTTATTGAACATAATCTCTTTGAACACAGCTGAACAATATACATACGTATGACCTGTACATGTTGCAACTGTTTGCAGAAGTAGACTTCTGATCTTAAGATTTGTCTAATATCATTCAATGAATAGTATTAGACAGCAACTTAAATCAGAAGTGTTTTTGTTAAGATATGTCTAATATAATTCAATCAGATATTCATTATCTTCACTTCAGGAGGATAGCTGGGAATTTTATTGGCTGAAATGGAGATATCTGCGGTTGAACCTGGCATTCTTGAATGTTTAAAGATTAAATCATGGCTACCACATATGCACAAGCCAAAACATAATTCAGATTCTCTAGATTATCACTATGGCTACAGCTTCAACCTGATTTACTTGAAGTCCAAGTATGATTTCTTCTTCCGAACAGGAATGTCTCTCTGGTATTCCTGGGGATCTGCCCATCTCTTATGGATATTCAGGTGTTCTAGATGGTCCTGTATGTACTTGTGTGCCGGCATCCTTTTCCGGTAGTTCCAATCCCTGATCTTTTCAAACTCCTTCGACGCACGAGATTCCTCGTCAATACATGCCTCCTCCGCCTGTGAAGTGTAAAAAGTTGTAAACCACATTTTTGGATAATAAGAGGCATTTTCTACATGTAGATAATTCTCTCGTACAGATACCATTGGTGAATGGCCATATGCAGTTAGTAATCCTACATGTAGCTCTTTCCAGCCTATGCTACAAACTGCAACTGAGATGACACTAAATATTGTGAAGTTTGAGATAATCAAAGAAAGTTCTTTTAGCCTGCCAGACTCTTGCCAGGGCTAGCTTCTTGGATCCAGGGCCAAAATGTCCCCAAGGAAACTTCAAGGAAATTTTACCACAGACTCCCTCAGGGTCTAACTGTGGATTGGCCAAGACTATTGTTCTTTCGGTCTCACTAGTATCTGATTCCTGTACACAAAGTTCCCCTATTCTCAATTCCTGAAACCTACGAGGGAATTCCCAACATAACCATTTGGTTATATTGGGAATTGACAGTTTCCATGACAGTTTACTTATAATCAGTGGTCGAAATACTTTTTTTCAGTGCTCTGCAATTTTGCAGAAGAGTCGAAATTTGGATCTGCAATTTGGAAATACTTCCTGCATGCAAATACACATGCCTCCATACTACACCCTTCTCAGACGAATTATGCCTTTTTACATCATATATAGCTTTGTAAATCTGTAGCATTACTGGAATTCTTTTAAGTTTGAAATATTACTCTTTTTAAGATCCTTCTCTTTCACATTGCAGAAGAAAATGCAGGTTTATTAGCAGAAACTATTGATTCATATGCAACTTAGTGAAGACAAATTTTTGGAGTCAAAAGCAAACAAAAGATAGACAAGTCAAGACAATGATGATATAAATTAGTGAAGAAGCTCCTGTTGTTTCAGAACAGGATTTAAGTGTTGTCTGCCCCTAGGGCCTGAGAGTTCTAGTGTGCTAAATTGAAAACAATTGAATCTGGAGCCTACTTTTCCTTCTGCAAAATTGCAGATTGTATAAATTTTTCTTCTGCAATCTTGAAAATCTATCTGCAGATTGCAGACTGCAGACAGGTATTTCGAACACTGTAATAATAAGTTGTGTTTCTAACAGTGCCGCTGCTCCTATTGTCTTTTCTGATATATCTATAACTGTTCCTTTTAATACCTACACAATTAAAAGTTCCCATTTTGACGTATGTTCCCACCTATCAATTATGTTCCTAGTCTACCTGTTCTTTTCTCTGCTCACCTGTGACAAGTGACATGTGGACAGATACTTCTCTGTCTCTGCTTCCCACCGCAGTCTTTTCAACGTGTTCCTCTTCATCGTCAACGTGATTGGTCGCCAGCGACGGTGCTTTCTGTGGGTCACAAAAATATGAGGGTCAACCTGGTGGCCAATCTGTCAACACTTGATAACACTGTTAACATTAGTACTGCTGTCATTCAAGAAACCATGACATGTTGAAGTGGAATCTACAAGTACAAGGTCAGTATTTTCCTCCACAAGCACAAGTTAAAGGTCAATCAAGCTTTAGTATCCTTCAACGGACATACAGTAAGTGTACTAGTACTAGTGCACTTGGAGTGCCTGGTAGTGGTAAGAAAATACTTGGTATCTGTTAACATTAAATTATCAACATTTGTTGGTGTTAATTGCAAAATTTATCTTGAGCAAGTTTATACTGCAAAATTATTTATGTTTATCAGATTATGCTATCAATAATCAAGTATCTCAATCTGCCGCAATCTGCCACTGGTATTCCTGGATGCAATATATGTGGTTCAAAGTCAGTTTTGATACAAAAGTCATCAGAACCTCATACACTCAGTAGTTATAACATGACGACGAACTTGTGCTTGTTCTACTCACCCAATCCACTGTTTGCCGGGCACGTGCTCTGTATTGAAGTACCATTTGTATCTCATTCCCCTCACTGTCTTCGGGAGGTAAGATAAAACCATCGACAACCTCATCTTTTCTGGATTTTTGCAGCTCCTCAGTCGACGTGCCCTCCCCTCTGACCTCTTCCAATTTATTCCGACTTCCGAATTGGGCGCGTATATTTTAAACAAGGGGACCACTATCTACAACAATACATAAAAAGAACTAATTATTCGAAAGAAACGGACTAAAAGTTAATAACGGTGTACTAATATCTTTATTAATTGGAAATATTTTATTTTTGTATAAATTTAAGGGGTATAATTTTATTATAAAAATAACTAATATCTGTAATAATCCCTATTTCGTAATTGACTTTACCGAATCTGGCCTTTCTCCCAGAAGCCCTTGCGGCTTTCTCTTCGCCATTTTCCAAGGTATGATCGCCGAACTTTTTCACATCCCTCTAAAATCAGTCGTAATCAGACGTCTGTGAAGACGATCTGGCAATAATCGTCATCCAGATAGATAAAGCAGGATACAAGGAATATTATCTGATTGATTTTGTAGTTTTACTCTAGTTACTGGTACTTAAAATTCGATGTAGTTGTACTGGTACGATACAGCTCCCTTGTGCTGTCTTACTGTATTTTCAAAGCGGAGTAGAAATCATATAGACTGACACGGTAAAAAGTCTGTATATACGTTGTTCACACCTTTCGATGGCCTATTTCTGTAACGGCATGAAGAAGAACACCACACTGTCAGTAGATCCCTGTTAGAAAGGCAGATCTTCCCATACCTGCCTTGTGTTGTTATGTCCAGTGTTGCTGTTGCAGATTACAAATTATATACTGTGCACTGTACAAAATGTACTCAGATCCATGCTTTCGAAATGAAGTGTTTCGATGTATTTGAAATCGCAGATGGCTCCTAACAAGAAGGGTGAGAAGAAGAAGCGCTCTGCCATGAATGAGGTGGTGACCCGGGAATACACCGTCAACCTCCACAAGAGAGTCCATGGCATGTGAGTACATGTACAACTGTCACTGAGTACATGTAATCTGTGTAGGTTCTTTTATGAATCTACATATGTATAGATTATGATACAGCATAGCAGCAATGAGTGAAGACCAGGACATAAGATGCCTTCTCTCTGGACTGTACAGCGTATCAAGTATTAATCAAGATCAAGATTAAGCAAAAATCAAAGCTTCACCAGGTAGCCAAGCAGTGAAAAAATTCATAGATTTGCTTATTTACAGTCATGTTAATTGTGTTCTATATGTATGAGTAAGGAGAAAGATCATTGTCATGATGAAAATTAAGGTTGTCTGAACTTGCCCCAGAAGAATTTGATTTGAAAAAAGATCAAAGATGGATTTCAATCTCATGGAGACCAGGTGTACTCTTTGTCAGTAGTTTTTTTGTGTGTATATATTATCCTTCCCTCCTTCAGGATTTGTGCAATAAGTTGATAAGACTGTTGTGCTTGTATCAACCATTCCCAGGGGTTTCAAGAAGCGTGCTCCCCGGGCAGTGAAGGAGATCCGTAAGTTTGCTGAGAAGATGATGGGCACCCCCGATGTTCGCATCGACACACGGCTCAACAAGCAAGTCTGGGCCAAGGGTGTCAGGTACAGTATGCTTGGGTCTTGGGGTGTGAAAACACATGTAGTGGTGTACACTTCTTATGACAAAAAGCTGCGCAAAGAAGTTGGCATAGAATTACTGTGAGGTACCGGTACAGAGGCTTAGGGACAGGTCCAGACCTGTACCTGAACAATTTGACCCATTAGCACATGTTTTTCTGCATTGTACTGATATTCAGTACTGGTACACAGCCCTATACTAAATCCAGATCTCCACTGTTACAGGAGTCCCCCATGCAGGCTGAGGGTCCGTCTGGCCAGGAAGAGGAACGAAGACGAGGACTCGCCCAACAAGCTTTACACCCTGGTCACATACGTCCCCGTCACATCCTTCAAACGTAAGGACTGCCGGGAAGGCTGGAGTCATGGGTTCACCTTCATGAGAATCGATACTAGTACTAGTTGTACATGTATATTCTAACAATGATGCATGTGAGACCAAAGCATTTAAATGTCACATACTGATAGGATGGAAACTGCCAATTTTGAGTCTTGTCTGTAAGAAAATAATGTGTCAGCATTCAGGAAAGATGGAAGAAGCAAGCTGTGGTAAAAATGGTAACAGTATGAGTAACACAGTTATACATAGATGTGAAATAATGAGATTCAAAGTTCATCAAAGAAACCTAAATTACACAAAACATAGACCTGTATAGATTTGTATAATATTATCAAACAACCCCTCCCATTAAATCCTTCCTAGCTCCTTGAATGTCCTTGGATTTGATTTTAAAGGTTAAACAATTTTTCTTCTGTGTTTGCAGGTCTGGGGACGGTGAATGTGGAGAGTGAGGACTAGACAAATACATTACCAACATCTAATGTAATAAAAAATATCTCGGGAATGTCCTATGTGTGATGTGTGTTTCTTTCTCAACAAGGGATTAAACTACATGTGCATCTGTAGAATACATAGTCATAGTGAGGTGAAATGCATTTTGGTATGCTTCCAAGAACAAGTACTGTAGTACATGTATCATGAAAATGTGTAATATCATTTAGGTACAGTGCCAGTGGACATGGACACTCACTCATGGCTAAAATTAGGTAAATCCTGCCCAAGTATGAAATGCAAGCTCAAGAGAATACAAGAAATTTCAAATACAGTCAAACCTGTCTATAGTGGTCACTCAAGGGACTGGCCAAATCTGACCTATATGGCCAGGCCATAGAGAAACAGCCAGTTAGTTGACCCCCATTAAAAAAAAAGTGACACATGCTTTCAGCAGTACCAACAGAGATGTCTTTATTCTGAAACATATGAAAACATACATTGCGCAAGGTAAACCTCTTTTTAGATGTACGTGTTATAGTTAAATATTTTTTTGTTCTTTTGCTTTAGTTGTACTCATGGTACTTGCTTGAAAAAAAATACAGAAATATTGCAAGGAAACATTATAATGCATTGACATCAAAGATACACTCAACATACTCTGTTAATCTATTGGGACAATGAAACCATTCACACTAAAACATACAAAATCACTGGTTGTCATTTACTGTTATTTGTACATACTACATGTACGTTACCTATAACGAAAGAAATCAAGCAACAAAGTTTCTGTCAACTCCAAACAAATTTCTATCGACTGCAAACTCATTTAATCTAAGCTCAGCTTTCGACGATTTCTTCTCACTCTCTCTGCCAGTCGGATCAGTTCCACCTTTTGGAATAAGTTCGGCGTCTGTTTTTCCGCTTTCGCCATCGTTCTCTCCACAATCGCCACGTTACTAGTAAGTCGAAAAGTTTCCTTTGTTTACAGCTTGGGTTTCTGCTTACGTGGGTTGTTTGCTTCTACCATTATGTCAATGTGATAGTCAACAGAAAAGTTGCTCCTTTCAGGCTTATATCTTTTGTAAAATATCCACTACAGTCTTAAATTTACATCGTAAATTACTTGTAATAATGTATTTCAAATGTTTTTTATAATGTAATCAGGCCGTTTGATTCTATAAGATTTAAGAAAACTCGGTGTATCTACCTCCATAATAGTGGAGTCGTCCGATGACTGCTGCTAGCCCATTTTGGAAAAACACGACATGCATTTTCCGAGCCCAAATTTCTTGAATTATGCCCATGAAAAACGGAAGTTGCGCACATATCTACGCATTTCGAGGAATCGAAAAAACAAATATGGATATTCTTAAGTAAAGATTGTAAAGATAATTGCCGTTCTAACTACAGTAAAACCTACATACAGTCGTGATGTATTGGAAGTTGGCGCCATGGCATTGCGCAAAACAAATAAAATGTTGAAAAAAAGGTACGTAAAAAATAAAAGCCGTAGTCGTGAGTTAACGAAAAGTGATGAAAGTCGATGTCACTAAAAACAAAAAAATGTTCTGAAAATATTATAAAAAATGAAAAAGATATATCGTTGTCGGCAGGATTCGAACCTGCGCGGGAAGATCCCAATGGATTTCTAGTCCATCGCCTTAACCACTCGGCCACGACAACAATTGGATAGACTATGTGGTGCGTTTTAGGAGCTTATACCAGAATCAATTTTCAAGAAATTTAAGTGCCCAGATTCGCTTCATTTTGGTAAAGAATTATTCTTTATCTGGTAATGGCAACAGAAAAAAATATTTGAGTTCAGACTGTCCCGTGTAGCGGCCATATTTGACCTACTTCCGGTACTACTGCCATGCGGACTCAGGCAGTACTGCAGTGCATGACCGCGCGGACAGTACAAAAGCGACATCTAGCAGAAGTAGTAAAAATCGCAGATCACTATTGACCTGCGATTTCTGCTAGGTGTCGCTTTTGTACTGTCCACGCAGTCATCTTCTCTTCTTCCATATTACGTGCTTAACCTCAATAGGCTGAGGACTCCAAGCACGGTCATACCCTGCATTACTTTGCGGGAATATTTTCGTCCCTATCCTTTTAGTTACTTTCCCTCCCCATCTTCTTAATTTTCCCTTCTATTTAGTAAGACATTGATTGCCCCTCCCAGGCATAACAGCAAAATTAATGCACTCTTGTTGGAGAAACCCAAAATGGATGGTGCTGCATTTACTTTTGTCCAAAGCAAATCTTTTAACTTACCTTGTTCAGAGATGAAGGGCCATTTTTCCTTCCCCTGCATTATCAGGACAGATTACATCTTAGCATCAAATGTTCATGTGGAGAGATACCAGAAACTTATCCTCATCAAGGGCTTAGACCATGGCCAAACCAGCAACTAGACTATTAGCATGGATCATTCATGTTCATAAGCATTTTTTTTTGCAAAAACCAAGTTGTTGTTTGGCTTCCTATGCCCTGTTCTAACTTTTTACCTCATTTACTTTTGACTTTTTAAATGAAATTTCTACTACTATGTCTTGAAATAGACTGCTTGCCCCAAACAAAATGACAACACAACACGTCACTGAGACAGGATAGTTTTCTTTATTTTTCCAGAATTGGTAATGTCTCAGCAGCCTCTAGTTGCTGCTAGTCCAGGTGTTTGTTGTTTATTGAGGTGGTGGCATCTCCTCCTGGTGCCAGCTGTGAGGAGCAAAAAACAAACAAGCAGGTAAGCATTAGCTACTGATGAAAGCAACATAAGGAAAGTGCAATTGTCATTATAACCTGCCATTATTAATGAGAATGAAAAATACAGGGGGGGGGAGGTGGGGGATGGACACAACAACTGCAAGTGTCACCACAAAGAGATGGACATGCCAGAAGTTGTTGAAATTGAAAGGAAAAGTAGCGCACAGCTTACATTGGAGGCCCGCCCATGGCAGGTGCCCCCATGGCACCTGGCTGGACAGGTGCACCTGCGGCGGCTGCAGCTGGGGCCGGGGCGCCCTTCTCACCCTTCTGCTCAGACGATGGACCTGGAATAGAAATTGCACAAACAAATCAATTAGTAAAACCTGTGAACAATGTGTTCATTCAACACTTTCAATAACAGGGCAAAGCCTTCTCTTCCAATGTGATTTGGAGTGACAGACACACCAGGAACCTGGCCTAGGCCTGTGAACTAACCCAGAGGACAGTCTATATCCAGGCTATGACAGATGTGGCCTCAAAACATTTTACCAACCGACCAACAGTTTTTTCCTGGAAGTTCAAAAATATAACACTATGATGAAAGTTTTTCTTCCTGTAAGTACAAAATACGTATAAATATGTATAGATTTTCACTACCTTAGAAACTTTTAATTGAGAGTAGAAGATTAGTTGGTTCCTACTTACCTGATGGCATGATCTCATCTTTAGGCTCCACAATACTGACGTGGTCAGGCAGGGGTTTCTTGGGGCCAGTCTTGCCAGTCGGGTCCCAGGGCAACATGATCTTCACCTTGATCCCCAGGACACCTGGGAAATGTTGCAAAACAAACATCAGTTTGGCTTATCCTGATATTTCAGGATATATATGATAGTGGTGTTGAATGGCCAGGTGGTTAAAGCTAGCACTGTAGCAGACATGAGATTGAGAGGTCACAAGTTGAATTCCTGGCATCCCTGGTAAGATGTTGTGTTCTTGGGAAAGGCAGCAACACGACTTTCCTCCCTCCACCCAGGTGTAAAAAGGGTACATGACTTCTGTTGGGGAGGTAAAAATCATGCCCTAGACACAGTGGGTTAACCCACTGCCCCTTCGGCCTCAAGAAGTCCATGGGTCTATATTTACCTCTGATCAGTCTGACCACAAAAGAAAATCGCTTTACCTGTCATAATACTGCTTTTGTTAAAAGATGTCTTAATTACTTGGATCTCATCATAAATGTTCAGGCAAACAAAACTTAAAAGCACTTTTCCTCACCTTGGCGCAACATGACGTGTCTGACAGCGGAGTCCACGTAGGAGTTGGCGGGCTCACCGCTGTGGATCATCAGACCGTCCACGAACTTCATGGACTTGGCACGCTGTCCACGCAGCTTACCCGACACAACAACCTCACAACCCTTGGCGCCGGACTCCATGATGAACCTCAGCACACCATAGCATGCCCTGGGAGGGAACAGTCAGTTTGTTCATGATCAATTGTTAAATATTGTGATGCCATGGTTTCCACATATTTCTTCTGTATTATTTAATGCATTTGAGCTCTATGAAACTAGACTCAATTTGTGTTTCTCAACAAGGACACAATAATATCAAAGAATCATTTTTAAGTTTCTTATATTATCCATCACACAAACTGGCATGTTATTCAGGATTTATGATAAAGTGTCAAAGTATATGTATACACCATTGCAAGGAACGTTTTCATAATGTCATGCTTAAGAGTCAGTCTGAATAGAGAGATACAGAAGACAGGTTCAGCACAGGCTACACAATTATTTGTGTATCAAAGCAGTGCCTTTAGTTAATTAGAGACTTTCAATAAAGGCTTTTGAAGGTCATCATCATACAAATTGGTACTGCAAGTGCAACAGAGGAAGGATCAACCTTGTACCTTCTGACAGCCAGACCACCGAGTAGCTTGTACCGAAGAGACTCAGCCTGCGCAATGGCACACAGACCACGCTGGGCAACCTTCTCTGCATACAGCTGTGATGGGAGAGAGAAAATATATATATGTTAGCTACATATCGTAAGAGTTATACAGGTGTGATATGTCCCAATAAAGTCAAATTTATCTGCTAATACTACTATATATTTACAAATAGTTTGTTTCTACAGTTTTAACTTAGCCTAACAGTTTAACCTTGTCTCGGTTAACTGATCGTGAAAATAATTTTTTATACCAAAGCCTAAATATCATAAATTATTATCTAGAGTCTAAGAGGTAGAGGTATAAACAGCATATGACAATCTGTACTAAATGATGATTGATAACAGACTTACAGACTATGTAATTTACAACTTCAAGCACTGCTGATTTGAATAGTTACTCTTTTATAAAGGATCGCATAATTATCTGTACGTAAAAGTTTTGTCCCTTACCTCAACTGTGCCCTCGGCGAAGCCAAACCGTTTCTGTACCACCGAGGTGAGCTCGCGGATTCGGCGGCCCTTCTCGCCTAGAACGTTCTGTGTGCGGGTGGCTAGGATGATGATCTCGGTCCGTGTGGGGGTGACGCGGACTTCCACGCCGCTGTAGCCATCCTCGGCCAGCTCACGAGTCAGAAACTCGTTCAATTCAGCCTTGAACACTCCATCCGCGACGAACTAGGGGTGAAAAATGTGACATCATGACCAACTAGAATCCGACTCATCGGGGCAAAACTAAATATTTTTCACCAGCTAAACTACACATACGGAGAGCTAAAAGCATGGCTGATAACCTAATATCAATATTTATGTTGATTTCTTTGATATACGGACGTAAATTGAACATCAGTGCCACACATACCTTCCTCTTTTTGGAAACCTGGACCGCCATTTTGGATGGACGAGGAAAGAGAAAGATTCCCGGATGTACGACCCCAAATAACCCCCCCCATTGCAGACTGGTAGAAACCATTAAAGATATAGGAACTTTTTTATATTACATCTTTTAATATATTAGTTCATACTCGTACATTTGTGCATAAATATCCATTAAAAACATTGATTATATTTGTATTAAAGATCTTTTAGCCAGTGTAGGAAAATTTGGTAGTTTTGAGGATAAGGTATGATTTAATATATAAATGATTTCAACTCGATTTCCCTATATCTTTATGGGCTTTTCCATAGGTGGAAGTCCGTGCGATCCCCTCCCCACTATCAGCGATCACACACCTGCTGCGGTTCGGAAGTGCCACGCAGATTGTTAACGTGTGGTGAACCAATCTTCTCTATGTTTTCGGCTCTATTCCTCTGCCTACAGTTGACGCAACTGCTAGGCAATGGATCCTTCTCGCCAGTCGTTCTTGGGGAGGGGGCGGGGCAAGAAACAGTCAAGGGGAGAGCGGGACCGGCCGGGCGGGGGCCAGTGGCCGTCCCGCGGGAGGGGAGACATGTTCGGCCGCAGCGATACCGAGGGGAGGGGGGCTCGGGCCGGGCAGGGGGCGGGGGGAGAAGGAGGGCTTGGGGACAGGACGCCGGCGGGGACAGGCGCAAATCTGGCGGCCGGGGCAAGAAGCAGAAGCGTTCCCTTGAGCAGGGGAAACAAGGTGTGAATGTCATTCATTCGTTCGTTCATTCATTCATTCATATGCTCATAAATTTAGTCATTTTGTTCATGCATGCATTTATTTACCCTCTCATTCATTTAGTACAGATTGATTGAATTTATTTATTAATTCATTCATTCATATAGTATAGGTTGATAACTGCATTCATTCATTCATTCATTCACTCTCACTCATATAGTACAGGTTTATTACAATTCATTCACCCATCCATTCATTTATTCATTTAGCCGGTATGGAAAGTGGTGTAATGCCTAATTACATCCTACAATCCTCTCCAGTTCCAATACATCCTTGGAAATCCTTCACAGAAGTATGCCAACTCGAAGGTCATGAAAACCAAATAAACACTTTATGGAAGTCTGAAATCCCAAAAGTCAAGCATTTAAACAGATACATGAAACTTATGATTGATTTAGCAAAGAAGCTTTCAGATGGCATTAAGCTGTATTAAGGGTAGTCTGCAAACTTAAAATACTTTCCGGAAGTCTGACATGTCAGATTTGTTGTTTGCTCCAGGAGAGAGTGATGAAGCCAAGCTGGATTATGATGCGGCTGTGAAGAAGATGGAGGCAGCTCAGAGACAGATGCAGGAATCGGCACAGCGACATCTGGACCAGTACCAGGACTCGTCATCAGAGGAGGAGGAACTGGACAAGGAGAAGATCCTGACTTCTGCAGTCAAATCTTATAACCAGGCACTTGGTAATACCAAACATCCTCTTTGGTCTACTTAAAGTTTTTTTTTGCTCCAGGGTATGGAAGTTTTGGGTGGTAGAGCTGTGGGTTTGTGTACTACTACTAGGATCTGTTTGTCTGGCCAAGTAGGTTGACAATACATGGGTGGGGATGATTGAAAGGCAGAATGACAGGAAGTCATAGGTTGCAGAATCTGGCCAGGAGCCAACAAGGCTTAACATGAAGTGAATTGCATACTTCCATGGAATTAAAATCTCTGATTTCTTGTTTCTTTTTACTGCAGCTGTACTTAGATTGCTTTTGTATCATGAGTTTTGATAAGTTATCTGCATCGCATGTTGACTTTGCGACAGTTTTGTTAACCATACATCTATTAATGCATTTGGTCTCAAAGGTTGAACATTAGTGTCTTTTTGTTCCCCCAGGTTCAGATGAGGATGCAGATTTGAGTCATGTGAAGCAGCACCTGGTGCAGACATGCCACTCTGGAGCAGCTGTTTGTCTCATCTGTATCGCCACCATCAAGAGACACGAGCCGGTCTGGGTTTCATCTTTGTGCAGTTCGGATTTTATCATATATGAAAGAGAACTTCTTAATCTTACTCTGATGTTTATATGAATTTGAACTTCATAGCATTTGCTTGTGACACTAATGTTTCTGTATCTGTATAGCCGGTATAACCGCCTTTCGGCGTAACACACCAGCTTCGCAGGCACGCGGCGCGGCTGCAGCTGGCTATATTACACCGATCGACTTGTTACACCTAACCCTTGAACTTTTTGAAGCTCTAGACATTGTTTAAAGCTATCTATTGACCATGCCCCTAATGTATAACTGTTATTCTGGCTATAGTAATTACCTGAAACAACAGAGTTGCCAATTCTTCCATAAGACAATTAATTTACCTCTGCTTCCTCCCTGCAGGTGTGGAACTGTCGCCTGTGTGCGTGTATGATGCACCTACAGTGTATCCAGCGCTGGGTGAGGGACGGAGTCACACAGACATCCCTCCTGTCAGACGAACACTTTCCCAACAGGGACATCCCATGGCAGTGGTGAGTACTAGTGGTCAGATCCTGGCCTCATCTGATCACTTTTGCAAGTGATAGGCCTTTTAATGTCTTCCATTCAGATGTTGACATTTGAAACTAAGAGAATAGCTGCTGCGGAGGCAAATTAAAGAGAAAGGCCAAGAAAGGTTGCCAAGTAAAGGACTGACTGCACCAGTAGACAATGCCTCACTTGACCTGTCAGTGGTAAATCTATCAGTACTCCATTATATATCATCACCTTAAATATCACAGATACTGATGTATAACAAAGTATGTTTACACCCTTTGAACAGCCCAAAGTGCAGACACGACTACAGTCAGGCTGAGACTCCCACTAGATATTTCTGCTTCTGTGGAAAAGTGGTGAGTTGAATGTTCATGTTTTGCCCGTGTCCTACCTATCCAGTATCCACCAATTCCCTACGCCTATAGTTGAGGCATAAGTACAACAAATACAAAACATTATCCAAGATCTACCTTCAGTTGTATTATGTTTGTCACATTCATACATATAGGTACATGTGTTGAGTCCGCTTGCCTGTGTTTTCTATCCTATAACAGGAAGACCCAGAGTTTGACCCGTGGCTGGTTCCCCACTCCTGTGGACAGACCTGTGGCCGTGCTCTCCAGCCAGAGTGTGGTCACAACTGTCTGCTCCTCTGCCATCCAGGTAGGCACCACGTTACAGATAGGTGTTGTCCAACCAAGGATGTAGTATTGTGGAGGGTCCTCTATTCGTGATATATGTGTCATTGTGCATATAGTGATTCATGTCATTCCTGTGATAACCTGGGTTATGTCACAGGATTCTTTTACACATGGGCTTCCAAAAGTTCCATTGAATGTATATGTGTACTGCAAAACTTTCAAAATGTGAAGATTAAATTTAGACATTGGAATTGATGTTATAATTTTTTGTCAGGGACATCCAAATGTATTTTTTTTTATGTTTGTTTTCCCTTCCAAAAGAGAAGTATGTAGTAGGTTGAATGCATGAGTGTTTTAGGTGGAAAAAGTCCCCTATTGTAACACATTGTGACTGCCTGTTGTAGGCCCCTGCCCCCCCTGCCCACAGATGGTGAGGAGTGCGTGTTACTGTCGGAAGAAACCACCTGAACCTCGCAGGTGTGCTGCCCAGAACTGGTCCTGTAGCCAGGTGTGTGGCAGGAAGCTGCCGTGTGGCCTGCACACCTGTGGACAGCTGTGTCATACAGGTACTGTTTTGTGACAAACAGCCGTAAAAAAAAATCTTGCTTCAAAAAAGACTTGCACTTGATGCAAGCACGTCTAACCCCCCAGTTTCAGGGAAAAAGACATTAAACTGGATCTTGTTTGTTAAAGTTAAAACTTTTGTTCCAATGCAATTGAACTTGGTCAATAGACTGACCCAGTGAGACTTGTCACGTGGCTTCTCTGAAGTGTGACATCAACACTGGGTGTATCTGGTCAACAATGTCAACCCCTGTCGTGTCTCTGATATCTTGTTGCTATACATTTTTTAGTCTTACTGTACTGTTTATTCTATGCCTGTGTGCCCCTTGTAGGAGATTGTCCCCCCTGTAGGAAGGAGAGTGCCCAGCCCTGTCAGTGTGGGCAGAAGTCATCTGTCCGGCCGTGTGCTGAGCCTACATGGCAGTGTGACAAGGTAGGCGTGCCAGGGTTAAAATGATATGTGGCAAAAAGACATGGAAATTCATAATACAGGCTTTATCCTTAAGATGTTTGTCATCCCAGTGTAGTACGGTATTCCCTTCCTAAAAGACCAGTGTTCACTATTCCAAATGTGTAGTACTCGTATTTACATTGATGTTGAATCTGGTTTGTGCCTAGGTGTGTGGAAAGCCTCTAAGCTGTGGTTTCCATACTTGTGAAAAGGTAGGTGTCACTTTGGTCTTGCCCTCTCTCTTTATTTCTTTGTTTGTGCATATTCGTGTGTGCATGCATGTGCGTTTGCTATTTTGTTCAGCAGTGAATGTACATATACTTTTGGGCTACTTTGTACATTCTGAATCTGAGGACAATTTTGTTGAATGAATGAGATGGGGGGTGTAAAATACAGTATGAATCGACAAGGGTAGATGGAAATGAGACAATTTCAGTACAGGTTGGCTTCTAGAAAAATTCTGTACATTTTAAGTTCTGACTAGTTTCTATGCTCCAGGTGTGTCATGGTGGAAGTTGTGGTCCCTGTCCCAGGACTGGGCAGAGAACCTGTCCCTGTGGGAAGACAGGTCAGGCTCATTTTGTTTTTAACCCGGGAGAAAAGGAAAGTTGTCAAAGGTTCAATTTGCATGGTTCCCTCCAAACTGTGCACTGTCCTGATTGCAAATACGGTAACCTAGTTCTAATCTTGGCATCCATGAAGTTGTAACAGTTTGTAATGATATGATATATAACATGTTTGCCCAAAAAATTCATTTTGGAAATAAAACAGACTTTAACAATCTACTCTTACAACCAAATAATATGGTATCTATACTAGTACTTGAGAAGTTCTGCTCTGTTGTTATGAATGAGATTATGAGTGAGATTATAAGTGAGATTGAGATTTTTGTCTTGATTTTTTTGTTCTCTATAGTGTATTCTGATCTGTCTTGTACTGAGGATGCACCAACATGTATAGATACTTGTGGGAAGGTGAGTAGAAAGTCTATAGAACATTAATACTCATCATGTGCAGTAATATGTAAGCTTCATTATTATTATTTTATTTTAATTTTTATCATAAGTGATGGTTAAAACAGTTGCTCTGGAAAAAAACATAATATATGTACTTGATAGTAGCACATGGTTACAATGTACAACTCTTTTATTTATGTTCCAGGACCTGGCATGTGGTAGTCACATGTGTACGGACAAGTGTCACTTTGGTCCTTGTGGACAGGTAAATGCTTAAACCCTCCCCCTACTGCCTAACCCCATGACCAATACAAATTTGGTGCCAGATGGCTACCTTAGTAGGCTGAAGGTTATTGTGTAAATTCACAGTGCAAAGATTGTGAATTGTTGTCTCTTTTGAACTAAAATCAGTCAGTGTTAGATAGACTGCAAGACTTTCCCTGATAACTTACAAGTACCTGTTACCAAATACTAGTGCTAGGTTGTGGCCAAAGCTGAAATTGAATGGCCAAAGCTGAAATTGAATGCCCCATATGGAACATTTGCCTTCTTTCCACACCAGTGTTGGGAGATGGCAACTAAAACTTGTCGGTGTGGCCAGCGGAAGAAATCCCTGCCGTGTAACAAGGAGTACCTGTGTGAGACCAGGTGTACCAACATGCGCAGCTGTCAGCGCCATCAGTGTCGCAGGAAGGTAAGGCTTATAGCATCAAAAAACATGATTGTTGTAGTATTTGTTTAGAGTTTTATGTATCTTTTCCTCAGCAGCAAAAAGTGGATTTGATTGGGTTTCAGTTGATTGACAAGGCTATATGGATAGTAGGATGTGGTATGAGGTCACCAGTAATGTGAAACATAAACTCACTCACTCACTATCCAGTTTAGCATTTGTTGTTACTCGTCTTCCGATGGTTAGACATGCTTGCATACCGTTGCTGAGGACTGGTAATAAACCATGGTGTAATACTGTTATATCCTAGTGCTGTGATGGTCAGTGTCCACCCTGTGACCAGAACTGTGGCCGAACCCTGAACTGCAGAAATCACAAGTGTCCAACAAAATGTCATCCAGGTGAGATGATGTTAATCTGCAAACGTTTCCAGTATATAACCCATCATACATTATGAAATTAGTTCTGAATATCATGCATACTTTTCATCTTTCAAAATGAATAATATTGTCTTAAGTCAGTACCATGTCTTGAAAGTGGAATGCATAGTTTTTGCCCAGTTTAGTACCAACTCAAGGAAGTTGTTACTCAAACAGCTAGATAAATTTGAAAACTTTCTGATGTTCAAGTAGCATCCACTACTTTTTGTCAGTGACCAAAGTAGTGGATGCTACTTGAAATGTGTGACAGTTTTCGAGTTGCTGTACTAACAAGTTCCTTGTGTATCACAACCTGTATGTCTAAACTTCATTGACATATTTTAATACATGTACATACTTTATTCAAGTGTTGAAATGGCACTAACCAACCCTGCGTTTGCCCCCCTCCCCAGGCCAGTGCTACCCGTGTAATGAGACAGTGGACATCTCCTGTCACTGCGGCTCGACTGTCGTCACGCTGCCCTGTGGGAGGAAGAAAGGCGCCAAACCTCCCAAGTGCATGCAGCCATGCAGGTTTGTTTGAGAATTATTTCATAAAAGATTCTAGGCCTGCAAAAAAAAACATATTTTCCTCAGTTTCTGTTGGATGTTTGGTCAACAGAATTTTGCCCATTACAGATATATCTTTTCCGACACAACATTTCAAAACCATAGACAAGATGTCATCCATAAATGCGCGAATACAGCCTTAAACAAGATGTTCTGCCAAAGTGGTATGCACAATACTATGGGTTTCGTGCAGGTGCAGTACGTTTTGCTGACATACTAAATGTACCTTTTCTGCTCAATTCTGTTACTTCTGTAACATCCGTGTCCATAATATCACCAGTGTCCATAATATCGGCACCTTGAGAAATAGTGGGCTTTAAGATATTTTTACTGCAACATACTTTTGGTATGCACTCCTGCACACCTCACATGTACATACCTAGGGTATGTTGCAGTAAAAATATCTTTAAGCACACTTTTTCTCAAGGTGGCGATATTATGGACCCTGGTGATATTATGGACACAGATGTTAACATACATTCATTTATTAATTGATCTTACCTTATCAGTAGATCACACTCAAGTCTGTGGCCTGTTTTTCAGGTGTCTTCGGTACATAAACAAATACATACATGTACATACAATGATTTCAATACAAATGAACCATTTCACTAATTAGTGTAACAAACATGGTGATGATATTTCCAGACAGCCCCCAGACTGCCACCACCCCCAGCGCGTGCCCCACCCCTGCCACGCTAACGACTGCCCCCCCTGCCGACTGAGGTGCTGTCTACCCCTGCCTGGCTGTTCCCACGTCTGTCCTCACCCCTGCCATACTGCTGTCAAGGTGTTACAGAAGCCTCAGGTATGTTTAGGAACCTCTTACTACTGTGTATTGATCCCAGCAATGATACTGATAGGATGACAGGAATAGACTAATGCATTAAGATAGATCAGTAGAACAGTTGTAAAAGTTGAAGTGACATTGTAATGTTGTACATTTCAAATAGGGCACAAGGTAAGGGATGTTAAAACAAAATGACTGACTACTTATTGCTATGGGAATGTGAATTGTAAAGCCTTGTCACTGCCTGGCCAGTACGTGTCATGCCCTGTTGCATTTTCAAAAAAAAGAAAGCCCAAAATATGGTGGACATGTACACATGTATGTACATACTGTGTGTTCACTTATCTTTTGTCATCATCTTTAACTGAGGGCAAGCATGATGTTTTGTCAAGTAGATACTAGTACCAAGTTAAGCAATCATTACACAGCACTATGTCCCTGACTGTAAGAGTGTCTGCTGTTGTTGACAGGGGAAGCGTGCCGGACCATGGGAGCCTGAACTTCGGCCAGTCCTGACAGTGGTCAAGTTCGACTGTCCTCCCTGCCAAGTACCGCTTCCTGTGTAAGGCTTCAGGCATCTCACACAATTGCCTGAGTTTTGTTTTCTGTGATTTTTGTAACTACATGTTTCAGCAAATTGAACTTGTACTTCAGACCAGTACCAATTATACTGCTTCTCTTACTCATCATTGAACAAATCACACCCCTTCTTTGAAGGTCTGCTGCTTCTACTAATTCTAATTTTAAGAGCTTTGTGAAAAGTAATAATTTTGTGTGTGTTTTCTTTTTTTCCAGACAATGTGTGGGAGGCCATGAGGTGAGTTGAGTCTCGTTAATTGAGGGGATTTTTCCCGAGCTGTCATCTTTAACGGATAAAAATCAGTGTGTAAAGATACGTCATTAAACTAAGCTTAGTCTACCAGCAAAATTCGCCTCTCAAAATGCAGGAAACAGCATTTCAGAGGGTGAAAATTTCACAATTTTCCAGGGGGAGCATTCCTCTGGATCCCCCTAGGGTTGTCACACCTCTGGGGTGCACTTGGTGCTCAACATGATGTTACATCAAACAAAGTTAAGATGGTGGAAAAAATTTCAGGCTGATTAAAACAGTGAACCTAATGTTCTCCACAGATCAGCCCCCTGCCCTGCAGCCAGGCCAGGCCCTTCCCCTGCGGACGCCCCTGTGGGCGGAGACTCACCTGTACCAACCACACCTGTCAGAAGATATGTCATCTGGTCACCATCGTTGGGGAAGACCCATCGCAGGTATGTGTATATCATATAGCAAAAATTATTACCACTCACCATGTGGTCTATGTGTACAGGTGGCCACTGAAATGCTTGTGTCATTGGGAAAAAATATCACCAAAAAGGACCACCAAAGATTTAACACATTGGCCAGGTGGTCCTTATGTAGAGTTGGTCACTTGTACAGGTTTGGCTGTAGTTACATGACAGGACAATGCTGGAAATGTGAGGTGTTTTTATGGAAGGGTGCAGTTACTGCAGTACCTTCTGTGACAGAAAGGTGGCACTTTTTTTACAAGTCTGCTTGGCATATATTTGGAGTGTGTCATCTTTTCAGTTGGTGTCACTGTGGTACCATAATGAAGAAAACTTTTCAATTAAACCAGGTATTTCAATGAGAGATACTATTACACAAAACTTTTCTCTCTCTGCCCAAGTGTAAAATGAAACATTTGGTTGGGGAAATAAAAAGCAGTGGAAGGAGAGGGATGGGCTCTGCCTTGCAATACCGTGCTAGACACAGTGAATTAACAACACATTGCCCTTATGGCCTCAAAAAGGTTATGAATTGCAGTTCTTAAACTGTCTTCAAGAATGTAAGTGAAATGTTATAACATTTGAATGGCAACATGTTAGCTAGAATCCTCCTAGGATATAAATATCCTAGGAGGATTCTAGCTAACATGTTGCCATTTGAAAGCAAACTTTACATCTTCTGGTCCACTCTTCTTACAAGTTTATTAGATGCTAACAAGTTACCCCTCAAACTGATAAATGTGGTTGAACTTCCTTGCTTCCTTGCTGTCCAGGCTGGTCCGGAGTGTGAGGTGTGTGAGGAAGGGTGTACTAAGCCCCGTCCTGAGGGATGTGTTCACCCCTGTCTGCGCCCCTGTCACCCCGACGCCTGCCCCCCCTGCGGACAGATGGTGCGCCAGCCCTGCCACTGTCGGATCATCCAGCTCTTCATCGAGTGCAGGTGGGGTGGGGGCAGCAGGGCTGCTGTATTTTTACACATGTATATGGCCTCCTTCAGTCAATGCTGATCATGGTAAAATCCTAATTGATGACAGAAGTACGGCTTCAGTTATAGCTGAACATTCCCATATGAAAATGACAGTCTTTGCCACATTAGGCAACCTGTAAGCTGACTCAGGTCTGTTGTAGAGATGTACCCTTCAATGACATGCTCACAATTACATGATGCATGTCTATTTGTCTGTTACGCATTTTGTTTGGTTTGCATAAGTGGTAAACTGCCTTAAAACGTACATTGTAACACCAGTTTTGTACTGTAACAGTAAATACAAGCTGTGTAAGACTGGGCTGTAATAAGGTTTGAATGTCTGTGCCAGTTGGCAGGTGATTGTACATAAATGTTGTCTTCTCTGCAGCAAATGGACAGATGCCAATGACAATTCAAGACAAGACCTCCTGAGCTGTCAGAGTCCCTGTCCCAAACTGGTCTGTCCACTCTCTTTGTTTGAACACCTGCTGGAGTTACCATGTTATTAAATCCATACTTATCGCACTGCTTTGTTTCGCTGGTGTCAAAAGGTTTCTAGGTGATGCATCTTTCTTTTGACAACTAACACAATGCAGTGGATTGTCAGTTAGGAGATTGTATAATTATCAGATAGGAGAATGTTCATTTCACCCCAGGGTTGGAGAGTAATGACTGAAAACTGTCCGGTACTGGGTCAGGGTTACACAAGTCAGTTGTTTCTGACAATAGAATTGTTTTTCAAATTTTGCCATTATAAAAGCATTCACTACTGGTAGAACTGGTGCACTTACATGTAACACTCTTTGTTCCTTACTGTAAGTTGTTGTTGTGAAAAGGTCAATTCACGGTGCTCATATACTGCAGCGAATAAATAAGTAAATAAGTGTGACAAATGTTGTTTAGCAAACTTTGTTGAAGAGTAGAAAGTACATGTACATGTACAAGTAACACATGAAGGATTCAAATACTGGTAACCACAATCATGATACATGGGTACATGCGGGTACTTTAGTCAATGTGTGAAAGTGTAAAACCTCCTTCTATAGCTATGGTTTTACTGCAATTCGCTGATGTGCTTTGTTTGTTTTATAAGACCCAAAATGCAAGAGTTTGACCAGAGTGCTGGACATCTTGTCACAGAGCTTTGCTGTCCAGTGAAACTTCTTACCTGGCAGTCTTTGTCCTATGACAGCAGAGCATATCCACACAACAATTTGCCCAAGGCTTTCGTGTGGGAGAAAATGCTTCTTCTGTTTAATAACGCCTTTTGAAAAGAGTTAATTGGAAGCAATCGAGATATAAGACAACCCTGGAGGTGGAGGGTGGGGTCAATGAGGTCATTCAAATTATAGGAGAGCTTTATAACCTAAATGTTGAGGTACTAGTGTTTACAGGAAAAAGGCTGTGGTGAATCAAAAGTTTAGGGATACCGATATTTTGAATAATTTATTGATGACAAAGCTTATTTCTTGACATTTCATGTTTTATTTGTGCATGTTTTTGGAGTTATGAGAGGAAATTGTGACATGTGTTGTCCGGTTTTTCCTGTCCAGTTGTCGTGTGGACACCAGTGCACCCAGCTGTGTCATGCCGGGGACTGCCCCGGGGCAGAGAGCTGCAACCGTAAAACCAACATCCGCTGTCCCTGTCGCAGGAAGAAAAAGGTGACTTCGTCAAATCTTTCTACAAGAATCTTCTTACAGTTAGAACTACCCAAGAAAACCACTCAGGGAACCAATAAAATCTCGTCTTTGTGGACAGGTGGTCACTATCTCTCTCTCAATCAATCAGTCTGAAAGACGATGACTTAAACTGCAAAATGGGATGGTACAACAATTCCCTTACAAACTAAATGTACACTGTAGAGTAGTGGACAGGTGGTCACTAGCTACAGGGGGTATAGACAGGATTCTTCATGCTTTTGTCAAATGGGAAAATATCTAACTTTCTAAGGGATCACCAATAAATGTTGACAATGGCCAGGTGGTCCCTATGTAAAGGTGGTCACCAATACAGCTTTGAATGTGTTTTCTAATGGGACTGATATTAGTAATAATTGGAAATAAAAAAGACCTAATGTGAAAAACAAATGGTAAATGAAAACAATGGTATTTGTTGTCCTGTCGTACTTGGGTATAGACAAGACAACAGATATTATACATGCTGCAGCTACAGTCTTGGTTTTTCCATAACATGCATGCAAGTCTAATGATCATTGACCACTTCAGTATGTGTTAAGTTATTGAGGTCCGCATAAAACATAGCGATTTTAGGCATTTTATCAGATTTTCTGGTACTGTAGCATAATAGGCCGATATCCCCTCACTGAAAAAAGTGTGGTGTCAGCTCAGAACCGACTGCCAGCTATAAAGTATCAGATGCACAGTCCCATCACATAACTTGTGTATACAGAGGTCATTAACCTCTTGTCGGTCATTCTCCTCGTGTCATGTTGTTTTGATTTCTGTTGGCACAATACATCCTCACTGCTCAGCAAACAGTGTTACAACTTCACAGAAGCTTGTGTTTTATAGACTCTTCTTTTACGTCTGTTTTACTTATGTCGGACACATAATATTTCAATAGTTCTGGAATAGGATATAAGTTATGTCCAGTGTTGATATAACCCTGCATGAGTCGTTGGTATGCCTAGTGCATGTTTTTGAACCTAGTTTTAAATCATCTCCATGTGAACAGATCATCCTGGACTGTGGTATGCTGTGGTGTATGCAGGCTATTAACCTGACCCCATTCCCCCAGATATCCTTGGCAATGATGACACCTGATACTTGTGTTATGTTAAATGATACATGCTTTTGGGTAGACCAAACATGATCAAATCATATGTAAAATCTTTAAAAAACTCTTGTGGGCCTTTCTTCAAAGAGAATTTTGCCCCAACAGAACCAAGCTTTCAGGGTCCAAAATATGCTTTATTATATGTACATGATTGTATGTATTACTTTCAGATAATGTGATAAAGTGTTTTAAGTTAGACCTTCATATGATATTCTATTCTTTATTTACATGATATAGGATGTGCGCTGTAGTGCCCTGCAGAAGGGAGAAGTTACATTGGAATGTGACGACATCTGCCAACAAGTCAAGGAGGAAAAACAGAAGGTATAATTATTCCAGAGAGGTCTGGATTGGGCAACTAAAACTAAACTGTCTTTTAAGATCACCGTTTTCTATGACTATCATTAAGCTGATTATTATGATGAAGATGAAATATGCCTTTGTCTCTTATAACAAGGGAGAGCAACTTGTGCTATTTAGTATCAGTTAATATTGTTATTAACAGTTTCATGTTTCATAAATTCAGGCGGCTGAGCAAGAAAAGGAGAAACATAAAGAAGCCGAGAAGCAAAAACAACAGGTCAGTACAGTCCCTCAGGGCATCTTCAGCCTGTACTAGTGTGTACATGTGTTCTCCACTTGCAAGTAAAGATATACTATGTGTTGGTGGCATGGTGGTCTTGTGTTGACTTAGAATCGGAAGGTTCTGGGTTGCGAATCCTTAGCAGGCCCTTTGGGAAAGGCACTTAACACCTATTTCCTTACTCAGCTCATGTGAAAATGAGTACCTAGCTTTAATTTGTTAAAGACATTCTCTTGGATGGGATGTAAAGCTGGAGGCCCTGTGTTTGAGGAGAGCCACACCTCAAGCACTTTAAAGAACCCACAATTATTGGAAAGAATGGGGGTCCATCCAGGTGTGAGTGGTTCAAACCTTACAGTCCAGTCTTACACAGATTTTACTTACTGTCTAAAACTGGTGTGTTATGCCCAAAGGCAGTTACCGGTTTTGTCAAACAAACACTTGACTTGTCTCACCTTACCTTCACTCTCTATCACCATCAGGAAGAACTGGAGGAGTTCCAACGTAAGATGAACAAGAGGCGACGACAGAGGAAGCAGCGAGAGGAAGTTGATGAAAAGATCCCGTGGTACAGAGACAAGAAGATTCTCGCACTTCTGGTCTCCATGGTTACCGTGCTCGTCTTTGCCATCGTGTATCAAGTCGCTTTCGACTGATAAATATGCATTGGTTAGAACAGAATTTTCCTTAGGAAAAGTGTGATTAAAATTTAAAGAACAGTGAACGATATGTTTGAACTTCCATTTCATTGTTAATTTGTTAGACTTAGAGTCTGTCACAAGGGCCATGCCAATATAGGCTTTTTTATGGTTATATGACATAATGAAAGCAATACTGTTATCGTGATATAAATTGGGGCATATTAGTGGTTTGCTTTCCAATTTTATACAATGTACTTTGACCTACTTAAAAAACTGTAGTTGTTGCAAATCGGTTCATCATTTGCCTGTCATGTATCATAAATAAATAAAGGAAGTTTAAGTACATTGTACATCAACAAGATAGAAACACAATAACTTACATGTTGATCGATGTTAAGTGATAGTTGGCTATGTGTTATTGAATACTATCTCTAAGACTTGTAACATTGATATATGATGACAAATATGTGTCTGTATGTTTAAGTTATGAGATAACTTTTTATGTAATTGAAGGAATAAAGAAAATGTTCCTGATGTTTTGAATGCTGTTTTCTGCTTGTGTGAAGTGGAACAGTACTTCACTCATGATTAAGAATTATCACAGGAAATCTCCAACTTAGTGCTATGGTCTCAAGCACATGGGAGAAGGAGACTTGGAAGACTCACTTAGACGTGCTACAAAGAGACACCGGTCTTCAGGCTGATGGCATGGAGAAGGCTATGCAGGACAGGAGCTACTGGGCTGCCACAATGGTCAAAGTGTCAGAGGAGGGGCACCTGACATGCCAAGTAAGTCAACAATTCATGTAGAATTGTCTGTGAAGATATTTTGGGTCTTGAGTAGTAAGAGATAGTCTAAGGCAAGAGGTTTTCTCCGTGCTTATGACAATATTCAAGTTTTGTGTAGCAGTTTTTTGCATTGCGTTTGGATTCTTACCCTGTTTGCATTGTATCTCAATTTTATCATATGCCTATAGCTTTCCTCAGAAGTCATCATGGTGTCTGCTACCAGGCTGGCCAAGGACTCCAAGGGAAGGAAAATGTCATGCAAGGATGAATGTAGGTATGAGGATGAATGTAGGTATGGCACATAATTGACGTGGGAAATAACGTAGAGGACAAAAATTAAGATCTTTGGCCTCTGATAATTGAAAGAATAAAGAGAACAATAAGAGTTTAATGAGTACTGTTCAACATGATATCTTACATGATTGTCATTGACTCTGGGACAGTAAGGACAGGTACATGATACTTGCTACACTGACAATTCTCGGAGAGGTACAAGTTAGAGAGGAAGACTAGATGACCTGTTCATTTCTATTTTCTATATCACAACCCAAAATCATTAGTGTGATACATACAATGGGTCCATGTAAGAAATGATTCTACCTTAGCTGGGTGATAATTACCTCCTCCACACCCCATACATTTGGATTGCGTGGCAAACATGAGAGGACTGGTTGATCATTTTGGAGTGATGGGTGTTGTATCCAGAACCATACTCAGGAATCCAGAAATGATCAGGCATGGTTTTTGGATAGTTTACGAATATCCAGAACTGGGATATTCGTTATTGGATACACAGTGACTATCCAGAACCCTGCCTGAACCTAACTCATTCAGGCATAGAACTACCCTCAGTTCTGGAGATCTGATATGATTGTGCAAAATACACTGTTATGGTTGTTTTTAGAATCAAGCAAGATCATGGTTATGGACACGCAAAGTAATGACTTGATTTATATTTTTACTGTTCAACGTATATAATGACCAGTTCCGTGATAAAACCATTCCATACATGTATCAAAAGCTAACTGACGCGATCACCAAATACAGTCCTACCGTACCCCAAGGGACACCATTACTTTTATATCTTTTTATATCTTTTATATCTAAAATTTCTCATGTAATCAATATACATGGCCAAAGTTCCATGGAGAGAATTTACAGTTCTTTAGCTTTGAGAGGCCTTCATGTCCAGGATCTGTGGGTATTGTTGGAGTTACTGTAAATGATGCTTGGGTCTAGATCTTTTATGTCTTTTTTCCTGCTGCATCCAGCGGTTTGGAAAGCCCCTTTACACCCTCAAGATGGATGCCACCATCGGTCGTTGTTGTATCTCATGATCAGATGAAATTTTAAGGTGCCTTCCTGAACTGTCCAAGCAGACACTTGAAGTACAATGTAAGACCCGAGACGTACTATATAATAGTCACCCACTCTCTTATACCATCCAGTGTCTATCTGCATGTTCGTGTTGATATTTCATTGTTTGCAGTTGGACATCATGTGGTAGAACTCCATGTAGTTGATGTGTCCGTCTCCGTCGATGTCTGCCTCGTCAATCATCTCGTCAACCTCCTGTTCGCTCAACTTCTCCCCGAGATTCGCCATCACTACCCGCAACTCTGATGCTGTGATAAAACCTGCAAAAATACCACAAAAAAAATAACATATCTTCACACAACACTACATGTAAGTAGTTCCTAGCTGGTTGTTGAGAACTTGCCATCGCCTTTTTAGCGCATCTGGATAAAGCTGCAATTAGAACAAGAGTTCCACGATCTCATACCTTCGCCAAATGATGTTAACCCTTGCGGTTGACGAATTATACAATTTTAATGATTGATTTCGCAAATAAGAGCGTCATTTGCATGGATTACATCAGTTGATCATATTCTCTACCCAATGGCAGCCTTATCTTAACAAAATAGGCTATTCTAGCACTTCCTCATAAATTATGCAAATGAGTTCATAATGTGAATAAATTATCTTCATTGATGTTCACCTTCACTTAACTTCCAAATACGGCAAGTATGAAATTCCCAGCAATTACAACTATGAAATTATAACAATTTTCCATTAATTATGTAAATTAGGTCTTCATTTACATAATCTATATCCTCAGATGTTTTTCTAGTTCTCAATTACATGTCACAAGTGTTTCAAAGTCCTATAATCGAACGAAGCAGATTTATAGAATGTCCTCATTAATTATTCAAATTAGCTCCTGATTTGCATAATTGTCATCTGATTATGTCAAGTATCACTTCAGCTACCTACATACCAAAAATCATGACAATCCGTCAACCGGTTCTTGAGTTATCAACCTTCGGAGATTTTTCAAGAAACGCTCCTGCAGTTCCAGAACAAGCTGCTAGGGGGCCCAAACTCATGTCACTTCTTCCCCACCTCAAGAGCTATCTACCAACCAAAATTCGTGACCCTAGCATGTCCAGATCGCGAGATATCAAAACCGGAAGTTCTGCTGCAGTACCAACAAAAGCCGCCAGGGGGCCCAGAATCTAATCATTTCTAGGTCTCATCAAGACCTACCCACCTACCAAGTTTCATGACAATACATATTAAGCTTCTTGAGTTATGCTGTTCACAAACAGACAGACAGACAAACAGACAAACAAACGCTACTGAAAACATAACCTTCTTGGCGAAGGCAATAGGGTAGGTAGAAAAAGCACCACCGCAGACCGGCCATTACCCTCAACACTGATGCTGTGATAAACCCTGGAAAAATATCGCAAAATATAACTGTTACACAGGGTGACTTCACACAACACTAAGAGATTCCTAGCTTGTTGTTGACAATGTGCCATCGCAATAGCGCATCTGAATAAAGCTGCAATTAGAAAAGGGTTGGTGGAAAGCCTCACACCTCCTGACCAGACTGGATGGACTTTTCTGCCTTAGCTTCCCGACTGGACCGCTTTTTGCAAATCTCCAAGCAGATCTTTGGGTGGCTGCGAGACAGTACTATAGTATCAAATAGGCCAGGTAGTAGCCAATATGCCACGGTGGGGCGGCCAATAATATAGATTCACCGTGATAAATTCCCCTTGCCCCAAAGAATCTGCTTGGAGATTAGCTTTTTCCACCAACCCAGTTAGAATAAAGATAGAAGCAGTTTATTGCGCACTGCCACGGCCCAGCGAGCTAGGTGGGGGATGTTCTACCTAATTCAATTGGCACCGGGCTTCATCATCAAATAGAACTCGTCATAGTTTATGTGCCCGTCTCCGTCTATGTCTGCTTCGTCTATAAGGGCCTCCAGTTCCTCCTCGCTAAGCTTCTCTCCCAGGTTCGCCATCACCACCCTCAGCTCAGAGGCGGTGATGAACCCTGCACGGCACAAGGGAGAGAGGGGGATGAGGTAGTCTCTACCCAGGGCTAACATTACAACGATATCAAAAACTAGTCAAATTTACTTCGAAATGGGGGACTTGATCAGCGTAGCTTGGTCACTATAGAGTTGATTTTCTCGGGCAGTTATGTTCTCCATTATATATTGTTTTACTAACTTCTTTGACATGGTAGATGCAATTAACCTTCGGGCATCGTTTTGAAAATAAAGAAATGTAAAATGTTGAATCGTTACCCTTACCGCGGCTCACTCCCCTGGCCAACTCTTGACTTTATTTTGCCAAGTCTTACTATCCATGACCCCTAGCCTAGGGAAGGCCTGGTGGAGGCTATATCTCGGTATGAAGAAGAACGTATGATGTGGCGCACAGCGCTGTTTCGCTTAATGCTTTTGTCTAGCTTTTACGTTTTGATGTAGGAACTACGCACAACACATAGAATAAAGTGCGCAACATAAGAGTTGCATGTAACGGATGCCCGGCACAAGTATAGGAACATGTTATTCTCTTTCACGCCCTGAAAAGCAACAAGTTGCTCCAGTTTTCCTGACTGTTACTGATACTGAGTTATTTATGGTGGCTTAGTTTCACAGCTGCCGACGCGGCCTCTCTGGTCCGGGGTCAGCGGGCGTGAATGCAGGGAGCCGCCGGCGCGAATCTGGTCATAAATATATCTTTTATAAAGACTCAGCTTTAATGGTCAAGGATCGTGGTTGATTGTACGATACTAGTATTGTATCTTTACAATTCGGTGTCATTCTACGTATCGTGGCCAGATTATGTGTAACGAAAATGACTGCCGGTGCTCTTGATGTGGTGCTCTTGATGTGGTGAAACTTGGTGAAGGGACAAATATTTAATATGAACCACGGATCGAAGCTATATATTGGTCAAGGATATAGTGTTTACGTATCATGGTCAGATTATATCAGATGAGCAACTGCCAACATCTCTTGATGTGGTGAAGGCACAAATATAACGTTATATATATCTTAACCACGGATATAAAAGCTATATTGGCCACGTCCTATTTTCTATTGTATCTTAAGAATTTAATGTCATTCTATGCATCACGGTGGTCAGTTTTAACGGACCACAGTTGGAACTGGAGGTCAACATCTCGGTGCTCTTGATGTGGTGAAGGACAAAGATATATCTTCACCACGATATTGGTCACGTCGTGTTTCGTTGTCACAGTGGTTTCTTTAAAATTTGGTGTAACTCGAGATCTATGCATCGTACGTGGTGCGCAATGTCAATGAACTCGCGGTCAACATTTCGTGATGTGGTGAAGGAACGATGCTAAATGTGATATTTCGCACGAAAAGCGTCATGTTCTTAGATACGGACTTGTATGTGCAGCAAAATGTTCAACAGAAATAGTCTAACTTATCTCACGACTGTGCTCGGGTAGTTGTTGATAGTAAATGAATTCCACCCGAACCATGCTCAGCTAGCTGTATGGTTCAGATACTCGGAGCTTTACACGAGGCGTTGATAACTCCTGGCCAGTATTTAACTTAAAAGTAAAGTTACACAAACAATCACAGGAAAAAGCCCCACGGAAAAGTTGTCGGGGCCAATTAGCACGCAATAGCAGACACGTTATGGAAATTTATGTATATATGTCAGGGTAACAAAACTTAATTATGGGACACATTATTATTATCCCGTAATGTACCAAGTGCCTCAACGTTAAAATGTCACCATAACATCTTTAGTTATGTATACAGTTGTACAGTTCGAAGTGCACTATAACTATATTGAAATTTCAAGATGGTGGACAACCCAGTTGGATTTTACACTGTTGTCCTTGGGTAGCCCGGAGGCAAAAAAAATGTTGTCTTAGGTTGTGGTGCAAAAACACTCATGACAAAAAGAAAACACATTCAATAACACTCGTGAGTTGTACTGTGACATAGACATGTCGTTACATATAATTTTATTACATTAGATAGTGAACGACCCACTGTCGGTGTTGATACTTCTAGTGTCACTAGTCTGTGGACAGGCGAAATGACAACCTTGTGAAAACTTTTCGTTCCCTCCACGATAGAATACAAAAAGAAAACCAACATACTGATTCTAATATCCATTCAGTGTTTGTAAACAGTTAGTTATGAATAAAAGCCGAATGGCTTCCATTAAAAACATAAGAGATATTTGACTTATTTCGTCCAGATGCGAGAAGGTTTAGTTATGCACACTTAGTAGTTTCCGCCGGAGGGCATGCGTTGCGTGGGTCTTGCGAAATAGCCAGTGATGACCACATTGAACACATGGGAGTACTTTTTAACCTATCTCAACATCAGCCTCATGCTTTAAACCACGATCCAGCTATACATACACTTAAGCATTTAAACTATCAAAGAGTTACAAGTATGTACTTAAAAGTTTAAAAAAATAATTAGAAGTTATACAACGTGGTAAATTCTTTGATGTGTCAAGAGAGCCCGGGGCTATTCACGGAAAAGGAAAGATGCCCATTGTTTCCAATAGACATGCTTGGTGAGCAAGTAGGTTATTAACTTGTTTATGGATAGCTAAGACAACGCTGTCACTGCAACATGGGACAAGACTAGTTCATTTTACTAGAAGGGGTGATCTGGGTTATACATGACGTTACGTATGCGACATCAAGGTCTGATCATAGGAACACGAATTGCAATCATAATCAAGACACCTGGAGGTGACGATTTATTGTCTTTAGTACACAACGCAACGTGTGTTCTTAATCCTTGTCAAGGAAAATTTCTCGTTTTCCTTCTAATTTGACAATGGATTGACCTAGTATGCTAATGATGGGGTCATCAGCGCGACCGTCCAGGTGAATCGGTTACCGTGCCGCTTAAGCCCTGCCGGCCCGCTGCAGAAGTCCACTGGAGCGCGGGCCGTACTCACTGGCGGCTGGTCTCCTCTCATGACTACAGCACAACGTTTTTACACGACACGGTCCAAACTTCACACTACAGACCGCAGGTGGTTCTAATCGGTAAGGATTTGACTTTCTCTTATTCTTATGTAGAAGTGACGCTTACTTATATACTTTTTCTGTTTTAGTTAAATATACTTTCTTAGCTGATTGGGGTTATTTCGCTGATGGGATTTGGAGGGGGCGGGTCCCGGGTATGTGTTGGCAGTCGCCTGACATGGTCCATGCCGCATGGTACATCTCACACAATTTTTGAAATTATCTGGTAATACCCACTTTCGGGCTATTTTCATTTATGTCTTGGTGACAACAGTTTTACCAACCTAAAGCTTGTCCATACAGAATGTGTGTGGTAGCTTAAGTTTTGTAGCTGCGATGACTTTGTACTCATGTTGGTGCTCCATCTTAAGTTCCCGAGGTGCGCAGTGCGTCTCATGGTTCTGAAGATGCTGACACAGGAGTGTGTAGGCTCCTTTTACCTTGTGAAAGTTCTGTTTATGTGTTATGTGTTGTTACTGCCAGTGTCTGTCCGTTCTACCCGAAATCGTCCTGCTGAAATTTGATCTAGGTGATACTTTGTACCATATTCTAAACGAACAGCTTAACCTTGCTTCACACTACACTAAATACTGGGGAAACCGTTTAAGTGCGTGATGATTGAAGAAAAAACGTAATGATTCAAAGAAAAAAAACGTAATGGTTTAAACCAAAATATCCGTTTTGGCTGAAATAATTAACGATGCGTCATGTCTCTTCAGTCCGTTGGGAATTGCGTGGCAAACGACAGAATCGCCGCGGCTTCGTGAGCGGGGCGAGCCGAGTGACAGGCAGACCGACTGGAAGGACGGGTGCACACTAACCCGAATCACTGCCCACGTCACTTCCGTCAGAAGGACCGGCCCAGCCCCAACACGTCTACTATACAAGCAGGAACATGACTAGTCCCTCAATCGCGAAGGTAAGTCACGCCACGTCAGTGACTTTTTGAGCCTTGTACTGATCAAGTTTTTAATCATAGTAAGCTTGAGCGAGATGATTTCAATGTACTGTCGCAGAGAAATTTAGCACTCTTGATGCAGGTGTTGTCCCAGGACACACATTTAGTTGTCCCTGGTTGATTTGTTACCAAGATTGTTACCAAAACTCATTTTACTACTCCACGATACGGACAATATTTAATAAATAAATAGTACCGAGATCTGGTCATGTACGGATAATGGGGCTTACTTGCATGTTTGGTTGTTGAAACAACTACGGCGAGATAATTATGCTGGAATTTCCAGCACTAGTAACGCACTATTAGCTATGTAATTGTGTTGTCTGTCCGTCCTTAAAATGAAGACTATCACAGTTATTGTCTGTACATGTACTTGTACAATGAATGTACACACAAGGAAAAGAACAACAGCTAAACAAAAAAACAAAAATTGTAAGTTCTTCATTGGAAATACTTTGGCACTAGTAAGATTTGTGGACTTGTTCGGAAGGTGTCCTTTGACCCAGTAAGATTTGAGATAACGCGATAGCACCCGCAGCACAAGTGGACTGACCGGTTATAGCGTGGTCACGTGTCTGGGCATCTTGAGCACAGACACTGGCCACGCAGTGATATGCAAGATTGTTTTCGTCTTCTGGCTGACTCTTAACGATCGACTAGGCCTTAGCCTTACCCTGACAGGATCACATGTACGTGTGCGTACATCGCCCGTCATTGTATCATCATATGTTAGTATTATTTATATCATTTATTACCGTTTTCTGTCATAATCTAAATGGTAAATACACGACGGTGGGCAGCAATGAAATACTACTAGTACGAGTACATGTATATGGGACAGTTTTGATATTTTTATTGCACAATTGTTCAAGAAACAAAATATAACATCTACTGCTGTAATGCTATACTAATATATTTACAGTACCATGATATTTTACAGTTCAAAGTTGTTTGACTAGGTGCAGTTGCCAGTTGTATGATCAAACGTGTTCTGGTTTGCAGATGTCCGCAATGGCGTTCAAGGATATGAGTCGGTTGGAGCGTGAGCGGATGATGGTTCCACACGCGGGCCAGTGTCAGAGGACCCCGACCTTCCCGAGCGATATTCACATGCATGGGGCAACCTTCCAGGGCAACATCCGTGGTGCAACCTTCCTGGGCGATTCTTACATCACTGGTCCAACCTCCTTCAAGCCCGAGCGACTCCCACACCCCCAGAGGGAACCTTCACGAGTTATCCCCCAGACCCGTGGCTATGCTCCTTCCCAGGACATCCCCACAACCATGGGACAACCTTCCACAGTCATCCCCAGACACATAGCCCAACCTTTCAGGCTCGTCCCCAGACCCGCGACACTGCAACCTTCACGAGTCAACAGCAGACACGCGGTGCAACCCTCTCGAGTCATCCACAGACCCTCGGCACAACACAGATCACCTGTAGCGACTGCGACTTCCAGACCGACTCAGAGTTAGACTTCTTACGTCACGTCAGCACGCACAGAGTCAACCTGGGGAATCCCGAAGGAAGGGCTCCGAACTTCCTACCGCAGTCGAAGCGGATGAGAATGTCGTTGGAAGGCGCCGAAAGACGCGTTCAACACCGCGTCGTGCAGCAAAATCACAACGCACAAGTGCCAGCTGCTGAACAAACTGACAGCACCGCCCTGGACCTGACGACGAAGCCGAAACGCAATACGGACGAAGCACCGGTAGATCTTCGCCGGAAATCCACTTCACCGGACACTACTGGGCCGGCACCGCGGGCTGAACGAGCAACGATCTCTCCGAGAAACAGCCAGAGTTCGGACAGGCAAGTCCCAGCAGCAGCAGCCCCTCCCTCTCAGTTTCCAGTGATTCCTCAACGTCATGTACAAGCCGCAGTTATGCCGAGAGTTCCACCTCCGTTGATACAAGTCAGACCTAAACCAAGTCAGGCGTCTGATGGTAAACTGCAAGTGGAATCAAGGCAATCAACAAATGTCCACCCAACAGCCCAACAACGAATGAGCCACACACAGACCTTCCCCGCGTATCAAGGAGAAGAAATGCAGTCATTCGTCGCAAGGCACCCAAATCCACCGACGCTCATTGCGTCGCCAAACGTACAACATTTGCTTCCACCGCCGGTCGGAGCAAAGGCCTCGCCCGCGTATCAAGGAGAAGAAATGAAGTCATTCGTCGCAAGGCACCGAAATCCACCGACGCTCATTGCGTCGCCAAACGTACAACATTTGCTTCCACCGCCGGTCGGAGCAAAGGCCTCGCCCGCGTATCAAGGAGAAGAAATGAAGTCATTCGTCGCAAGGCACCCAAATCCACCGACGATCATTGCGTCGCCAAACGTACAACATTTGCTTCCACCGCCGGTCGGAGCAAAGGCCTCGCCTTGTCCTACACAAACCACCACAAGCAACCCGAGGCAAAGATACATTCTTCCCAAGCAAGGCAAACCAAGCGAAGAAAAGTCGACTGTCTCTTGTCTGAATAACGCTCCAAAAGACACCTCCGACGTGACACCTGCACGGTACTATCGGCTCGGCCGCGTGCCTGAGTACATGCGGGGTGGCGCATGGCACCCAAACCAGCCAACTACCGTTGAGTGCACTGTCCCAGACCAGTCAATCACTGTGGACCACACCGTCTCAAACCAGCCAACCACGGTAGAGTACACCATCACAAATCAGCCAACCACAATGCAGTGCACCACCAAAAAACAGTCAATCACTGTGGAGCCCACCGTCCCAAACCAGCCAATCACCATGGAGAACACCGAGCCGAACCAGTCAACCACGATGGAGCAGACTGTCGCAAGCCAGCCAATGACAGTGGACCTCACGGGTCCAGAGGAAGGACTGGAGAAAGAACAGCCTCGGCGTCTTTCGATGGTGGAATGGGCGCGGACATTCGCCATTTACGCCACAGCTAAACAGCAGGAGAAGAAGATGAAACCCACGCCGCGGAAACGCGGACCAAAACCTCGAACAAACAGACAGAACAAACCACAGAAACGTCACGACCACATGCGTGAAATTGAGCTGGAACAGCGTCAGAATCAAGGCGAACAAGTAGCACAACAACAACAGCAGCAGCAGGAGGAGGAAGAGCTACACAAGCGACAGGCAGAGCAAAATAAGCAAAGTCAAGAGAATGATACAGAGGAACAGAGTCAAGCACGTAGTAATTCTCACCAGGAGCAAGACCAAGAACAGAAAAACTCAGAGGCGACCCTATGTCAAGATGCCGGCAGCAAACTGTGGTGGGAGCGACTGCAGGAACTGATGGCCACGATGGGAGAGAGGCAGAAGCAAGACCCAGGCTTTGCACAAAAAGTGGTTCGAGAACTTGTTCCCGATGCAAAACACTAAAATTTTTACCAAGGAGTCAACAACCACTGTTGAAAAGGAAACATCCGATGAACCGACACCCATGCAGGAAGAAGAAGAAGCACCCACTGACGACAGTGCACACACAAGGAGAACAACGATTGATTCTGACTACATCAGTATGGATGAGTCCGAAGGTGTGGCCCAGGAAGTTTCAACCCCCGATCATCAGAGTGAAAATAGGAAAAATCCACTTCTTCAGCTGAGGCAGTGTCAAAAGACGATAATGATGCCATGTCAAAAGACGACAATGATGCCAAGAACGAGATCTCTCAGGCCATATCACGCGCTGAAAAGGAGTTGGAAGATCAGGAGGTAAAAGACCATAAAGGTGCGCCATCTCCAACACCTGATCAGGTAAAATCAACAGACACTACCCGAGAGTCTGCACCAGGAGACACGACCGTTTTACCGGAGCACAGCAACACGATGGAAAAGCCAGAGAAATCACCCAAGAAGGCACCAAGTCCTCAACCGCTGAACGTGCATTTCTTCCGCTGCACACCATGCAACTTCTTCACCACGTCAAAGCAGAAGAAGCTCTCCCATATCAGAAAACACAGAGAGAAGTTCGAGTGCCCCGTCTGCACGAAAGTGTACCAGGATAAGAAATGCATGGAAGACCACATGCAGGAACACACCGGCCAGCACCAACAGAAATGTCCAGACGACTCCTGCCGCACAGTTTCAAGCCACAAGACGACCACGCGCAAGAATTACCACCAATGTCCGCAGTGTGACTACAAAACCAGTGTCATAGGAAACATGAATCGACACGTCCGAAAGCACACGGACGAAAGGCCGTACAAATGCCCACACTGTCCGTACGCCGCCCGAGTCAGCCACCACCTCCAAGAACACATGAAGAGGCACGCGGGAGAGCGTCCCTTCAAGTGCGACTTGTGCAGCTTCGCCACCTTGAAGAAGACAGACCTCGACCGACATCAAAGATGTCACTCTGGAGAAAAACCGTTCGCATGCGACCTGTGTCCCTACCGGGCGCCTCAGAAACGCATGCTGGTGCGGCACGTGCTCAAGATTCACGAGAAGCAGCGACCGTACCAGTGCCAGCACTGCGACTTCGGCGCCTTCGAGAAGAAGGACATGGTTGAGCACAGGCGGCAGCACAGCGGGGAGAAGCCGTGGAAGTGCCTACAGTGCGGCTACACCACGACCCGCAAGCGGAACCTGCTCCGCCACGTCCGCGTGCACACAGGCGAGAAGCCGTTCCAGTGTTCTCAGTGTCCGTACGCGTCAGCCGACCGGAGGAATCTCCTGGACCACGCCCGCATCCACACCGACGAGCGGCCGTTCCGGTGTACCATCTGCGGGTACGGGTCCAGAACGAAGGGCCAGCTAGGCCGCCATCTGAAAACCCGACACCAGGCAAAACAGTACAAGTGCCCGCACTGCCCATTCACGGCGACAGACGAAGCGCGCGTGCAGAAACACATGCAGCGCCACCCCCACCAGCTTTCGGCTGTCTACAGTAACCTCGTCAACCTGCTAGGCGCGCAAGGTGGAAGCACCCAGACAGAGACTCTCAACAACAGAGGAGGGAGTGATGGCGTCCCATCTCCGGCGGGGTCGTCGAACGAGTCAGTGCCATCTCCTTCCGGTTCACACGGGTCGTCTGAGGCAGCAGACTCTTTCCCTTCCGGTGCAAGTGACGATGGGCAATGTGCAGGTGTCACAGGGGAAACCGTAAAATGTACTGTCTAAAACAGACCGTTTTCTCTGCATGGATAGGTTCAATTTTCATTACAAAGACTGGCAGACATGACAGATATAATTCCTCCGGAGAAAACCACAGAACTGAAAGTAATAATAGTCACATGGACTGAAGAACATAGCCAGTATGTCAATATGGTTTGGGAAAAAATTACTCTGTTCAACACTTGTTTATAAGAATCAGTCCCTGTTGAAAACGAAGGTAAAATACAAGTCAAAATAACGTCTTATGTATATAAGAATGTTTGCAGTGGGCTTTGGTCATTGTTATGATATCGAAGGTCTTATATTAGGACTTGAATAATCGTTTATTCTTATAATTGCCATTGGCAGATGGTGGATGTGGGTATTTATGTACATAGAAAAGGCTTATGATATTACATCTATGTTAAACTAATTACATAACGCGATGTTTTTGATATACAGAAGAATGGATGCATGTGGATGTTTTAAGGGTCACATTGACGTAACTTGTCTTTATTTGTTTGTATAATCTTATTTATGTACATATGACGGCAGTTATATTATGCATATTGACCTGTGTACAGTAGAAATCCAAAAATGAGCGAATAATTTTTACAAATAAGAGAAAAGTATTGAAAGGTATAAGGAAAATGGTTTGCTGTTTACACTGTATTACTTCTTGTTTAAGTGTACTGTTTAAGATTTGGGTATATTTGATATATAAAGTTGGAGTTGCTTGTATGTTAGGTGATGATACAACGATGAATAAAATTGGGTTAATGATATTTGTTGTTCTGTCGCGATTTTCTACATTTAGATTAATGAAGAAGTCGACGGAATGTCAATGTTCTTAATTCATACTGTTTGGGAGGATTTTAGGGACGTAAAATATTGTGGTAGCCACACATACAGCATGAACTTTCAACTGCACAGTATTCTCAGACTAGTACACTGACTAGTACTAGACTAGTACCAGTATTCTGTTCTACCCTAAATCAATCGTAAATGTTTATTTTTACCATTAGTGAATCGAAGAAACAGAACATTTACATAATGTGCTTAAAGGTTTGCTTTAAGATCAGTTTTCAAGCGGTGCTTCAGTAAGATAAGATGGGTAAGAAGATTAGATGCCCTGTACGTACCGTTGCCGTCTTTATCGAAGACCCTGAAGGCTTCTCTGATCTCCTTCTCGTTGTCTTGTTCCCGCTGTTTTCGCGCCATAACCATGAGGAATTCTGGGAAGTCGATGCACCCGCTGCCGTCTGCGTCCATCTCACTGATCATGTCCTACAGGACCGGAACCGGAAATAGAGCAACAGAGAGAATTGTAGGTAGTCTCCACCAGTCAGACTACCACGGTTCAGAAACATGCATTTAGCCAAAGAGGGAAAATAATTGGTCAGTGTATGTAGCTGCTGGAAAGAGTAGTAAAGATCGACCAAATGGACAGATATCATGCCAGGGGAGTTCTATTATCTATTTTGTCTTGCGCTAAGACTCAATAAACCAGTCTACTACTACTACAGTAACTACTATTTGGTCGATTTCTACTCTTTCCAGCAGCTTTTGAAGCCTGGTAGACGGGCTATGGCCTAAGCATCATTCACAGCTTACGTAAATTTTATGATACATTCTGGTAGCGATCTGTATTGGTCTCGTGTTACATCCCCGTGATCCAGATATACGCCATTGTAAACAAACACTGGCATTAAATGGATACAAATGTATCTGGGTTGATGCTCCAAATATCTGAAAGCGTTTGTACCAACTAATGACTTCGCCCATCACTCAAAGCATGGAGATGGTGTTTACAGGCATTACAAATACATCACTAGCTCTACTCCCAGAGTCAGTTAGCTATCGTGTGTGGATCAGCGTCTAACTGAGGGGGGGGGGGCTGTTGTATGATTGCCTTGGGGGTGTACTAAGTTGGCCCTGGAGCAGAGGAACTGGCCTGGGAATAGTCTGGTACCCAGGCTATCATCGTGGCGACCAAACCTAGCCTAATATCCAGCCTTGTACAGTCTGCTCACATTTCTCAAAGACGAGGTATCAGGCTAGACTATAGCTAAACACCACGGAGGCGCCTGAAAACAATGCAAGAAACTGTGAGTTAATCCTTGCATGCGACCCAGTGCATTCCCCGGTAGTTGTTGGTGTTATACACAGTGTAGCGGTGAATGGTCTCTCTCACGCTACAGTCACCGACTGGCCGGACCTGTTGACCCCCGAGTTGTTATGGCACTGACCAGGACCACATAACAACCATTGCCGCAGTGCTAATCACTACAAACAGGGACAGACTCACGATACGTCAGTTTGTGATGGATAGTCACAGGCCCATGAGGGATCGTCCCATACTCAGGTATTCTCCACTTAGCGATATATTGTCAGAAACAAATGATTTATGTTCATGTCTTTTACAACAGTGATAGAGGGGTAAGGTGGGAACCGTGTCTGTCTAGTTCTATGCCTGAATGGGTAAGGAGCACCGTTCTGGATAGTCTACGCGTACTACGGTAAGAAAGTAGATTTGCCTCAGGCACGGTTCTGGATACGCGTGGACTATCCAGAATTTTGTTTGAGCGTGGTTCTGGATAAAGCACGATTCTGGATACAACAGCGGGGCAGCGGTGTTCGGGATACAGCGGGAACTTTTCGAGAAACTCCGGAAAACCATGCCGTTTATAAATCCATAGATAAGGTGCATGTAGGAACAAACTTCGGGAGGAAGAAAAATCCTATTATTAGAGATAAAACCAACAAGTGCACTACAATCCCGCTCTATGAACCTCAGGTAACTTCTTCATCTGTATCCGATGCTACACGACATGAAAGACCATATGACTTGACCGGATTTGATTGCCAAAATAAGTGCCAATATAACGTTGCTTATCAACCAGTCCGATTGGTCCAACCTCTCGTCTGAAAAAAAAATCCGACAGACAGGGAGTTTACATTTCCGTTCTTATCAGGTTCGTTAGTGTTAAACCTTTGAGCGACAGAGTTTAGCATTAGGATACATGTAACTACGGGCACAACAGAGCTCTGGGCTATACGGGGATCCAGCGGAGTGATCACAGATGCTTGATAGCTTTGTGAAATTAGTCTATCTCCTGTTGCCTTTCGTCAATTAAAACTTAAACGAATGCATCATGAAGAACAATAAACTGTAATGAAAAAAAACATTATTCTTGCGATCGACGCAACCAAATTTACCTGAATCTCTGGAAACGTTAAATCGCGGCCCAGCGTCCGAATGACGTCCTCTAGCTCCTTTGTGGTAATGCAGCCGCTGCCATCCTTGTCGAACAGAGAAAACACTTGCATCAACTCGGCAATCTGCTCCTCTGATAAAATATCCGACATCTTGTGCGCGTTGTGTGATACTCCCTGTCGCCTGCTTTCAAGTCCAATCTGTGGAAAATTTACGCTTTCTGTGGAAAAGTTGCTGGTCAGGAAATGTTTAAGTAGCCCTTCTGTGCGTGTTTGTGGTCTGACTAGAGCAGGAAAGACGATTTGGGACCAGAGATGAGTAACTCGAGTTGGTCAGCGAGCGGTGTGGCATGGCGGACACGCTGGTCAGTATGATGTCAGCTGTCCGGCAGGTCATCCGTCTGTCGCCTCGTGTAACCCACACCGTGGTTTATGCCACGGCTATATCATGTCCACAGGGTCAACATGATCGCCTGTCGTCAGCTTAGAACCATTCCTGTTCCAAAGTTTACTCGAGGTTTTGCATCCCGCCGTGACTTTGAATACTGCAAAAAGTTCCACTTCGGTCGGTGAACGTGGAAGTTGTTCCACAAACTCAAAGTCAAGTTGAGTGGACATATTTACAGAAATAAGACAGGACAACAGAAATAGGACACACCGGTGGGGTACTTGAAGTACGGGCATGATTCATGTTCGGGACGTGAGGACTTCTGGGAACGGGGCCGGTGTACGTCCTTGACACACGTTCGATGGCCGGCGTGACCTTGAATAGGATTATGGGTCCATTTACAGACAGCATCGTCATGTTGTTGGTGAATACCGTTGGTGATTAGTCAACAGCTTTAGTAGCTGGAAGTTGCGATGGACAATCAAGCATAATATTAATTTTCTGCACAGTTAGTATGTAAGATATTTCTACAAAGAGATAACTTAAGGTAGATGTGGTAAGTCTACGACTTTTATAACAGATGTACATGCAATGAAGTAAAGTAAAATACAATATATGTCATTTAGCATCAAGCATGCTCGACTTTTTATGTTATTTTTATGTTTGCGGTCAATGACCCTCTGTGCTGGCACGTTTAAGGTAACAGAGTTTGCTTTGATAATGGAGACCGGGCTGGAATCAAGGACAAACAATTCGTCTTCAACCATCTGTGCGCGTCAGTATGTATACGTCACCGAGTTGTTGTCACAGCGTATACACTCGTCCGTCCTTAGCGCACTATAGCTCCATCCATATCGTGACAAGTATCCAATAAATTATAACTTCACCATCCATATCGTTACAAGTATCCAATAAATTATAACTTCACCATGGGCGGATTACAGGCTTTGTGCACCAAATCCCTCCGCGGGAAAAGTTCCTTTCGGTGCGATATGAGATGCCAGGAATATAAAGCTGTCCTTTATAGTTCTTAGGTAGCCTCTACTAGGCTCTTAGAGGCGGCGGCTGGAAAGAGTACAGATTGACCACTGGGAGCGACATACGAACTCCCCTTGCATGTTACCTGTCTATTTGGCAAATTTCTACTCTTTCCAACCGCTTTAAGCCTGGTAGAGAGATAAGTTCTCAGGCGTACATGCCCAACCCGTCGGGTTACATACATACGGCACTGTATAAATCAATTTGTTTGAGCGATCTCTAGTGGAACACTGCATAGTTATATATATATATATATATATATGTATAAGATTGGCCTTGTTGGTGATCTCTTCAGATGCATTTTTCCTGGGTGGCAGAATTATGTTAGCAGCTAGACGGTGAGCCCTGTGAAACGACGTGTCTTCTTACAAAATGGTGATCATGTGAATAGATTTTACAACGCTTGTGTCGCCATTGCAATCCTGCCATTGGAGCGCACTCCGCTAGACGGAGCCGTCGAAAAGCGTATGACTGGATGCGCATCCGCAAAGATGCAGCACCACTTGGTCCTTTCTTTTGCTCAATTTAAAAATTTAAACGACAATGGGGAATAAATTGCCCCCCCCCCTTAAATTTGGATCCTATCATTATACACTATATATCCCTGGAGTCTAATTACTCTAGTTGTTGGACGATCTGACAACCAGTTTTCTTCACTTTGTGTCGCGTGCACGTTACTGCCCACTTCCTCCTATCCTCCCATTTTTTTCGTTGTCTACTCCTCTTCCAGGGAATTCATCCGGAAGATTCGTAATGCGAGTATGAGAGTTTGAAGGCCTTGAATTTGTATCCGGTAAGAATCTGTAGTTGTGAAGTGTTTTCATCCTACTGTCTCATGACGTCATGGCACTGTCAAGCTGTGTTCAACAGCGGGGTAGAACTTCCTACTTGACGACGTTTGAAAGCTTTTCCGTTATCTTTTCTCCACTTCGTGACGCTTGATTCAATGAGAGCTACCTCCGAGTTGCAATTTCAGGACGGGAAAACATTTTGATTTAATTTGGTGGCTTTGACGTCATCGTATCAAGTCCATCCTGTGTTCAACATCAGTGCGGAACTTCCCACTTGACGACGTCCGACAGCTTTTACGTTTTATTTCTCCACTTCTTGACGCTTGATTCGATCAGAGCCACTTCAGCATTGCTATTTCAGGACGGGAAAACATTTTAATTTTGTAGTTTGGAGGAAAGTGACGTCATGGCATCAAGTCAACCCGTGTTCAACAGTAGAGTAGAACTTCCTACTTGAAATCTTTTCCGTTATTTTTTCTCCACTCCACGACGCTTGATTCAATGAGAGCTACCTCCGCGTCGCTATTTCAGGAGGAGAAAAACATTTTAATTTGTAGTTTGGAGGACAGTGGCGTCACAAGTACGTCAATTTGCGTTTAACAGCGAGGAGGAACACCACTTGACGACGTCTGAAAGCTTTGCCGTTATTTTTTCCACTCCATGACATTTGATTCAATAAGGGCCATCCCCGCGTCGCTATTTCAGGACGAGAAAACATTTTAATTTGTAGTTTGGAGGAAAATGTCTTCGCTCGGACGTCAAATCATTATGGGGGATACGTACAGCGGAGTCGACCGCGCTGGTACTGTGGTACTCCTTTGCAATCATGTCTAATCATCCCCTTGGATAATAACCTCCTTGGTATCTAATGTATCCGTTCCTACTTCTTGTCGAGTCTATTTCGGAACAAGTAATTCAACGCTAGACGTGCTTATCGCTACAAATGTTTATAAACTAACACGACAGGCATTAATTGCACGTTTTCTAAAATTACTGTTTGTCAAATCTAAGTTGGTTATGTTACTTTGCTTCCTTTGCGGACGAAGGAAAGCTTTTCAAATCAGTCTTGACTCGCTACAGTTTCTGTATCTGTATCTGTATAGCCGGTATAACGGCCCCTCGGCTTAACACACCAGCTTCACAGGCACGCGGAGCAGCGGCAGCTGGCTATATAACAATGAACGACTTCTTATAACTAACCGTTGCACATCTAACTTTAAACATTTTTAAAGCTATCAAGTGATGCCGCCTACTGTACTTATTGGCAGCAAGTTCCATTCTACGATACTTCTAGGAAACATTTTGAACACAGTTAATCTCATTGTAGCTGAAAAAGAATCGACTGGTGACCTTTTGCCCTGTACTCCTAACCATCACCATAACTATTGCCCCGCCCGACCCCAGTATACCACTGAACATGGTCGTGGGAGGGATGTTAGTGCCAATATTACATTACATTACATTACATTACATTACATTACATTACATTACATCTACTCAACTCAAATCTAAGTTTTTGCCTTCATTTCATATCATCCATTCATTGTTCATGCTGACTGGCGATGTCACAATAAGTTGTAGAACTTGAGTGCAGCGGCATAACGCGCTATTATAGTTTCTTTGATGTTCTAATGGCTCTCTGCGGGTGCATTCAAATATCTATATTTGTCGCCTTTAGCTCTGTACAAGGAAGGAGGAGACTGAACTTCATGTCCAGAAATAGAAATAGAATCCGCTACGTCAAGTACAGACGGGCTATATTTCGTCGCAGCTGCGTGAACATGCGGGGATGTTATGATAAACGACTGGCTGTTTTGATAAATGATTCCAACGATAACGTGTTGTTTCAAAGAATGTTTGACATTCGCATCTAGTTGTACATTCAATATACCTGCCGTGCATTATAAAGTAAAATATGAAACTCTCTGTTGACTCTCATTGATATACGATCAATAATGGCAATCAGATATCTCTAAAGATGATAAAAATACTGTCCCTTTGACAGCCATAACCCTTTCGCCTCTCGTACGTACCTTATATGAAATGTCTAGCGACAAAAATGGAAATCATGAAAATAGTCAACTTTAGGTATCCCTAAACATTTTTGCGTGCTGTGTCGGTGTGAGTGGGGTTATCGCCGGCATCAGTCGGTCTGTGTTAGTTTTAACTGTTGTTATTTGTTATCTTTTCTTTAAGTAGGATTACCTGAAGCTCAGGCGTTGATATTGCTAATCCTAGTCCTCTGAGAACGTCTCCAAGTTCCGATGTCGTGATGACTCCGCTCCCGTCCTTGTCGAACAACGAGAAGACCTCCTTGTACTCTGCTATCTGTTCCTCCGACAGCACAGTCGGGTCCGCCATTACTGCCCAGGTTTTATTGTGTCATGTGGATGACTGATACCGATGATGTGGGAGGTTACATGTTATATGAGGGACGGAACATGTTGGGGTAAACGTAGGCAGTGCTAGGGTTGCGCCGCTTTCGCCCGTTCTCTTCTAGAATTTCAGGGCTTCCCGAATACGAGCTGCCTGGTTTTCCCTAACAACACTAGTGCTCTATTAGGAATGTAACTACCGAATAGTACTAAAACTTCTATACGGTACTATATGCTCTTTTTATTAATTGATAATAATAATTATTAATTAAATAAAGTATAAGCAGCAAAGACTAGGACGCTGCAGTCTTGCGCACGTACCTGAATTCAACCTGTCACTTACTGTATTATTGAAAAAAAGGAATAAAAGATCTTGTTACAAGGTGCCAAGAAATGAAGCGATAAAACATAAACTACACTGTGATGGTCTGGAAGTTTGAAAATCTAGGCATCGATTTTGCGTGCTTTCGTTGCCCATCCTAGTTTTTTTTTCTCGCTAGACTCTCGCATTAGATTTGGAATGTGCCGAGGAAGTTATCCATAAAGTACCCTGGATGTCTCCAATGCTTTATACTGTATGCTGCACTCCTTGTGCTGACTTTCACGGGTCACGGCATAGCAATTTGCCCCATCATTACAACTCGTATGAAAGGTATCATCTACGTCTCGACCAATTTACCCTATACAAACCATTGGAAACAGGACGAGCTTCACTACTACATTCTGAATTTGATTCACGGAGATCTTCGTATAGACCTACGCCTTGTTTGGCTGGATCTGTCCTTTATAATTTGAAATGCGGTCTATGTATGTGAAGATTCCAGGTGTGTGTGTGTGAGGGGTTAAAGGCCTTTAACTTGTAGCCAGTACTGAGAATCCACTGACAATAGGATGTGCTTCTCCACTACATTTTGAATTTGAATCACGTACATTCAGGTGGTGAAGACGCCGTCAGTCCATTAACCCCTAACCTTCGTGCATTATCAGATCAAGTTGTCTTCTACTTTCAGTACTTTCTGTTGTCACCTCCTGGTGCATGTGTGTGGACTGCATCTAGAGTAGGAGTGCCTCGCACCGTGCCTGCATATTGATAAGTTATATATATTGCACACATGTCAAGGCAAGATACGATACATTAACAGTAGAGTACAATACAATAAAAACAACTAAAATTGCAATAAGTCTTTTTTTAATCTTTAATTTTCAACCACTAACATCTTAGTTTTTGTGACATACAGAACAGAGTAACAGGTTCTCCATACAAGACTTCCGGGCGCACAACAGCAATTTTTCACTGTCGAGGTTTTGAGCACATTGTTTTAATGTTAACTACAATGAAAACAATATTCCAAATACACGGAAAAGGGAAGTTGATAATCTGTTTCCAACCCTTGTCTCGGCTAAAGTGTCAAACCAAAATTCTTACATACTTCGACTTGAGAACTTTACTGAAGTTCCCGAGTTATTACAAGGATAGTTGACATATTTGATCTGTTCTGGTTATATAATGGTATTATTAGGTTTATTTATAAGTTTACATTTTATTACGTGTTAACTCAGAAACAGCGCCCTTGTTCAGAACAATATGCCGTGAATAATTCCATCAGGTTGGTGAATGATTGAATAGTAACGTTCTTTATTCACAACCACTTGTTTAACAAGAGCAGACGTTTCGATGACTGTCTGTCATCTTCATCAGGGCAATTATGACTGATTCAGTGTACACTGAAGCTAGGGCTTACTGCTAAGGATGCTATCTATGTATGTCTCAATTACTTTACGATTGGGGACACATTGTCAGCAGTAACATCTAGCTTCAGTGCACAGCGAACCAGTCATTTTAGCTGTGACGAAGATGACAGACGGTCGTCATTTAAACGTATACTCGTCGTAAACGCTGTGAATAAAGTGGTTGTGAATAAATAAATATTAAAGAACGTTGATATTCAATATAGACCACTTTGTGTTATATAGTATATAAAGTTACTTACTATTATACTACATATATGTGAGTATATCGGAACACATTGTACAGACCAAATACATTGCGACTAACACGATGATACCCAATACTCTTAAATATCACAGCTGGCATATCTACACTGATTTTCTCTGTCTGTGTATCTGTTTGTGTACGTGTAAATTATAAATTGTGTGTATAATGCAGATTTCCTATCTGCGTCTTCTCTTCATCTTACAATCGATCAACTTTCAGAATCTTTATGAGTAGTTAAGTTCCTTTGTTTCAGTTTCTTACTATGTTGACTAAATTTGTGGTATAAAATTTGATAGAAATGTTCTGACACATCGTTGTCATTCGACATGAACTACAGTGTCTTTGACTCTTGGTTATCCTTCTTCAGACGGTGTTTCTCCCATTTAGGGTCGAGTTACGCCATGTTTGCCACACGTCAGAATACGGACGACCACGTTTCTGAAGTCCACGTTGAAGATGGTGTATATGATGGGGTTCAGCGCGCTGTTGCAGTATCCCACCCAGAACCAGAACCCGAACACCTCGTCAGGGACGTGGCACGACTTGCACAGGACCTTGATGGGGTAGAGCTGGAAGAACGGGTACCAGCAGACGATGAAAGCCCCCATGACGAGCCCGATGATCAGCGTGAAGCGGCGTTCTCTGGACTGCACGTGCCGAGCCCGGCTGAGACTCGGAGGGTCTTTCTTACTCTTCCGTTTCTTAGCGCCTATTGGCTTGAACGTGGGGGTCTGCGGCTGGATTACGCCAGTGACTGTGGTGGTCTTTTCGGCTCTGCTGTCAAGTACTGGGCTGGTAGTGCCTACATTCGTCGTGCCTGTTGGTTCGTCTAATGTAGTGATGAGCTCCAGTTTGTTGGGGCGCTTGCTGGACCAGCTGACGGAACTCAGAGCGGTGATGGTGGTGACTTGTGTCAGGTTATTGCGAGACGAGGTGGGAGTTGAAGCCAGGCTGATGTCCTGTCGCGGGGCGCCCAGCTTCTTCCTGAACTGCGCACGGGTGGCCTGGAAGAGGCGCACGTAGGCCGCGATCATCACCGCCAACGGGATGTAAAAACTCATGGTTATCGAGAACAGGACGTACCCGGGGTTCACACGCAGCGGGCACTGCGGCAGCCCGCCCTTCGGCTGCTGGGCCTCCTTCCAGCCGAACAGCGGAGGGAGAGAGACCGCCGCTGCGGCGATGTAAGCCCCGACGATCAGGTTGAGCTGCCGCCGGTTGCCTGTTCCCATGGAGGCGGTGGGGTTGGTGACACAGCGGTGGCGCTCGATGGCGATGAGGCACAGGTTGAAGATGGAAGCCGTGCAGAAGAACACGTCCAACGCCAGCCACATGTCGCACCACACCTGCCCGAATACCCAGTAACCCATGATCTCGTACGCGAGCGAGAACGGCATGATCATCACACCCAACATGATGTCGCTCGCCGCCAGGGACACCAAGAAGAAGTTCTGATGGTTCTGGAGCTTCTTCTCTATCCCTACCGCGACACACACGAGGATGTTACCCACTATGATGAGGAACATGACCGAGGAGACGGTGATTCCAACGGCAATGCCGCCGCCGAGAGAGTAGGGGAAGGCGACGGAGTCAGTCATGTTTGTGACCGTGTCGTTGCTCGTCGTGTTCACGGCCTGGCACCCACCACAGATTGCTGTGCCATTTGGAATCGTGTAGGAGTAGTTGGATGGGAAAGTAAAGTTGCTGTGATGAGGATCTATGGCCATGTTTTTTTTTACCAGTCCTAACTAAGATTCTGCAGCTTTACAGCTATAGTCTACACCACGAAAGTGTTCCAATGATTTGTGATGACGGTTTCCCCAGGTAGCGTGTTTTGGATCCCCTTGTGTAGACTCCTGCAGAATAGAGAGAGTTTTCATCCTTTTACTCACGCAGCGTCATTCAATCTTTGTCAACAGAATGATATGACTCAATATCATAAAGGAAATAATACGACTTCACATGCTGTTTAAATGTCCTTGCACAATCTTACACGCCTTCTAATGATGACGAAACTATCAATGCCTCAACGACTAATACACAGAGACACCGTTCCTGCCATTGCACCATGTGCTCAATCCATTTTGGCAAGTATACAATTTTCTGTGCTCCCCATGACCCTTAATTAACAATTCTACTCACATGAACCAGAAGCACACCGGCAGAATCCCTTGCATTAATACATGCGGCAACCTGCTCCTAATCAATACTTCTTCTACCGTTTCAGCAGAATCAGAAGCTCTTTGGTTCAGCGTAGGTGACTGGGTGACTGGGTACATGCATAAAAATAACTCTAAGATACTATGTTGCCATGGCAGCGACAAGAGCTTGATAGACATGTCTGCGATTACTAGATTATTAGGCTATAAGAAATTATAATCTTTATCTCGTGTTTTTCTAATTACTGTGCAATGGTTTCATTGGGTCAGAGGCGTCACGTGACACCGAATGACGTCAACCCTGCCCACTCGGGTCGCATCTGTGACACTGATAACCACGCGTTGCCATGGAGACGGCGTCAGTGACGTCTGTCATCTCAGCAGGCTCACAATCATGGTACGCAGAGACGTAAAGTTATATATGCATCCCCATGACTTATCATCATTGTGGTTGTATAAGACAGTCGGGCGGATCCAGTAATACAGACCGTTTCTGATCGAACACGTCGAAGCCCCTTGTTCTATTTCGAACACTTCCCTTCCCGGAGGTGTTCGAAATAGAACGGGGCGGGGCTTGTGGTGTTCGATTAGTTCGATCAGAAACGTCTATTACGGCTTAGCCAGATCCAGGAAGTTTGGATTGTGGAGGGTGATGGATATTCTAAGGCGGGGGCGTAATCCTAACGGATGTGTCCTATTTACCAGCCCGCCTTACTGTACCGGATTGAGCATCGATTTAAACTTGGTACTTGAAGGCCAATTTCTTCTGGAAAGTTCCTCCTTTCAGTCTTGTTACCATTGTCATCAATCCCGATGCAATCAGGCAGTCTGGGGATCTGGATTGTAACGTCCCAGGGATCGATCAGGAAGAGGAAGACTTAGCTAGATGGATCCCCTTTCCCCCAGTGTGTGTTCTGAAGTTATCGATATACACTAGGCAAGTGGTCATTACGTAATCTAAGCGCATAGAAACAGGACCAGTCAGGTCCTAAATGACAAGTGTAGACCAGCCGAAAGTGTCATTACTTGTCTCCCCACACATCACATCCAGGGGCACCAAAGAACCAGTGATTCCTTCTTCTATCATCGAAGGGGACTGCTTAACTTCGTATGCGTCACACGTGGATTCAAGAAAGAAGTGGCACATATATGTAACGATGTCTATGGGACAACACAACGTTCATTAATCAGTGCACAACGCCAACGGTCGTGCTTTCAACACAGTTAACAGCCTGAGCAAGATGGATGGTGCAAAGTTGATACCAAATCGTTCTCAAGACAGTCTGGCGAAGCGCATAATTACGCAAAACGGCACGGATGCAATGATTTCTATCGCCAACGTTGTAGGTCTAAACTACGTATAATGTTAACGAAGTGTGGGTCACACTCTGTAGTCACCGTAATTGGCTCTGGATTGTGGGATTTCCTACGAGCAATTGGAAACGACAGATGTCCCATGCCTAACGTTTAATCATTACTCCCCGTCATTGATAACAGGAAACTAATGATCATCAATTACCGCCCTGAAGGACGGGCTACCCACAGCTAGCAGACCATGGGAAGAGACAGACGTGACTCGGGTTGGAATGATTTCATTTGAATTTTTTCCAGGAAGCCTACATGAAGATTGTACGCGATACATTCGTAAATGATCTTTCAAGTCAGTTTGAACACATTAATTAAGCGAGGCCGTCTGTACACGAAATATCAAAGCCATCTAAACCAAACACCTTCTGCGTCAAGATACTAGTTGGTCGGGCGTATTACTAGTATTCGCCACCCTCTCACGTTTTAAAAGTATTACTGAATTGTGTTTCGATACTTACAACTATACGTAGATCCGCAATCCTTCTGTCTTACATTGACAGGAGTATTCATTAGCTCAACTTGCGTTTTTAGTTCACAGGTAAATCAGACTTGACGTCGCCATTGGTATTCTACGTGCGTTTCGTCATTTGACATTTGAAACTCACTGCTATACATTCACTCTATGGCTCAATGAAATCACATTCAACCTGCGGGATATATCTTTCCGCTTCACAAATTCATGAAATGTCAAACAATGTGTACTTATGGAATGGAATGAATTGATGCACAGCACTGGCATTTTGGAAGACCTTTGCTATCGAAGCAATCTACAATATATTAGATTGGGAGTCAACAAGGCACCAATTACAGAGCGCAATGGGTATTAGATATCGAGAGACCAAAGACGTCTGCCCTAGATATAACTCTTCGCCGAATCGTTTGGGAAGCAGCTGGGGTGTTATATCAGAAACCATTCGTATGCAGCTTCACGTTTCAAGGATTTAATCACTGACATGCCGGCGAGAAAGGAAGAACTATCAGAAAAGTAGGCTAATAGAAATTGAATACGTACTAGTTCTCCAGTGCAGTCACAGACACGCGCAGCACCATATGGCTCATCATCTGACACCACAAGACTGGGCTTGATACCATTAAAGAAGTAAAGGAAAGAAACGTGCGTTTTACCTTTCATGAAATTCATCACGATTTTGCATGACATCAAGGCGTTCTCATGGTAGATTTGCCATCATAAAAGTGAACTATCATACCGGCCTGCCAGAAAGGAATATGCCTCGGAGGACCGATAGATTTGGATTGATTTATTTTTCATCCGTGAACGATTGAAGTTGAGACCGCAGATGGAAGAGATCACTTGCATTGTTACACGAGCGTCCAAAGAAATCTCAGACAATCCCTGTCAGAAACAGCTCTTCTCCCGCGTGCTTCCATTCATCGGCAGAGTCGATGAATAAAAGGACTACGTTTCAAAGGTACATTTTACATACCTTCCTGTAAGAGTTATGCCAGGCTGAGATAACAGTCAACAAATGTTATACCTTCGTATCAATTTATCACTTATGTGAGAATCAACGGGACAAACAACAAGAGGGAAAGATTGACATTTGACACTTTCATTTTCAGGTTTAGCACAATTCCGGATTCCGAAAATGTCTTCGGCATTAGATATATCTTTCTAGTACTCGTCTATTGAAAAATAATCTTTCAGATTTGAGGAAAATTCATTTTGAAGTGTGCTGTCGCATGAAACTGAGCTGAGGTCAGCATCAGTTTGGCACTGACACTTCATATATTTGATATCAACCCGAGTGACAATGCTGTATCATATAGGGCCGCATTCACAACGTATACATGTTGTTTTCTGTATAAAATGTGTCGAAGTCAAACCAGTAGTTAGTAAGTACTTACTGCCCAGCCCTGGTAGAAGAGACGCGTAACTGTTGGCTCGGAGTACCGCAAGAAAACGGACAGAACAACCCAAACGTTCGATACAATCCGCGGACTGACTGAGAGAAACCCTGCTATACGAGGCGCTGACACCGACTGCCACCCACTGAGAGCCGCCGCCTACTGCTACGGACCACGCTCCAGCGTTTATATAATAGAATACCGCGTACAGGGCAATTAGCTTCCTCAGCCAACCACGAAGCAGGAAATGGACCTAGCCTGTGGAAACTCACCGCCCGCGAGGAAGGGGCCAGTAGCATATGTCTGAGAACATAGGGGGTCATCTGCAGTGAACCTCTGACCTTCTTGTTACTCTTCGCATGTGAATCTCAACAAAAAAACTTGCTCACAACACCCCGTTAACCTTTACCTGGTGGAGGTCTGGTGATCTTAAAATCGTACCTTTAAGATGGCATACGATAACTAAAGTCCTCATCTCGTGCAATTTTTATCATTTACGGCAAAAACACTTTAAGTTGCCCAATCAGAAAGCTTTCAGCACCAAGGACAGAGGCAGTACTATGTTCGTCTTTGAACAAGTCGCGTAACTACGCTTCGCTGCATCTTCTTCCCTTTTCCCAGTACCGCACAATCATGACAAGGCGTCCGCCGTGGTGTTATCTAGGTTTGATGACTTACGAATCCATAGGGAACGATTCCGAAAGCTCTTAATATGCGAAAGTTCTTAATACAGCAATGCGTGCACCTAATTCTTCATTTTTATTAAATTTTTTATTCTACCTGCGTGACTGTTATCACAGTTGGACGTAGTCCAACGGCAGGGAGCGGAAAGATGAACCTCGGTGAGTAATTTCATCAGGTTGGTGAATGATTACATAGTAAGGTTCTTTATTCACCGCCACTTCTATAACAAGACATGTACAGAGCCGACGTTTCGATGACCGTCCGTCATCTTCACCAGGGCAATTATGACTGATTTGCTTTGCATTGCATCTAGGTGTTACTTCCCTGTGTACTAGAACTAGGTGTCACTTGTTCACTGTGCACTGATACTGTGTGCCTGTGAAGTGGTGTGTTACGCCGAAGGGCGGTTATACCGGCTATAAAGATAGAGATTTTGACAGAGCTGAAATCTTTCCGGGCATTTCTATTGTCGTAGGAGAAGCCACACGACTTCCATTGTCGTTACATGCTTTCTCAACAGCGATAGCAAAGAGACTAAAGGCCAGTTTTTTGGAATGGATTTTTCATTTAAGTTCCCAGGCCAGACCTGGCTTTCGATCAAAGCTTTAAACTCATGTCTAAAGTCATACCTAACGAGGTAAATTTGAA